GTCTTGATAATTGCGACAAGCATTACAATTAATGGAAGGATGAAGGTTTTACAGATGTATGAAATTGAGTACTGCAGATTTTGTTTTTATAATTAAATTTTCTCCATAAGATCATTTTTGATTTTCAGTTATTTACTTCAAATCTAGATACTATTTCGAAAAAATTGAAAGTCTTCAATATATTCATAAGTATAAATATCTAGTTTCTAATGAAAATAAATTACTCACACCATGGTCTTATATTTATAATACAAAATAATTAAAATCAGAAAGTATTTTGACTGTCTTCATGAATTTTTGCACTCTTTCCTTCTAGGAATGCATATTTCCTTAATTCTTTGGATACCCAATAAGGACAATCAGGAATGGCAGCTCCAACGATATATTTTATAAGTAATAAAATATGTTCTATTGCTGCTAGAACTAAAGCTTGAAATAAGGGATCAGTAGCCCCAATTAATTTTTCAAATTCAGATTTATTAACAATTCCTATCACTATGCAATTCATGAAGGTAGAACAATAGTTCATAATCTCAAAAATGGATAGCCAAATTCCAATTGAATCAGCAGGTTGATGTATTGATTTAACAGAAAGAAAAGTGGAGCAGCAGCGAAGGCAGGAGAAAACATAGTTGTATATCCAAATTGAATGGCTATACTAGTATACTCATTAGATAATTCTTTTTTATGGTTACTATCCTAATCATCAATTAATTTTTACGATTAGACAAACTGCTTGTATAAGAGGACCTTTTTTGAAATTGGTTCCTCAATCTCAGTTTGTAGATAATTAAGACAACTTCAGATTGTTAAATTTTAGCTTTTGCAGAAAAGTAAACATCTATTGAAAAAAAAGCAAAACTAAAATAAATGCATTGAAAAAATAAAAGTAATATCGATTTGATTCACACATTAGAGGAACACACTTATAAAGTTTGATGTTTAAAAACCAATAATATGATACTAAAAATTAAAGTTCAAGTGGATTAGATAAGACTATTTATTTATGGAATTTAATCAAATATACCTTGATTATAAAATTAGAAGCTCACGCTTAAACGGTCCAGGATATTGCTATTTTCATTCGATGGCAAATAAATGGTGTCTGAGTGTTATGATAAAACAATCATATTTTGGTCTACCTCAAAACTAAATTATAATATAATAATTAACGAATACAAACACCATGGTTTATTGTCCATTCAAATCAATTATGGTAGGTGCTTAAATTTAGAAAGGAATTATATTTTGGAATACAGTTGAGTTTACATGAATTCCATTAAAGCCTAATTACGATTATTTGTTAAGTTTAAGATTACGAAAGGATGGTATGCTATGTGACATTATGCAATAAAATTGGAATAAGGATTAGGAAAATAAATGAACAAGCTTCTAAGTTGAGAAGAAAAATTACTCTCAAAATCTTTCGCTTTCACAAAGGGTGGTTTAAGTATATGATGAAAACTTTATATTACATACTCACTTTGAAGTGATTTAATTGTAAATTCAAAATGAAGAAATCAAATAAACTTCTAAATTACATTTTCACAAAAAATCTACTGGATGTCAGTTGCATCAAATTAAAAGCTGTCGCAATTGGAAATATAAAATGTCTTGAGTTTGTTTTTATGGAAAATCAGAATTGTCCGAATCAATTTTATTAAGAAAACTGCCTTCATTACAGACTCTTTTAATTGCTCTTTATTCCTCTCTTTTTAGCTGCTTCTGAGTTAAAATTGCTTAAGAAATAAATTGATCGTTTATCAGTAGGTTTTGTAAATAATGAAAGAGTGATTTTTGGTAGAGATAGTTTTGAAGACCTATTCATAAGATATCAAAGAATGGTAATAAATAAAAGTTTTTAGTCATCTAATTACCTAGACTCCCTAATAAAATGACTTTATCAAATGATTTAAAATAAATGATCCCTATGATACGTTAGTTTTTGTATATTTCTTCAAATGATTTCTACTTGGTTCCAGGATCTAATTTTGATATCACAAGATGGGATTTGGTAGAACTAGCANCCTAATCATCAATTAATTTTTACGATTAGACAAACTGCTTGTATAAGAGGACCTTTTTTGAAATTGGTTCCTCAATCTCAGTTTGTAGATAATTAAGACAACTTCAGATTGTTAAATTTTAGCTTTTGCAGAAAAGTAAACATCTATTGAAAAAAAAGCAAAACTAAAATAAATGCATTGAAAAAATAAAAGTAATATCGATTTGATTCACACATTAGAGGAACACACTTATAAAGTTTGATGTTTAAAAACCAATAATATGATACTAAAAATTAAAGTTCAAGTGGATTAGATAAGACTATTTATTTATGGAATTTAATCAAATATACCTTGATTATAAAATTAGAAGCTCACGCTTAAACGGTCCAGGATATTGCTATTTTCATTCGATGGCAAATAAATGGTGTCTGAGTGTTATGATAAAACAATCATATTTTGGTCTACCTCAAAACTAAATTATAATATAATAATTAACGAATACAAACACCATGGTTTATTGTCCATTCAAATCAATTATGGTAGGTGCTTAAATTTAGAAAGGAATTATATTTTGGAATACAGTTGAGTTTACATGAATTCCATTAAAGCCTAATTACGATTATTTGTTAAGTTTAAGATTACGAAAGGATGGTATGCTATGTGACATTATGCAATAAAATTGGAATAAGGATTAGGAAAATAAATGAACAAGCTTCTAAGTTGAGAAGAAAAATTACTCTCAAAATCTTTCGCTTTCACAAAGGGTGGTTTAAGTATATGATGAAAACTTTATATTACATACTCACTTTGAAGTGATTTAATTGTAAATTCAAAATGAAGAAATCAAATAAACTTCTAAATTACATTTTCACAAAAAATCTACTGGATGTCAGTTGCATCAAATTAAAAGCTGTCGCAATTGGAAATATAAAATGTCTTGAGTTTGTTTTTATGGAAAATCAGAATTGTCCGAATCAATTTTATTAAGAAAACTGCCTTCATTACAGACTCTTTTAATTGCTCTTTATTCCTCTCTTTTTAGCTGCTTCTGAGTTAAAATTGCTTAAGAAATAAATTGATCGTTTATCAGTAGGTTTTGTAAATAATGAAAGAGTGATTTTTGGTAGAGATAGTTTTGAAGACCTATTCATAAGATATCAAAGAATGGTAATAAATAAAAGTTTTTAGTCATCTAATTACCTAGACTCCCTAATAAAATGACTTTATCAAATGATTTAAAATAAATGATCCCTATGATACGTTAGTTTTTGTATATTTCTTCAAATGATTTCTACTTGGTTCCAGGATCTAATTTTGATATCACAAGATGGGATTTGGTAGAACTAGCAAATTGATAGATTATTAAAAGGTAAAAGACTTCAATCTTTATTTTGTTTTTCTACAACTGCTAATATTTTTCTGCTCAAGATGATAAATAATTAATACATGTATGGAAATTAAATATAAAATACATTATTGAACTTCATTAATAATGATATTGTATTATTTACAATAAATTTGATTTTAGTTTAATTCAAACACAACTTATTTGAATGCAAAGCAATTCACAAATATTTACCTTAAATTTAGAGTAGGTATTTAGATCAAAACAACTAACAATTTAACCTAACTTAAGTTCTGAACCAAGGTCAATATCTATTACTTCGAATATTCTTGTACAGTTATGTCTAACAATGGTTATTAATTACAAATATTATGAAAAAATATTTTATGCTGCAAAATAAATCCATTTGAATTGATTTTAACAAACAATAACTCTGAATTAATGAATGAAAATTGGTGGGAATAATTGATGAATACATTTTTGATTATACATGTGCAGGAGTTATTGAGGAGGGTTGCGAATTGTATTTTGATAAAGCAAACAATTAATAAGGAGCATTGAAATTTTTTTGAAAATTTGATAAAAAGAAGTATATAAATTATGGATGCTAAAACTAATGAAATAAAATATACTTTGAATTAGTTTAGTTTTGAAATTAAATAGTTATAATTTACATTATTTGGATTGCATTTCATATTTATTATGAAAGATAGGTCAATTTTGTTATATAAGATTGATTCTTAATACCTTGACTATTATACATTGTAAAAAGTCTTCACTTGTAGCACTGTTGCGGTTGCATTTAATAATCAAGATTTCGAACTATTAAAAATTTTGAAAAGTTATTATTGACCGAATATTAGTTATAAAATGTCATATTTAAATAATTTACTCTATATTAATTGAATATTTCCAAATGTGCAGAATATTTCAAGGAGTAAAAACAGCCTTGAACATTTTTTTGAATATTAAAGTCTTTAATTTCATTGTAGGCTCTGGTAATGTTAGCTTTTACTTAAATATCGGCTTATATTCGTCAATTTTGAATTAGTTGGTTATCTAAACTCAATTAACAAGCCATCTTTTAAATTTTGTGGCGAATTTTTATTGCCTGCTTTTAGAAATTTCTTTTCAAATAATATGTATTTTTATTAATAAAATAATTGATATTGTTAATTGCCAATTATTAATTAAATTGAAAATTATGATAAATTTAATGAATACTCCACCAATATCCTGAATTTATAACATCATTAATGTTGAAACTATTAGAAGTATTTGTTTTAATGATGATATTTATATAATGCTAAATATAATTATTCAATATTACACTGTTTAAATTCTCTATAATTTCCAATAATTTAATCTCTCAAAAATTTATGATAAAATATTTTTAATCATTGATTAATTATCATGTGATAAGATGGATACATTATTAACAAAAAAGAATTGAGTTTGATATAAAATTTAATATTATATTTAATTCGTTTAAAAAAATTAATTAAAATTAAATAGTTCGTCATCGATCTTTTTTAAAAATTTACGAGAAGAAATTTCTCTTATAGTTTAAAAAAAGGTTTTATTTTATGAGTCAATTCTGTATAATATGTTTAGATATATAAATTTGGTTAGATTCTTTAATACAGTTTTACCAGTCTATATTATCAAATCTTAATGGAATAGATTGGAAATCCTTCAAAATAATGAGTTTCTCATCGGAAACTATCTAATTATGTATAATTGATAATGTATCTTATTTTAATATTCCTTCTCATTATAAACTTTAATTTCCATAAAAAAAATTTATATATTAATAAATCTATATAATGTCTTAAATTTAATATCAAGCCTCTGGAGATTCTCCCCTTGTGGCGTTTGAAGAAGATAATGGTGAACTTAATTCCTTTTTTGCTAAAATGAAGAGTGTTGGTTGGAATCAAGCATCATTAAATAAAGAACATTAAAAGTTAGCAACCTACAATGAAATCATGATATATTTTGTTAAAGTCTTTGTCTTATTGGCTTTAATGCTCACTACTTTTTATGGGATGGCTTTTATTTTATTAGCTACAAAGGCATAAATAATAAAAAATGGCGAAATTGTTCAATTCAATTTTATTCTTTATATAATAAGCTTTGTAATTACTCTATTAATAGGAAGGTGGGCATATTTTAGTGAAAGCTCTAGAAAGGTATAAATGATAAATTGAATTAGTTTCCATTAAATATTTTTGTTATCTTTTATTCACATCTGGTGCAGCCTATGTATTTGGGTAGCCTCTATCATGGATCTTAGAAGATGGGTACTATTCAGGCTAAGATTGGATAATACTACTATATTTATTTACTATGACTTTAGGGACCTATACATGCTTAATAATTTTCACATTTTGCAGATAAACTCCATAAAAACCTTGTGGTATTAATTTTGCAATATAATAAGTAATTATATTCTCAATTGCTGGTTTGATGATATTTCTGTTATTTATATTTCTTATGACTGCTCGTTATTATCTTGGCCTATTAGTAGCAAGTTTTGCTTGCCATGTACTCTATGGATGCCTTCTAATTATTGATATAAAATTAATAACTTAAGGAAAAGTATTATTTTAACTATGAAAGTTCTCACTTAGAACAAATCAGTATGTTTCCGGAGCTCTCTACTTGTACTTAGATATAACGTTCATGATTTTTTATTTTATTGGTTGCATGTTAGCACCTTTGGGAAAATGCTGTGCTGGATTTGGAAAATGCTGTGGTATTTGTTGCGAGATTATTCCTCATAAACGTTGAATCACAATGATTTAAAATATATTAATTTATCTAATATTATTTCATCTACTAAGATCAGTTTAATAATAGATCTAAATGTATATACGCTATTTATTAGAAAACTGTTAATAAATTTGATTGGACAAGTTACAATTATAATTTCCATACCATCTTAGATTATAGAACATTGTAAAAAACACAAAGTGAATAATTTAATTGAAGTCTCAACTCTTTTAATTGTTTTTCTTTCATCATTCTGACTCATTAAAATTTAAATAATTTAATACGGTGTCTCGCAAAAAACAGAATAGAAACATAAATAATATTTGAATAGATAGATGTGAGATTGAAAAGACAAAGTAGAGAAGGCTAATGATGTTATTTCTTCTTCATATACTTGGGGTTTAGAAGTATATGATATTGAAGATAATGATTTAATCAGTAATTAACCAAAGGTAGCTAGGGGTAAGATTATCTCATGATTATTGGGCAGCTAGATTGGAAGTTTGACAGAATATAAAAAATTGGTTAATTATTATAAATGAGGTTAAGATATAAATAATGAGTTTGGATATATCAGATAAGTTATGGATGAGGATTATTTTAGAATGGACGGCATAAGGATTAAGAGTTGGAAGTGGAAAAGCTATTAGACTTTAGAGAATAAAAGAGAAGAGTATTAAGGTATGAATTGCAGAAAAGAAAAGAATTTAGTATTCTTGTTATCATTTAATTTATTAACCATAATTATTTTCATTTTAATCAGTATATCGAAGCCAAAACTTACTCACCCCTTATAAATATTATTACATTTTTGTTAAGGACTAAGTTTAATTTTGTATTTCTATTAATTAAATGTTGAGAAAAAAAAAAGATTGACTTGTTTTAAGATTGGATTTTTCATCTATAAATATTGATTCTTTTTTTAAAAGATCATTATATTTGTTTTGACCAACCTCTTTTCCCTTTTGAATCAATTCGTGTTTGACAATACAATATTCCAAAATTGACTCCTCAAATTTGAATACCTAATTTAAGCCATTTAATTTATTTTTCTGTTACAACCTCAGCCACATACAACTTCCATAGTTTTAATCTAAAATCACCATTATAAATTAATTGTATGATGCAATTTTATGTGAGAGAAAAATAAAATGCAGGAATAATTTTTGTTTTTTTGTTAAGTTTTTATGCTTTTAAGATTAAATAAACGACTACATATATAAGCAATAATAAAATGGCATAACTTTGGTCAAATTAAGGCTAGGACGAAAATTTAAAAGGTTATTTGCTATTTTGACTTGTCGAATAATTAAATTGTAGACTAAAAGTAAATTGAAGTCTACACTGTAAGCTACGAAAAAAGGAATAGAAATTAAAATAACTATCTTTCCAAAGAGGAAATCAAAAATACATAGAAAAGTAATTGTAGATTCATAAATGAATCAAATAAATTTTAAGATTGTAATTGAATAGAGTTGTCATGAATTTATTTTAGATAAATGCTGTTTTTGAAACTAAATGCAAAGAATTAAATTGAAAACGCTTTATATTAGTATGATTTCCCTAATCAATAAAATTCTAATAATGAACTTTATTGTAATGATGCTTCTTCTAATTTATTCATTTTTCTATATTAGAAAATAACGTTTCTTACTTAAGGTAAATGGTATTATTCGAACATCATGGCTAACTTGTTTTTAAAAATATGGAAATTTCATAATTTATAAAATCACAGGTACATATTGAATGATACTCATACTTTGGATAGTTCTTAATTCAAAATAATGTGTTTTTGATAATCTAAAGGAAAGTTACTTTAAAGTATTATAATATTTTAAGTATGCCAGAGAGAAAGACCCTGAAAATTTAAATTATTATCATAACAAAGGCATATATTAAAATTCATCTCTTAAGCGGCAACTTTAATCTTTAGGCCATTTTTTGAGAGATATTTCTATTGAATAGATTAGAAGAGCCTCTACAATATTTTGATTCAGGTCTTTAGATAAAACCTGAAAGTTCTCTTAATTACATATTTTCTTAGGTTTATTTTATTTTTAATAGAAGATTTTAAAAATAATATCTAAAATGAATAGATTTGTATTAGGATTTTATTATTTTGATTACGCTTTACAGCAGAAAACCCTGATCTTCACACTTATTCTTAAAATAAAGGTAAAATTCAATAATTAAAGTATTGTAGCCTTTGCTTGATTTGAATCGATTTTTCTATCGTAATAGAAAAAACTGAATAGATATTAAGAAGTATTGGATTCTTATGGCTCATAGTTACAAAATAATAATAACAAAGGTATGAGCTATCCTATTTTTAGCATTTAAGTTACTGAAAAAGAATAGGTTAGAGGAAGCATTAGAATATTATGACTAAGCGATTCAACACAGTGAAGAAAATTCAATATATTATAATAATAAAGTTATTTTTTAATATATTGTTGTTAGCAAAGTCTTAAATGTATCGAAAAACTATTTTGAAAAAGTAATGTCAACGAAAAGATTTTAAGAATCATTAAAATGTTAGAATTTACTTAATCAAATAAACCCAAAAAATGATAATTTTTCATAACAAGGGTATTCATTAACATTCAACTCTTAGCAATTTAGATGATGTAAGAAGAATATTATTACAAAGGAATATTAAATATCCAAAATTTATGAGCTACTATTTTATTTTCTAAAGGAATTTCTATAAAGAATATTTAAAATGATGAAAGTTCAAGAAAGCGTTATAATATTTGTAAGACTTTTCGAGAAATTCAAAAAGAATCAAAAGCACATCTCTGATTTTATAACTTTTCTATTTTACTATTGTAGTTAAGGAAGAATTTAAGCAGAAAATTCTTAATATGACCAAAAAGAAATTAACAAATCCATTTGAACTTTGCAAAATGTTCATTGAAAGGGTTAAAATAAAAGTGCATGCAGAAATTTTCAGAAGAATTTGCAGAATAAGCCTTAGATAGATGGATTGTAAATTAAAGGTCAAGAATATATTAAATAAAAGGGCCCTTGCCTAAAACTTCAATAGCTTATCATAATCTGAAAGGAGATAAAAAAAAGAAACTAGAATTCATTTGTACAAAAGTAAATGTGTTGTACAAATGAATTGTAAATGTGTTGTAAATTCTGTGAAATTACCTCTCAAAAATGAAGGATGTAAATAAACCTTAATGCCTTAAGATGGCTAAAGAAGTTAATTGTCTTTAGAATGAGGAATATAATTATATGAATCGGTATGCCTAATTTGACCTTCAAATATTAATATTTAATTTTCATTTCAACATTCCTATATTTTTGGTATTAGAATATTGACGTTCAAATTTTTATTGTTAGAGTAACTTGATGAGACTGATTATTACCAAGATACAAAGTTCACCCATAGTCAACTTAATTCTAAACCCTTTTCAGTAGTTTCACCCCTTCCTCATTTATTTTCAACTTCTATTTCTTTCCTACACGTTATTCTCTTTCAAAAAAGCTCTATTGTTAATTAATAACATCGCCATTCTTAAAAAGTCCTTATTTTATTACCTTTAATCCAAATTACCAAGGCAAACAATATTTCAAATCTTTTTTTCAAGTGCGCATCATTTCAAAGTAAATAACTTCCCACTTTACTTAGTCTCGCTAGCTATGCANTTACTGAAAAAGAATAGGTTAGAGGAAGCATTAGAATATTATGACTAAGCGATTCAACACAGTGAAGAAAATTCAATATATTATAATAATAAAGTTATTTTTTAATATATTGTTGTTAGCAAAGTCTTAAATGTATCGAAAAACTATTTTGAAAAAGTAATGTCAACGAAAAGATTTTAAGAATCATTAAAATGTTAGAATTTACTTAATCAAATAAACCCAAAAAATGATAATTTTTCATAACAAGGGTATTCATTAACATTCAACTCTTAGCAATTTAGATGATGTAAGAAGAATATTATTACAAAGGAATATTAAATATCCAAAATTTATGAGCTACTATTTTATTTTCTAAAGGAATTTCTATAAAGAATATTTAAAATGATGAAAGTTCAAGAAAGCGTTATAATATTTGTAAGACTTTTCGAGAAATTCAAAAAGAATCAAAAGCACATCTCTGATTTTATAACTTTTCTATTTTACTATTGTAGTTAAGGAAGAATTTAAGCAGAAAATTCTTAATATGACCAAAAAGAAATTAACAAATCCATTTGAACTTTGCAAAATGTTCATTGAAAGGGTTAAAATAAAAGTGCATGCAGAAATTTTCAGAAGAATTTGCAGAATAAGCCTTAGATAGATGGATTGTAAATTAAAGGTCAAGAATATATTAAATAAAAGGGCCCTTGCCTAAAACTTCAATAGCTTATCATAATCTGAAAGGAGATAAAAAAAAGAAACTAGAATTCATTTGTACAAAAGTAAATGTGTTGTACAAATGAATTGTAAATGTGTTGTAAATTCTGTGAAATTACCTCTCAAAAATGAAGGATGTAAATAAACCTTAATGCCTTAAGATGGCTAAAGAAGTTAATTGTCTTTAGAATGAGGAATATAATTATATGAATCGGTATGCCTAATTTGACCTTCAAATATTAATATTTAATTTTCATTTCAACATTCCTATATTTTTGGTATTAGAATATTGACGTTCAAATTTTTATTGTTAGAGTAACTTGATGAGACTGATTATTACCAAGATACAAAGTTCACCCATAGTCAACTTAATTCTAAACCCTTTTCAGTAGTTTCACCCCTTCCTCATTTATTTTCAACTTCTATTTCTTTCCTACACGTTATTCTCTTTCAAAAAAGCTCTATTGTTAATTAATAACATCGCCATTCTTAAAAAGTCCTTATTTTATTACCTTTAATCCAAATTACCAAGGCAAACAATATTTCAAATCTTTTTTTCAAGTGCGCATCATTTCAAAGTAAATAACTTCCCACTTTACTTAGTCTCGCTAGCTATGCAATCCTAAGCAAGCATCAACTAGGATCCTAAAAAGGATTCTTGCCGAATTTGCACCTTCAAGATTTAGGATTATTTTAATGTTTTGATTCTCTAAAATATCAAAGCTTCTTGATTCAACATCATTCCCCTAATTTAAAAATGTATTCCTATTTTAATTCTAATCAAAACCCTCTCTAATTGACCTATCAATTTTATTGAAGATCATTATGATTTAAATATTTTTTTATATATAAAATCACTTTAACTTAATGATTATGCAATACAAGTTTTCCTTAGGTTTAGTATTTTTGAAAGTTTACATCCTAATCCAATGTTATTAATACTACAGCAATACCACAGAATCATTAAATATTATGAGGCTCTATATTTAATGAAAAAGATACTAATATTATACATTTTATATTTTAAATTTAATAAAATAAATGGATTTAGCTTTGTTAATGGGTTTGCTAGGTTTTGAAACAGCCAGAACTTCAAAACTAAGATATCTTCTACCAAGAATTTAATGCTCTGGTTCGACTGCTTTTAGAGATGCAGTTGTATAAGGTAACGAACTAATGTTGAAACTTTTCTCATTGTTTGTAAAAGAAGGACTACATGATAAATTTTAAATTGTTCACGTTGTACTTACAGATGGTGATGATTGTGCCTCACAAACAAGCCATTAGGACTTCTTAAAATATCAACTTTATTTATATAGCTAGCTTCCTCCATAAATGTTAAAAACATTTTATATTGGTGTAAATTTAGAAAACAATTCAACTGTTAGGCAATAAATGAAACAAATTATTGACTGCAGTTGTGAATCAGCTTAATATTATTCAATTAATAGTAATGGAATAAATGAAATATTTTAAAAGATACAAATGTAAATAGGAATTGAAGTGTAACAAAGAGGTCTGGTAATGAAAAATGAACACATGACAATTGGATTAATGTAAGAGAAATATAGACCTGTGGTATAAATCACGGTTAATAATTATATTGTGATTTTCACATTAGACATTTCCGGTTCAATGGAAAATAATTGGCCAAAAGTTTGTGGAGCAGTCAGTGGATTTTTAGATAATCTTGGAGAAAATGATTTAGTTTTGGGAATTACATTCAACAATCAAGTAAATATTATTACGAAACCGGAATTGGAAAAGAAAATTTAGAATCCTCGTCCTCCTCCTCCATAAAGTAATTCCAATGTTCCAGATGAAGGTTATTATTGTTGTAAAATTTTCTGAATTATTTATTCATAAATATTCCATCCTAAATTGATTAATTAAGTTACTAAAATCTACCTAAGTTAACATCAGATAATTAAAATGACTCTTTATAAATCTTAAGTATTACTTACAAGCAATTTCAATATTTAACATTAATTTGTTTTACACTATTCCATTATAACCTATTTCAAATCCCATTTTAATAAATGCAATATGTGCTTTTTCTAAAACACGTGATCTGACATAAGCTGCCTATCTATTGCTTCGTTCAAAACTACCGATTCATAAAAAAATATCAATTCTTTCATATGTATTTTACAAAATAAATTATGCCCTACAATTAAATTGAAACCATTACTTATTTTAATAATGTAGATTTTTTTAATTAATCTATTCTCATATGTTACCATCTAAATGTAAATTGATATGTGAATTTAATTGTTTCAAATTCAGTCAGTAATCTGATATTCCTTTTAATTTCTCATGGCTGTGTAATAAAAATTTGATATGGTAATTATGAGATGATGATTTTAAATTAATTTGTTTTTCAACCTCTTATCTTAAAAGTCATCCATATTATAAATTTAAGAATACAATCCGAGTAGGAACCTTAGGCACTTTTATTATGAATGCAAATAGTTTTTCTTACTAAAGTCAAAATTGGGTTTTTAAGCATAATTTTTAATAGAAATAGAATTTTTTCAAATCTCAATTTAGTATATTAATTCTTTAATGTGTATAACTAGCTATTTATAAACATTAAAATTATTCAAATACTATCTATAATTTATCAATTATTTTAGAGACGTATTATTAATAATTATGAAATGCAGATTTCATGTCAACCAATAATTAAAATGGATCTATACAGCAAACGGTCCCTTATAGGGTACTTATCTATGTGATATATGCGTACATACTTATAGTACTTTTCTAGCAAATTATGAAAATAAAGAATAAAAAGATGTCTAAAAAAAGTTATAATTTGTCTTAAATGAAATACCTCCCAAAAATGTATTGAGCTAAATCTAACAAATAAATTCCTCTATATTACCATTTGAAACCTTTAAAGAACAACTAAAATAAATTTTAAATATCAATACATAATAATCATCTCTAACTGATTTGAGAGAATCAATCAAGAAGATGTAAAAATAAATTAACCAAACTTGTGATTGGATGTTCACAATATTGAGCGAGATTGAGTAGTAGAACATATCTATATAAAACTGTTTCAAACTTGAGGATGAAGAATTTCTATTTTCAAATATTTCTAAAGATAAGATCAGAATTTTAGCGCAAGCAATTGAAAATAACTTAGCATAGTAATGGTAAGAATGGCTAAACAAATGCTTAAAAGGGATATAAGAAGCGATCAACAAATTAAAAAGGACTTCGGATGATTTTGAAGAAATCATAAAAGTCTACAAAGAAGAAAAAGAGTAACCATTATCTTAATTTATTTAAAGCCAAAAATTGATAGAAGTGAAAGAAGTTTGTGGAATAAAATATGGAGAATAAAATTATATAATAAATGGATCTATTGTATTAGTATATTATTGTTATATCAAAAAAGGCAGGAAGGTATTTTGCCAATAATCCAAGTGGGCTGTGGCATGAATGTGGGAAACAATAACCCAGGAAAAATTCAAATTTTCAAATACTATACATGGATTATCTAATGAAGTATATGAAGGATGGAGTTATTTTAAAAATGTATGAGTGTTTTTGTGAATAAGACTTCCTTACTATTAAATGTCGAATACTATAGAAAACATTGAAAAGTTAAAGTATTTTGAAGAAAAAGGATACGTTAAATAGAATAAAAAGAGTGGCTTGTAGTTATGTTATTGGAAAGGGGAATGCTTAAATTCTGGAGGTATATATAATAAATAGGGAAATAAGGATGGTAGTTGGAAAGAATTGCATGATAATTATTAAGAGTATTATGAATGCTAATATTTTTAGCAATTCACAAGTTATATTTAGTAAAAACTATAGTAATGGTATTCAACTAGGAGAATAATAAATAATCTTTGATGAAGAAATTATGTAAGATTAGAATATTAAAGAATAGTGGAAAAGGAACATTTAAAGAAGGAGAGAAGGATGGATATTGGACGGAAATCCATGAAAAATTTTGTAGAGACCTATAAATAATAGAAAAAGGAAATTATAAGAATGGCCGAAAAATTAAGGAGTGGTAAATTTATTTAAAAAATAAAAAAATGTAAATGATAATACAAAATTAGTGGAGGAGGAGAATATGATGAAAATGGCAATAAGATTAAAATGTGGTCTGAATTGCATGAATGTTATAATGTGTAAGATTTATTTTACTATTCAACAAGAGATAGTCGTGTATTTTATTGTGGTAACTACAATGAAGGAAAGAAAGTAGGGGGATGGAAAATTAAGGATAATGATGAACAACTGTATTTAAATAGGAATAATTAAAATAGTGGAGGAGGATCTTATTTAGATGGGTTTAAAGTAGGTGAATGGACAGAAATTTCAGGTAATTTCTTGAAGTCAGGTGAGTTAACAATATCTTATGGAGTATATTTTAAAGGAGCCTATGAGATGGGCAAGAAAAAAGATTAATGGATGTTTAAAAATGATAACATATAGTAAAATTATACTAAAATTACTAGTGAAATTCAAGGTGAATATATTAATGGTTTAAAACATGGCGATTGGACAGAATTATCAACAAATTTTAATGAGTAATAATATTAGAACTTATTTCTTATAATAGAAGCGAATAAATTTTTGCAAAAGGTAAATATGAGAAGGGTTTGAGAATTGGTGATTGGAAGATTTTTAGAAATTCAGCGATGATGTTTAAAAAATTATAAATTTTAGTGGTGGAGGAACTTATAACAACGGAAAGAAGGTTGACGATTGGATTGAATTAGATGAGAATTTTGAATAGTATTTTTAAATTGAAAACATAGATCCATAATCTTATTAAAAGGTCGTTATAACTTAGAAGGTTTAAAATCTGGAGTTTGGATTATTTATGATGGTTTAGAAAATGTCAATTAGAAAGAAATTGGTAGAGGTTCCTACAATGATTAATAACTAAAAAATGGAAACTGGATTGAAATTTATGATTACTGCAAGTAAATATTTGATGATGTTCTTGCAGTGATAGTAGAGTATTATTTGAAGGAGAGTATTAAAATGGAATTCGAGTATCCTAATGGAATATCTTGGAGATCGAAACAAATAGTGACTAAAATCGCACTATTGGTGGAGGCGAATTTGATAATTTAGGGAGAAAAAATGGAACCTGGATAGAATTAGATAAACATTATTTTTCGTATTTGTTATACAAAATGTTGATAGATAATGCAAAGTCCGATATTAAGGAGATTATCGTTCTGGAAGGAAGAGTGGAAAATGGAAAGCAATATATTTTCATTATATGGATCAAAGGTTTCAAGTGTACAGTTTTATTATTAATTGGTAGAATTGGACAGTATGATGAAAATGGTATGAAAACAGGATAATGGACAGAATTACATCATTACTTTTCTGAGTATATCATAATTTTTTTAAAACAAAAGTTTAAACCAAATTACCCTCAAAGGATCATATTCTGAAGGTATAAAATAAGGCACATGGAAGATTTGTAAGAGAGATAGAGATGTGGATCTAGGGAGCTACGATAAAAATGGGCTCAAACATGGTTAATTTGAGATGTCAGAAACCTTAAAAGAGAGTATAATGTGCAGTAAACATAAATTCAAATATTAGATTTTAAAAACGGAATTAGATAGTCATGAAAATATATAAAAAAATAAATATAAAATATAAAATTACAATTATGATATAGATTGAAGTAAAGTTATCTAAACAAATGTCAGTTAAATTCTTCTTAAAAAAAGAGAATATCGAAAATGTTATTTTTAGTAATAAATTAATTTATGTTTCAATTTATTGTCACTTTAAAAAATGGTTTTCCCATAATTTAAATTAGATTTAAATAAAGAATTTTTTCTATTTGCGGAAATATGTTATAGAATCTAATGATTCTTAGTAGATTAATATGTATAAATAAGTTATCCTTCATTTTCATTGATTACGAATTGACCATTCTTAAGAGCCTAGTTGTACCATTACTTATGAACGCAATGAGAATATATCGAGATAATTCAGCTTTTAAAGATGAATAAATCAAAATTTCTTTCGATCCTGGATGCATCAGGCATTTATACGGTTAAGTATATTCTCCAGGAACCAAAGGGAAAATATAAAATGTGAAGGGCAAACCTTCCCTGTATTCATAGTGCTGGTTCCATTATCTCCTCTTATCTGATCCAGTGTACCTATTAATTAATGAATTAGAGTAAAATTTGATTAGGAAAGGTTTCTCTAATTACTGATTAATTTTGTTTGAATTATATCTCTACTATGTGGTTAATTATAATTCAAATTTTTTTGTGCTATATTAAGTATAACCATAATATTTTAAGCTAGCACATCTGAAGGCGAATATATTATATATTAACGATTTTTCAATCTATTGGATAAGCGGGGGTTTCTGAAAAAAACATATAATAAAAGGGATCTATTAATTTTTGTTAATGACGATTTAATAATGATAATTAGTATTATTATCAAACATCTAATTCATTATTTGTTTTTAGAAATCCAATTTGCTTAAATTTCTGATTGAAAACTGGGTGTACTTAGCAAATTTAAAGAATTCCAAAATTTCGTTTGAGCAAAGTATTTATAAAAATAACAATATAATAATAATAAAAAAAATCATATTACATTTACTAATTTAACCCCCTTTTACAATAATTTTCCATAAATATCATTAAGTTTGTGTTACTCTGTTTATTCATAAAATAGGTCGAAATCAAAATTAATCTCTTTGAATTCTTCATAAGGATTTAAGCAAATTGAAAGATATAATATGAGTAAATTGATATCTATTTCTTAACTTTTAAGATTAATGATTTATTTAATATTATCTCCAATAATTTCGTGATATAAATGATAAAAGCCTTCATTAACTTTAATTGAATTGTCATCAAAATTTTCGATTTCTAAAAGTAAATCTTTTGTCTTATTAGATATTTATCCCTTTAATAGTTCAATATCTACAGCTTTATTTAAGGCTTTGGAAATTTGTTAAAAGAAATCTAACGAATATTTCAAATCTTTTTAGATTAATTATGTTAATTTCCTAAATTCCTAGAAAATGATGTTGTTAATACTTCGGATTATAAAAATCTTTCCCATGTTTCTTAGTTAAACTTTTCATGAGCCCTTTTCGTAAATTATTCATTCACTCTTTCTAAATGGATTAACTAGTTCTTAGCAATAAAAAAAAGTAATCCATAATAACTATCATTAGCCAACTTTAATTTTTATTACAATTTAATAATTTGTTGGGCAACAAAATTAAAGTAAAAAGCCACATTTCTCTCAAATAGAAAGTAATTATAATATTTAAGCATCGCTGTTTTTCTTTTAATCTCACTTTGTTAATTGCGTAAAAGAATTTCACTCTATTGTTTACAGAACAAACACTTACATTTGGGTCTTGTTCATAATTTATTGATTTGGATTTAACTTCACCAAAAGCCTTTAAAGCTACTTCCTTTTACTTCTCAAGAATAACAATATGATCCTAAATTAAATATCGAGCCACTAAATATTGGTCAAGATAGCACTTATTAATTAAAATTGATTTGCCGAGTTCATCTTAATTATTTTATTATTTAAAACCTTTTTCTTAAAATAAATTTATGAAGTCTGGTTGAATAAACTATTCTTATTTTTTCAGAATTTAGCTTTCGAATACTTCCTCCCAGGATATTCTATCGTTCTCTTCAAGTTGTAGCATTCTAGTTATAAGATCCTTAACTCCATTTGATCTGACAGGCTTATTCGGAAATGATATTGGCTATGTTAAACACTTGAGTTACTTATTTTTGGACATTTTCAAAATATGATTCAAAATCTTTGGCTTCCCAAGGAACTCGACCATAGAGGATTTCATAAAATGTTACTCCCAAAGACCAGATGTCTGATTTCGAAGAAAATGGCTTTCCTTGTAGAATTTATGGGGCCATGTATAGCGGTGTTCCCATTTTTGTAAGTTATGTTGGAGCTAAGGAAATAAAATAAGAAATTGAAAACCATTCATATCCGAATCTATCACACAAGCTACGCTAAAATCAGTAACCTTGGCTATCCCCTAATGTAACAATATGTTGCCTGGCTTAATATTACGATGAATTATTTTATTCTAATACAAAATTTTAAAGCCTTCAACAATATGATTTATAAAGAGTATTGCTTCAACCTATCATAAATTAAAGTTTCACTTCACTAAGTCTATTTTCTTTCTTTTTCGCGATGTATTTTTTGAGGTTGCCGTCTGCACAATATTCAAGGATTATGTACACATAATTATTGGTACGAATGATATCAAGTATTCTTATAATATTTGGATGATTGATTTTTTAAAGTATTGCAATTTCTTATTTAAACAATTCAAGAAGCTTTGGATTTTCCCCAAACATCTAGAGGGTCTTGCTTATGATAAAGTTACGGCTATTTTGACAAGCTTTACAGCGATTAGCTTGGTTTCATCCTCTTTGTAGAAACCCTTATATAAACAACCAAATGCTTCACAACTCAGTATTTCATTAATAACGATATATTTTGTTACTTGTTTTGTTAACCAAGTATCCTACATCTTTTATATAAAATAATAATTAAATACATCAAATTGATTAATAGAAAATTTCTAACAAAATACTATGTAAGAGATACATAAACAAAACAATCTGGATTCGGACTCTATTTGTATGGTATGTAATTTTATATTAAAAACTTAGAAGTGAAATTGCGTTTTATTTATATCTATCGGATCTTGACAGTGCTCTTAATCACAGGTTAAAAAAGTGATTAGGTAGATGTAATAAATAATTTAAAACTGTAGTATTAACAAGGATGTAATTCTATATCAGATGTTATCAATTCTGTTCAAATTAGAATATATTGATTTCTAATAATTATATACATATTAATAGGAGAAACAGGATTTTATTAGAAGTATGGACATAAAAGAAAAAACTATGGAATAGATTTAATTAATCTTCTCAAAATTAACTCAAATAAAGTAATAGTGAGGCTACTTTACTCTTCTTTGGTGCTAGGGGAAGAATGGCAAGAATCCTTTTTGAAGTAAAAGATCTAATGCTATAAAATGTGTATAAGAATTAAATAAATTATTTTCCTCTAGAATATTAGTTAAATTAATAATTATGATTAATGAAATTTTATCAATGATTGTCTTGGTAATAATAGCATTTTTCATTGCCATTATTATCAAATACGCTATCGATTCATATATGATGGATTAAGAATCAAGCAAGGATTAAACTTATAAAATTTTTAATACAAATGAACTTCAAAAGAGGCAGAATCTTAAAGAGATTCAATAAGAACAGGAATTAATTTAAGAAAACACAATGTAAAATGAAGAGGATTACAATGACAATTAATAAAAAACAATATTTTCAATAAACAAAATTTCAACTCCCGTATGTAATTTAAATCAAAGTAATTAAGAACAACCAAATTTTGATAAAAATTCAAAATAAGAAAAGTAAATAGTGAATAAAAAGAGTGAAAAATTCTTGATTGAAGACATTCAAATTCAAACAACTTAATTCAGAAAAGCATTTGAAAACTAAATTTAAAAAGAAAATTATTAACTATTTATTTAAGCATAAGAAGAAAGTAAGTTGGTCTTAAACCCAATTATGCCCAAATTAGCTAAGAATTAATAGGATGATTTTGAGAATTGGATTTTAGGTTTATACAATATTCATAATAATTACATTCCAGATGAAGTTTTTATAAGCTAAATATTAAACTAAAATTAATTAGAAAAAGAACTGGGAGTGAATAATTAGAGATTTTCAATAAAATTAAGGGAAAGCTTAATTGGATTTAGAAAAGTAAAGTAAGATCATAACAGTCTTTTTGCCGCCTTATCTTTTTCATTTTTGGAAAATGCTTTAAAATCCCCAAACTTGAATCAATTAGAAAATGAAATGAGTTGGATCAAAACCATGAACCTAGTCATCAAGAGTAGGTAATTTTAGATGGACTAGAAAATGTTTTAGAATCATCAAATCTACTTTTTATAAAAAATGGTAGAAATCTATTAAACTGAGTATCCAGTTAATAATTTGGAACGATTAATGAATGATAGACAAAGCCAATTTTATGGGCTTTCTATTATTTACTTTAGAAATTTAATATCATCATTATTAAATAATTAAGGGGTTGGTGGAAATGATGAAGCAGAAGAGATTTTGTATTGGGAAAGTGAATTGAGCGAAGCTAATAAAATTTTTGAATTGTTAGCTGAAAGACTGAAAATGTACAATTTTAGATTATATTTAGTTAAATTCACGAATACAGCATTAATAAATTGAAAGGTTAAGTAGAGATAATAGTTTATGGATAAGATGATGATAGATAAATACACTTACTTTGTTCAGATGAGCATTATGACATAGGGATCGGAATGAATGATTGATGATTTATTATGCATGTCAATTATTCTTATAAATGAATGAACTGAATTTAAAAATCATAATATAAATATGTAAAATTAAAATAAGTAAGTGCTTGTTCCAGTTGGTGATGGATGCGAAGAAATAGAAACTGTGGCTATAATCGATATATTACGAAGAGCAAATATCGATGTTACTTTTGCATCGATAAAACCAGTTGAAGATGAAAAAGCTCCTGTGATAGTGGGCAGATCTGGAATATCTTTTATTTGTGATACATATTTAACAGAGGCAGTTTTGAAATAGCAATTTGATCTAATAGCACTTCCAGGGGGATTATCGAATGCTTAATCGCTAGGAACACATTAGCCATTGGTAAAATAGAAGTTTAATTTGATCATAGTTGGATCGATTACGATAACAGTAGGAGGAAGGGAAATGGATAGCTGCCATTTGTGCTTCTCCCTAATTGGTATTGGACAAGAATGGTTTTATGATTAATTCAACAGGAACATGTCATCCAGCTCATGTTTAAGATTATAAAGGATAATTTTCAGAGGATAGAGTTCATGTCAGCAACAAGTTTATTACATCAAGATCTCCAGGAACAGCCATAGAATTTGCATTGGCCTTGGTTGAATTATTGGTAGATTAGCATACAGCAGTTTAAATGGCAAAATCCTTATTAGTAAAGCGATGAAATATTTAAACTAACATTGAGTTTATAGATAATTATAATATTGATTAATATATTTATTTACATCCTATTCATCTGTTTGAATGTGTAAAACTCTAGACATTAATATACAGATTATAATTACATTAGGAACAGTATATCTAAGTACTTTTTTATCATCAACAACAGAGTCATCGCCTATCTTTTTAGGGTCATAGACATCTTTGGTAAAATTGGTGCCATATTCTTCAATTTCAAATTTCCTCAAAAACTTTTGCATAAGTTCCTAAAGAATGATGTATGGATGAATACTTCGCTGTCAGGTTTTTCTCTAGCGCTTTTGAGTTTTTTACTGATAAAAAAATCTGAACTTCCTTTTGAGGAGAGCTGGATTGAGTTATTAATCAATTCGTCTAAATTAGCACTTAAATTTGGTTGTGGCAATTTATTTAAGAGTTGCTCTCTTTTTTTTTCCTATTCTTAATATGTGGGATCACGATGATATAATTATTCCATTAATAATTTAATATATATTTATATAAGACGTCAGTGTTTTAAGTATGAGTCAATATTATTAAATATAATGAATAGGTTGGCTCTCTACGCTAATTAGTTGGCTCATCACTTGACAATCACTGATAATAGAACAGGCAAAACTATCGAGGTTCCAATCAGTACATCTAGAGAAAGCGATTTTATCCATGCAACAAAATTGGGTGCTCTTCAACATCAAGGTCAGCCTTTGAGAGTTTACGACCCAGGTTATATGAACACAATATGCTGCGTAAGATATGATTCTCAATGTTATTAGACATCTAAAATATCCTACATCGATGGAGACAAGGGAATTTTGGAATACAGAGGAATTCCAATAGAGGAATTGGCAGAGAAATCAACATTTGTTGAAGTGGCTTACTTGCTGATTAATGGAGAATTGCCAAGCAAGAGTTAATTATAGGAATGGGATGAAAAGCTTAGGAAGCATACATTCATTCACACAGATGCATCTTAAATGATGAAGAGCTTTAGATATGATGCCCATCCAATGGGTATGTTAATTTCAACTCTAGCTGCTATTTCAACTTTTCATCCTGAAGTTAATCCAGCTTTAGCAGGAGAAGGAGTTTACAAGAATAAAGATATTGTGAATAAATAGATTTATCGTATTTTGGGATCATTACCTACTATTGCATCCAACAGTTTTAGAAATAGAATTGGTAGAGAACATAATATGCCTCATGAGAATATGAGTTATGTTGAGAATTTCTTATACATGCTTGACAAATTGAATGAAAAAGAATACAAACCACATCCTAAAATTACCAGGGCTTTAGAAGTCTTGTTTATTTTGCATGCAGAGCATGAATTGAATTGCTCCACTGCATTCGTTAGACATTTGAGTTCAAGCGGAGTCGATATCTACACTGCCATAGCTGGTGCTGCTGGAGCCCTCTATGGACCCAAACATGGAGGAGCCAATGAGGCAGTTCTTAGAATGTTGGAAGAGATTGGTGATCTCAAGAATATCCCATAGTTCATAAAGGATGTGAAAGATAGAAAAAAATTGTTGATGGGTTTTGGACATAGAGTTTACAAAAATTATGACCCAAGAGCTAAAATAGTCAAATAGATAGCTTATTAAGTCTTTGAAATTACTGGCAAGGAACCATTGATTGAAATAGCAATTGAATTAGAGAAGATTGCTCTTTCAGATCCATATTTTATTTAAAGAAAATTATATCCAAATGTTGATTTCTATAGTGGAGTCATCTATAGGGCATTGGGATTCCCAACCGATATGTTCCCAGTATTGTTCACAATTCCAAGAGTGGCAGGATGGCTAGCACATTGGAAGGAATATTTGAATGACAAAGAAAATAACATTGTCAGACCAAGATAAAACTATGTTGGACCTGAGAAAAGAAATTATGTAACAGTGGAATAAAGAAAAGAGGTACTCAATTAATTTATGTTATTAGTTCCCAATATATTTGGAATCAAATAAAAGTAGTAGATAGAAGAGAAGAGAAACCGCAACATTATCTTGATTTAGGATATTAAAATATTATTAATAGTATATTTCATTATTTTCATATTTAATAATTATTGTAAATTATGTTTTCTAAGAAAATTAAGAAATAAGAAATTAAGTTGATTGACAATGATAAAGAAGATGATTAATTATAGCATTCTAATGTTAATCAGCATCCATAAATAGATAAATCAATTTAGAAATAAAAAAGAGTTGGAATCAATGTTTAACAATTAGCCAAAGAAAAATAGATCTCTTAAAAAAAATCAGCCACTAATAATGAAAGAGAAAGAAATTTCCTTAATCAAGATTCCGCTCGAGGATTAACGAGCATAAACTATATTAAGTAAAAAACTGAAAAACCAGATAAACTCATGGAAAAATATGTCTAAGAAAAAATTAAGAGCGTAGATCCCTTAGCTTTTTGTGGTCAAGTTGAGAATATATAAGATGAATAATAAAGAGATGCTGAACTTTTAGAAGAAATTCGTGAGGTATATTATTTGCTTCTATCTCTTTTAAGACTTAAGCCAAATTTTTATCAAAAAATGAAGAAAAGGACCCATCTTTCTATGTCGGTGGTATTATCCAAGTCAATTTATCTCTTGAGTAATATTTTAATCTTATCATTTAGAGAAGAAGCTTAAAAGCTAGCATAAATGGAGGATTTAAAAAGAGATCAATACATCTAAACCATTATTCAAGGAAAACCAAAAAGAGCAGCACCTGTAGTTGTACATCCAGATGAAGAAGAAGATAAGGAGACGAAAGCGTTCAGAGAACTTAAATCAAAGTTTTACCAAAAAGGAAGAAGTATATTTATTCAATTAAATTTTAGTTTTTAAATACTAACAAATGAAAAAAACAATAGACAATATTAAACCAGAAATCGAATAATCAAAATCATGAAGTTATATAATGACATATGTTTCAACTTTAAATTAAATGATTTAACATTCTATTATATGAAGCTTAAATTTTAATGAATGTAAAAGTTTTGAATATAATTTAAATTAATGAAAATTTTGATTCTCATTCTATTGACATTATCATTAGCCAAAGAAGATTATTATAAAATCTTAGGATTATCAAAAGGAGCTGATTTGGAGAGTGTAAAAAAATAATTTAGGAAATTATCATTGAAATATCATCCTGATAAAAATCATTCTCCTGGAGCTCATGAAAAGTATTAAAAAATAACTCATGCTTATTAAGAAATAATAGATGGTAATGCAGATAAAGAAGATGATGATATGCTTTTCAATAATAGGCGATATTCTTAAACATTTACCAGAACATATACATTTACTGATGATCCATTCAGAAGAACTTATAATTCATACACAGAATTTCCTAATCAAAAATAAGATAGCTTCTTAAATCTCAACTCTATTTTTCTAATTGGGATTGTATTACTTTTCGGTTTTCTGATTACAAACATCATGAGTAATATTTAATAAGAGGAAGGTAAATAAAATTAGTCAGCAAATCAATAACAACAGCATAATTAATAATAAGAAAATTAACAGCATCAAAGTCAACGACAAGACCAGAGTTAGACTTAATAAAAGTAACACACGAAATTGAACCAGGATATTAAGGAGAAGGTTTCAAATATTTCTTCCTATACAGAATCTAATCACAGATTCTAATTTTATGAGAATTTTAACTAATGATTTGAATTGCTATGTCTTCTATAATTTTAATCAACTAAATTCCAGAATTCTATATTAATTTCTAAACATTAAATATTAGTTAATTACATTTGTATCTTTGAAATTATCAAATTTTTTGTTCTATTCTTATTCATTTTATTGCTTGATCAGTACTAGTCTATCTAAAAATCATTTCTTTTAATTGAATTAAAAATAATACAAAGAAAAATATAATTATTATTTATTATGGATAAAGAATTATTAATTGATTGTCTCTACAATAAAGAAGTCATCAAATAACATCTTTCTCAAACAAGGAAGGCTTAAAATGATATTTTAACTAAGAAACCATCACCTTAATTTTATCATGTACAATCCTCAAAATTTGGAGTTAGACAACCAGTTTAAATAAAGAATCCTTTACTTATCAAATCTTTATTCTCATCAAGAAAATATTCAAAGGAGAAAGACATATCGCTTCCTATATGTGCATTTAAAATTTTACCAACCTAAACATTAGCTTCATTTTAAACTGATCGCATACATAGTAAATGTCCTGCATTTAAGAAACTGAAACTAAAATTGGGATTAAAATAATAAAATAATGTCCCTGATGAATAATTAAGGGTTGAAACTGCTCCTGTTATATGCAGAAGTTAAACTAGTACAAAACAAACAATTACTGCTTTATTAAAAAGCCAACCTAGTTATGAAAAAAAGACAAAAAAGTCGGAACCTACATTTACATTTAACCGAAACGATTGGGGGATAGGTGGATGGAATATAATTGAAGATAATTATGATGCTAAGATGTTTGTGGATTGATGGGAAATTTAGTCAAACTGCTAGAAATATATTCACATTTCTCATTTGTCTCTCTATTAAATTATTTATCTAATTTTATTTGCTTTAAATTTCAATTGAATATAAAATAATAATGTAATAGATTATAACCATATTTGCTCATATAGTCCATTTTTCAATCATCAATTTTGATTATTAGTTTTGCTCTTTTGGATCTACGTTTTCTAACAAAATTAACAATCATGAAATCTGTGAAGTTCTAGCAATCTTTATTTTGATTTAATTATTCTAAAATACTATGAGAATTCATATGAGTCATATAATTTTGAAAATCTTAGCATTTATCAAATTCCTCATAAATATCCTTGTAAGTTCCCATATGTTATTGATTTAAATAATTAATTGCTGGACTGATTTCCTTCATTTCAATTGAAGAAGATTCACTAATTTCAGAATCAGAAGAATTCTCCATCTCACTTATTGTGGCTGGATCATTAGATTAGCATTAGTTTGTAGATTGATTAATAGATTTAAAAAGTAGAGATTTTCCAATATCCTAAGTAATTTTATTATGTTCTAGTGGGTTTATCTCATCTTGATTCTTATCCAAATGAGTCTTAAATTTTTTTAATTCTTTAAGTTGAGGCGTTTATTGTTCTGAATTACACCCAGAAACATTCTTTGAAAATGATTCCAAAGCAGCCTTAAGTTTATCCTCTTGTGTGTTTTTAAAATTTAAAAGAGAATTATTCAAGAATCCTGGCAACCTTTTTATATATTGTGACTATTTTCTACCCTTAATATTTAAAACAGACAGTTTTCTGTTGGTATAATTAGTATCATATTATAAATTAGGATCCTTCTAATTGTCTTTATTTTACTCTTTTTAATGTTGTTATTATTTCAGTGATTAGATAAAGTACTTTGAACTTATTTATTAGGACAATTTGGGATCTTGCATTAAATAATACAGAACAGTGTCAGATATCTAAGCTTCAAAAATTAAGGATGATAGTCTTCTATTTGTATTTTATCTGCTATAGTACATTCTTTCTTGAATTTTATTTTTTCGATACTAAATGATAATTTTTGTCTTGTTGGGAAAACCTGTTAACATAGGACATTGATAAAGCATATGTGTTGATTTATTGCATCCAACACAATGCAGATGAAATTCATCAAATCGACCAGAAAATTTGACCAAATCTTTCAATTAACAATATTTTTCCTAAACATTCAAATAATTTATACATAGCCATATTTTTTTGCAATAGTTTAGAAATCATTTTTAGAGATTTTCAAAATTCTAGAAGATATCAATGATCTACATCCAATTTCATAATTTTAATCCAATAGAAATTCTTGTTATCCAAATATTTAATCTTATCCAGAAACTATTTGGATACCTAAAATATTTGCAGATCCCTCAGGAATTTCAACAAAATATTCTATTTCACCATCGCATAGTATATATAAAAAATTGCTAGGATCATTTTTTTAAAATATAGTGTTAAAGGGAACTAATTTTTCTTCAACAAACTTAGAGGCAAGTGCTGAAATAAAGTCTTCGTTGAAGTTTTCTTTAAAAAAGGGAATTTTTGATATACTCTTCATATTCAGATCTATCATCATTTCCTAGATAATCAGTTGGATTGTAATACATTATATAGATGAGATGGAAGCTGCTAATTAAATTTATTAAGATCTAGTTTGTTTTCATTGCTTTAATCCTTCCACAAAAACTCGAAAAATCTCAAAATTTTAATTTGTAATTTATTATTATAACCTCGAACTCTAAGAAACTACTTGAGATCATTTAAATCCACTCTTATTTAATGACTTTTTGATTGCAATTATCCCAATATTTATCCGATACTATTAATTGAATAACCAAAAGTGCAGCAAGAAACTATGGCAACAAAAATTAGATACACTTTTTCAATCAAATTTTATGGAGTCACATCCCCATATCCTATAGTTGTCATGGTGATAATGCTCCAATAATATGTGCTAAACTAATTTATTTATTCTAAATTTATACATATTTAATAATCCAAGTTTCATTTATCAAATTGTTTGCTAATAACCATGAGGTTTCTTTATCTAATAAGCCTACATAATATAATCCACAACAGCATAAATGAGATTAATATAATATCACATAAATCAATCGAAGCAGATCGTATGTAACCCAATAATTAGTAGTTAATTCCATTCTATCAATAATTGACTCCATTATTTCTGGAATAGAAAACCCCTTTATTACCAAAAATAAATATAAAGGTAATTCAGTTACACCAATCAAATAAATCAATGATGGAACAATAATCAGAAGATTCATCAAAAAATCTAATAATTATTGGGATATTACGGTGTTTATAGAAATTGGCCATGATTTTATTTCGATCTCTTACAAGATATCCTAACTCATAATAACATGTATTCATCTTTATGAGAATGTCAAATAGATAGAGGTAGAAAGGAACTTTAAATAGAAAGACTTCGCAAATTTAAAATCTCTCAGGAGGATAATTTTCAAAATCAAATGAAAACCTCACTGTAATATAAAGAGTGTTGAGATTAATGTGAATGAGCAAAATTACATTCCAAACAATGAGAAATATAGATTCTGGTTCTAAAGTGATCTTTAAATTGGTAATTGAGTCCAAAATTCCTTTCATTTAACAGCATTAGTAAAGATGTTTTTAAATAAAGTACTTTAGTCTAGATGATGGTTAAGGTTTCTTAAGTTATTTAATTATACTACCATATATTTAAAGTAATCATGTAGCAAATAGTAATTGAAGTCAGCTGCTTTATCACCTATGATTCTGAACATGTTTCCATCCAACAATGAAAACTTCGATGCAAAAGGACTCCGAGTTATTAAGGAAATAAACCGAAGTACTTGAATTAAGACTACTAGTGCTTTTTCTCTCCAGATTTTATTTTGAAAGGAAACTATTTTCTGATTTTGCAAAGTTTTTAGATTCACTGTTTTTAAGAAAGCAGGCCTTTGTGGTTGTTTTGGTATTGAAGGTTAAGTCTTGAGTGGTGCACGCTCTGTAAAAGATCCTAATTCTGAATTCATATTGTTAAAACAGGCTTTTTAATTATGATAAGAAAAATAAAATTGGTAATACGTGATTAAATCATAAAAAATATAAATCAATTAATTCAACTCGACAAAAAGAGGAAATGGACAGTTCCCAATCCTATAATGATACCAATTATCCTTATATGAAAACTGAGAATGTTTATGTATTATTCCAAATATCTATCATTTCATACCTTATTTTTAACAACTCTACATTGAATCTTTTTATAATGATATTTTAATTATCTATAAGTTCTTGTATTATTGTTCCCATTTACTTTATGAGGTGTAATTTATAAAGTGTATTTAGTTTTGAAAAAAGGAGACGTTTATATAAAAATGTTATATGAATTCTATAATGGTGGTGTATATATTTGTTAGTTTAGAATAATGGGGGAGGGAAAAGTGGAATCAATTATTTTGCATTATATAGGATAATAAAATAAATGAATTAATTAGAAAAAACTCCTAATTAAAGATTGCAGAGAACTCAAAGTCAATAGGATGAAAAGTGGTTTAAACAGTTGCATAGAATTTCTTCATCTTTAAAGTATTGTTTATTGGCAAATTAGAAATTTAAAAACAACGCAAGAAAGAATTGTATATATTAAAAAAGTTGCACGTTAAAGAGAATTAGATAAAATCATTCATGAAAAATAAGTTATCTAATAAAAATCATATTTATTAGATAGAAGCAAAAAGAAATTTCTTTCTTTAATTAGATGCAAAGATCCTGAAACATTTTTCTTAAAATTTAAGCCAATCTAAAAACCATTAAATATGTTAAGAATGGTTTCAGAATTAAATTTGGCCGAAAAAGTGCAAATGAATCTTAATAAAAGTTCTAAATATGAAGAAGAATCGAGTCCTATAGTAAATAGGACATTTAACAAGAATAATAAATTGTATTATAAGACTCTAAATTAGGGGAAGCTCCAAAGTTATTGAACTAAATGTATCGAAGGAATCATCTCAAGGCGATATAATGAAACCTAGAAGGACGTTGGAATATTTATTTTAAGATAATAAGAAATAAATTCCATTTTTATAAAATGAATCCGATCTGGAAAAAAGTAAGTCAAAAAAACAAACTTAAAGCAGATCATATTCTCAATATTCGAAATCAAATATGAATACTCTCTTAAAAACGGATATCAATGCTCTCTTAACAGAAATGGATTAAGTGGATCCTAAAATGAACACTAAATTACTTAAAATAAGTAAGGTTTCAAGTTAAATGTAAGCTTATTATTAACAATTATAGTCTTGCTCGAAATGGAATATTTTTGTAAACTAAAAACACCTCTAATTCAATCAAAGTAAATTCGTAAGATAACATATGCCTAGAAGATGACAGTAAATTTAAATTATATTCTAGATTCTTCCTTGGCTTCTCATACTGAATTGATGCTGGATAATTTGTATGGCAATACAAAAAAATTAAATTCAGACACTAAAAATTTAGAAATGAGAAAGAAAGAGTATTAACATGAGTCAATTAAATTATTCTATAAAAAAATTTATTGCAAGATCTGATATATAATTTTATTAATATTATAGAAGATGACTCATGGTATAAAGAATTACAATTATTAGTGATCGTCAGTGGACCAAGTGATTTCAATCTAGAGACTGTAGCCATGAATAACAATGGAATTTGGCTAAACAGAGTTGTGTTCCCTAAGATGAAAGATAAAGAAATAAGCATTAAATTTGTTTACATTAAATGTTGCTAATAGAATTCATACATGATAGATAGTAAATATTGTGACAAAATTAGTCAATCAAAATTTATGGGGTTTTGGAGAATCATTATATGGACAATTAGCGGAAAGGGTTTCATCTATTAAAACACCAATCAATTTATCAAAATTAATGAATGTTTAGTTTTTAAAAATAGATGGAGGCATTGATTTTGTTATTGCTTATACTACTACAAAGTAGTTATATATTTGGGGAAATATTCCAGGTTTGAAATTTACTTAATTATTGAAAACGGAGAAGATTTCATATTCAAAGGACCTCTAAGGAAAGTCTTTCGAGATCAAAGGCTTAAATATAACAAAATACTTCAATTAACAAGTAATTATTGATGAAAAAAGCAATCCTCCTTCATTGCATTCAACAAGAAGGAATTCTAAACTAAATTTTAGATACATTGTTGATATCCAAGATTATTCTACATATAACAACATTCTTTATATTCTCACAAAAAATTTAGTGCTGCATTCATTTGGAAAATAATTAGAAACCTAAATTCAATTTTGCGGAATATCATGTGGTCCATTTCACACTTTAGCTTGGGAAGAAAACGGAAATGTGTGGAGTTGGGGTGAATTTTAGGATGGAAAGCTTGGATACATGAGATTCGATGTATCTGAGTAGAAAGAACCTAAATTAATAATAGATTTTAAAGCAAAAGCAATTTAATGTGTATGTGGAGCCAATTACAGCATAGCACTTGATGTAAAAGGTGATGTGTATACTTGGGGCAAAGGGCCTTTTAAGATGGATCTATCAAAGGCTACTATGCCAAGTAAAATAATAAAGAAAAAAAGTCCATTTATTAAAGTGGCTGCAGGGCTTGATCATTTTGGAGCTTTAAATAGTGCTGGTCAACTATATGTTTGGGGAAGCAATAAAAAGGATAGTATTTTTAATCTCTCTGAAGAAGTTTACCCTCCTGTTCCATTAGAAATCCAATTAAGAATTATTGATTTTGACATGGGTCCTTACAATACTGGATTAATTATATAGGGAGAAAATAAGGTTAATTTGCCATTGTTGAATTTTGAACATTTCAAAACTGAATAGTACAAAGTGATTTCAGAAGAAGCTTCACTCATTCAAACCTATGTGAATAAGAAGAATGCTATAGAATATGAGAAGAAAAAAAGCGAAGCCACATCACCAGTTATTCAGAGGTAGGAACCATTAGATTTAAATAAATTAATTCGTAAAAATAAATCCCTTAAAGGGAGTTAATCATCCATATTTCATAGTTCAACATCAATAGGGTAAAAATTAAACAGTCAAATTAAATTTCCTATTTTATTTGATGGTGTACATACAGAAATGTAAAAAATGGAATAAGAAAGCTAATTGTATATACCAATTCAATATTCAAATACTGATAGGGTGGGTAAGAATCCATCTTAAGAATTTATTGAATTAGATTCTGTAATATAAACTGATAATGATTAATTAAAATACGAATATATACAATTGGCAAGAGAGAAAGATGAGGAAGGGCTTTTGTTATCGATTTTGAATTAAGCTGAGGAGAAGAAATAAGATTTGCATTTGAAAATGCCAGAGAGAGTGTAAATTAATTAATTTAGAAACAAATTCAAAATTACTAAACCTGTCTATCACGATAAATATGATCAATTTGATAAAAGCATTATTTAAGCAACAAAAGAATAGATATAGTTACTTCATTAGGAGAGAGCTTAGAAGATCTTATAGAAAAAGAGATAAAGAGAGTAGGAATTTGAAAGGATAAGTTTGATCAGTTTATAATCAATCAAGCCAATTTTAAATAAGGAATAAATATTAGAATCCATTAAAACAAAGGCATAAGAAAATCAATAAAAAGCGAAACTAGTAACTCTTAAAAAAGAAGAAATTCAAATAGAAAGAGCCAATTATTTTACTTAAGTTGTTTATGAAAAATCACAAGAATTTAAATAGAAATAAAAATAATAATAACTAGAAAAGCAATAAAGATAAAATTTATTCAAAGAATTATTGACTTATCTGAATATTTAAAATATGGCATAAATTTTTTTGTAAACTAGTCGTAATGTAATAGATCATCGAAGGAGTGAATTGTTACAAAATATTTCAGCAAAGAAAATATAGCATTATTTTAGAAAAAAGTACATTCTTGTTAAAATAATGAATTAATTAAATGCAACTGCCAGAAAGATTCTTACAGCTTTCATCGTCAGATATAAAATTAAACTTAGAATAAAAAGAAAATAATAACGAATCAGAAAACTTCATATATTTCAACTTAGAAATTAAGTTAAACTTAAGGTGATCATAGGACTTGCAAGCATAAAAAAAGCTGCAATAATTACACAGCAATTTTGTGCTTGGTTTAATAACAGTATTTCAATTTAATTGAGTGTTCTTAATTATTATTGGGATGAGCATTTATTAAAATAGTTTAAATGTGTCAATCTAAATTAAGATAAGGAGGAATTAAAAGCTTGTCAATCTAACTTTACTAAATATATTTAAGAGGAGTTCTCATATCTAACTAATCAATTGCTAAATCAAGATTAAATTTCAAAATTATTGTATATATTTTATTTATAATTAGAAAATTCCCAAAACACGTTCTACTTCATGGTCGTATGCTGCGAGATTATGTTAGTAAATAAATTGCCATAAAATAAGAGAGCGAAAGAAAATAAAAAAAATAATTTAAACAATCAAACTAGGTTTTACTACCTTATACAAGATACATTGAAAAAATTTAATTGCCTAATTAGTACAGGATTAAATTAAACTTCTCATAAATTTAATAACTCAATCTAATGGAAGAATTGACATTGTTGGAATGCAAACTGAAAAAAGATGTTCTATTCTCACATTTATTAAAAGAGAGAAGAAAATATGTTGTATAAATGTAAAAGGTATTTAATTAACTTATAATTAGTTCTTTTCTGATTTATTAGAATTTAAAGAGAAGAATAAGGCTCTTATAGGATCTGCAAGAATCAAAACATTTTCTAAATTAACACCTTAGGAAATTTAATTTTTGAAGGAACTAGACTAAATCGAAAAACAAATATACTTATAAAAATAATCAAATGCAAGATAAAAATGTAAATTGATATCTAACATAGAAAAAACTTCAAAGTTTGTTCTAAAATATAAACAAGGTTAGATTCAACAAATTAATTAACTTAATGAGGATTAATATCCTTATCCAGGATTAACATTTAAAGTAGTTGAACAATTGATGAGATCATCAAGACCCATCTTTGATATTAATTTAGATGTGGAATAATGGAATGATTTATTTTAGGAGTATTTCAATGAATTCAGAGCAAGATCAGAAAAAATCATTAGTTCAGCCATAAGAATAACTACTCTTAAAATTAAATAGGAAAGTCCTCTTAAAAAGAGATCATAAATTACTTGATACTAACATTTCATATCTAATATATATATATAAATATTTTATATTACTCAACTTTTATAAACAATCAGTTCTACTTTGACAAAAAAAAGCTAATGAAGTGTATATAAACAAAAAGAATTTCTTATTTCTAGTCTCAAATATTTAGTTAAATAGCATTTCGTTATATATTTATTTAATTTAGAATTTTTATCAATTCAAAATTCATTATTTATAAATTGATGAAGAACATCGATGAAGTAGATTCTCGGATTCATTAATACATGGAAAAAAGGAAATCCCAACAACCTAGTTCTTTTGATCAATCTACAATTCTATTTTAGGATAAGGCTGGTCTATTGAATGAATTGGAAACTCTGAGATAAAAAAATATCAGCTTAGAACAAGAGCTAAAGGAGTTGCTTTCATCATATGACGAAATTCAAAGAGAAGAATAAATTAAGAGATTAGAGTAAGAAAAGGCTGAAATAATTCAAATTGAATTGGAATAATTAAAGTAAGACTTAATTCAAATTCTAGGCAAATGCATTTAAAAATGAAAGAGGAATATCAGCAGCAAGTGGATTTCCTTTAAAAATAATTGGATTTGGCTGAGTAAGATAAAATTAAATTGCTTATGGAAAATTAAAAGCTAAAATCAAATCAATGCAATGAATAAGAAACCTAAGACTTATACAATAAGGTGTTTAAAGATGGTTAAGAAAATATCAAATTTAATAAACAAATTGATAGATTTTAGAAGGAAATTCTAAAGTTGAAAACAATTGTAGAAACAAAAATTACCAAAAAGCAGCAAGGAAAAACAAAGTAGACGACTAAACAAAATGAAAGAAAAATAAAAATTTGATTTTAATATATATTGGCTTATTATTATTACTCATTATTAATCTAAATTATGAATATAATAGAAAAATGATTATATTTCATTATTAGTAAAAGCTATTAGTATATATATACACAGTTTGGCTTAAAATTTATCTTATCTATCTAATTTTCCATGTAAAATGGTTAATTAGAGAATTCAGTATCGGACTTATAATACCAATAGACATTTATTTTTGCTGGGTCTTTATTTAATCATGAATCTCATTCTTCAATGTAGAAAAGAGATATCATTCAAGTTGCAACAGGAAATATTGTAGATAATATTTGGAAATCACACTCCATTAAAAATAACACTAAGAATTTTATCAATTTAAGGAAGACAAGTTTGCAATATTTTCGATACAAGATCCTATGTAATGTATTCTAAAGGAAGCCTTGGTATCATAAAATTAATTAATATGTGTTTAATATGAGTTTGATTGAATGATGTAATTAATAATTAAGAATTTATGATTATATTACAGTGATGCAATATTTGTTGATCATAGTATTTATGATCTGCATTTATTTTAAATTAATCAATTAATAAAGAAATGAATAATTACGAAATTGGCATACAAAGATTTATTGAAAAAATAAGAGAACAAATAAGATTAAAAGAAAAAGAATATTTATCAATTGAAAAGGCTCTTATTCGCAAAATTGTTCATAAATCACCTTAACCAGCAAGGACTCTTGAATTACGACCCAATCACTTTTTAGATGTCTCAATAAAACCTAAGCATGTGAAACCTAAATCAAACCCAAATAATTAAAAATCTTTCGATGAAATAGAACCAGATGTTTTACCCTATTTGTTGTAGCCTTTATAAACATAAAATCACACCATTAATAAAAGAATATCCCTAAAAATTCCTACAACTATTCCTGAATCATCCAAAAAACAAGAAAGGATTGAAAACCTACAACTTCGAAGATTTTTAAGAAATTGTACCCCAAAAAAATGGACTGTCGAGAGTTCAGATGAAGTTTAAATTTGATTGATTTGTGTATATAGTATATTCTTAATCAAGTCTTTAAAATAAATTGGTTAACTGACAATTTCAGTGTGACTAGTGTTTCTTATAAACCTTAAATACCTAAAGTCATTGCCCTAAATTATATTTATCTTAAATAATTTTTAACACTAAATTACAGATGGAAAAGACCCAATTAAGTATTAAATGTAAATCAACACATCTAGTTAGACTCATTTTCATTTTCTGCTTCTATACCCAAAATCATACTCAAAATAGATTCAAACAGTAGGTGTTATTTAACAGTTAAATGAGAAATTATTATAATTAATTCAATTTGTTTAAAAAATTATTTAACACATACAAATTAATATGTTATTATAATTGTATAATAAGTATTCAACCTTAGAATAAAAACCCTAAATTAAGTATATAAATATAAATTATTATTCTCACATGAGAAATAGGCTAAAATTAGAAACTGATCAGATATGAATTACCCAATATAGAAAAATAAAACATATATAGAGAATAATTACAAGAAAAATTTTATAGTATCAATTAAATTTAATAATATTATTAATATGTGTGATTCTTAATTATTCAATTTTAATACTCCTCTTGCCTTAAACAAATAGAGAAGAATCATAAATGTACTTCCTAATGAAATAGATATTGAACAAATTTTGAGGAATTATAGAATAAATAATAAAATTGAACAAGAGATTGTTTAAAAATAACAACCCCAAAAAAACAATAAAAATCCAGCTAATTTGACAAGAATGAAGCGGGTAATATTAAACTAATTCAACAGGCCTGCAACCAATCGAAACAATCAACAGAAATGTAGAGAAAATTTTTAGGAATAGTATCCTTATTTTCTATAAATTCAACATTATAAAATTACTACTCAACCAAATTCACTAAATGTTATGAAATAAATTTCAAGAGACCGTATTTATTCATTAGACAGACATTCACAAAAAAAAAAATCCATTGATTTCAGTAATATTAAAACTAGAAATATGAGTATTTAGTAGTAGGAAATCACAGCTTGGACCAGAAAGACTTCAGAGAGTTTTTGAAAACAAAAACAGTGTTGTATATAGTAATTGTATATTGTTGTTAAAATATTTAATTCAATTTATTATTCTTTATTTTTGATCAATTTTGACTTCATTTTAGAGCTGTGTGAATGACCTTCAAATTGTGTATTATATCATTTTATTATGGATTCGATACTCAGATTGCATTTATAAATAGAACATTCAATTTTATAAATCTAATTATGTTGCATATTTTAAAATTTATTAGTGCTTAGTTATACAATTGTATATTAGTTATTGCAACAAACTATTAATTAGTAAAATTATACATTATTTGTTTCACTTTAAACGATTGCATTCTCACCTCTTTAGATTTATGTTTTGTTTATCATAGATCAATACAGAATCAATTATTTTCCATAACATTATTCTAATATTTTTAGAATTATTTGGAAAATCAATTACATTATTTTTAGCTCCTTTATTATAAAGGTTTGATGATTCTTACAACATCAGGTTCGAAAATATTATCCAATCATGTACATATAAAATAGATTTCTGCAGAATTTGTTATTGATATGCTAAAAAGTTATTGTAAATTGAATTATGTGCGAATAAATACAACTCAAATAATTATCATTAATATATTATTATTTTAACTAGAAACTTTCTATTTCTATCATGTAATATTAATTAATTTATCAAAAAATTAAACATCACTCATATAATTATGAACACCAAACTTTAAAATAAGGGAGGCTATTACGTCCTAGAAAAAGCTTAGAAGAAATAAACCAAGCAAACAAGGTAACCAAAATAAACTCAAACCCAAAAAAAATCATTTAAACCTTTTGAAGGAAAAGGAATAAAAATGAGTAATGATTAAAACCACTATAACTGGATTTGCAAACAATGTGGATTTATTAATTAAGAAAATACCGACATTTGTTGCAAGAACTGCCAATTTTAGAAATGAGTTTTCTATATAATTTGTTAAAGAATATAATTTAACATTACCCATCAACAGTCTTAAACATTAATGAATGGAAAATGTAGATGAAGAGTTCTGCAAATTATATGAAATCATTAATTGCGCTGTTATTGAATTAGATTAAAATGTGATATGAAAAATTCATTTTTGAGATCATTTATCAGTCTCATCCATAGACGCAGCAAAATCCAAAATAGTCGGATTCGATAACTTAAAATAATACTTCATAATCTTAAAGTTTCATACATTAAAGTAGAAAGAAAAAATAAGAACACGTTCTCATATTATTAAAGATTAATTTGAATAAATAGAGAACTTGTAATTAATGAAATGGAGACACAAAGAATGTTTATTAGTTTGCATCTAATCTTTACAATGATATATTACAATATTATAAGCTTTAAATAAAGAAATCTTTCTTTCATTTATAATAAAAATATAATTGTTCATTTATCATGCAATAACATTAATGTATTCAATGAAAGAATTAAATATTCTCAATCATTTAATATAGATGTAAATTTTTTATTTATTATTGTAATGTATTTTGTATTTATTTAAATAATCTTTAAGGATGTATCAAACTAATCTTAGTGAACAATTTTTAAAATACAACAAAAACTAATGATTAATAAATACTCAATGCATGTACTTATATAATAATCTTATTGAATATTAATAAAATACAAATAGATATATTGTTGAGATACAGTGACTTTATTGTAATGAAGAAATCCTTGATAATGTAATAATGATCGTAGCTAAGAATGGAATTTAATTTAGAAAAGAATTTCAACAAAAAGAATGCATAAATTTTAATAAATGTACAATAGAAGCATTTTGGATTTTTTTTACATTTAGGAATAAAGAGAGATACAAGATATGTTATTGAAAAATTCTTTTGTAATATTGATTTATTGGATGTGGAGCTAGATTATATATACAGTTATCTAATCATAAAATAAATTAGATTAAATATCAAGTATTGCAAACATCTATTTATATTTTGAATAAGAAACTAAATTTTGGATTAAATTACATTAAGACTTATAATTAATATTTATTAGAAAGAAGATAGCCGATAAACCCAATAATCTATCTGTTATTTTAATAGTTTTTTTATAACATTACTACATTTTCCTGGAATATAGAGGGTTTGAACTACAAATTATATTCTACATAAGAGAGTTAAAAAATTATTAATAGATATTGATGAAGAACTAATAAACTTTATTGATTGATGCAATTTCATATATAGTGCATATTATTCAATTTAATTAGTGTCTACATACAGGGCATTCTCCTTTCTATTTTAGCCATTAATCAATGCAGTTTGCATGAAACTAGTGAAAACACTCCAGTATTCTATAATTTTATGAGCATAACTCTATACTTGACAATATCAGATTTTTTAAAATCAATCATGCAAACAACACAATTTAAATTTTTCTAGTTAGGTATGTATTTCTATGTTGGTATCTATTTAATTTGACTCGAACTCATAGGTTGTGCTTGCCTTCTTTCCTCGACTTCTGGCTCTTCATCTTGATAATAGTAATTTTCTTAATAGTTTTCATCTTCCTCATCATCGTCATCATCATCAGCATAGAATTGAACATTCGGCATAGCAAAATATTATTAGACTCGGATTGATGGCCCTACATTTTGGATTTGTATATGTTATCTCTAGCTTCCATTTGTTTGTAGATTAAATTAAATTGAATCGGAACCAAAATTTACACTTGAATACTGGGATATTTTTACTTAAAAGTGAAAGCCTCATTCATTTAATGTCTCATATTGTCCATTTGTCTCTGAAATTAAGAATTAGGGCCAAAAATTTCTAGAGTTTTTAAATTGAATTACAATTAAAATTTGGAAATTGAACCATTCCGTCTTAATCGCTATCAGAACTATCTTGAATTTATTGGATATTGATATTTCTATTATAATTGCGTGAATTATTTGTTCTTGATTAAGGCTACCTTTATTGCTAATAATATTATTGCCTTGATTATTATTATTGTTATTGCTACGCTCTTCTCTCTCTTTATTACATTAGGCATTGTGTTTAATGTGCAACCTTGACTAGATTAATTTAGTACCAAACGATCTGCTTGGATTGACTTATGGCAAATTTAGCAATTTTAACGTGAATGTCTTTATTACTATTATCTATTCATCGAAATAAACTATTTAAATTATAGAAGAGTATGAATTGTTCTAGATTTAAATCATAAATTAAATTTCATGACAACCATTTCAATCAAAATCAAACATGGAGCAGATCAAATCGAAGTTATAGAAATCGACCCTAATGCCACAGTAAAAGAATTAAAGGAGAAACTCACTCTCAAATTTAATTCAGAGCCTGCTTAAATGAAGATTATTTTTCAAGGTAAAATACTCAAAGACATTGACGTCCTCTCAAATGTGAATGTGAAGACTGATTCTACCATGCATCTAGTTGTTACAAAATGTATTTAAATAAACTAAAGTAGAACAAACCTAACCCCCTTAATAAGTTCCACCTCAATAATAATAATAATAGCCCTAATAACCCGCAGGAGTATAATAATAAGGTTAAGGTTTAGGAGGTGCAGGCGGTATGGGTGGAATGGGAGGCTTCGGTGGAATGGGAGGCCTTGGTGGAATGGGAGGATTAGGAGGAATGGGAGGAATGGGAGGAATGGGTGGAATGGGAGGACTAGGCGGCCTCGGAGGAATGGGAGGTATGGGAATGGATCCATAAATGATGATGTAACTTCTATCCAATCCAATGTACCAAGCACAAATTACACAAGTATTTGTTTTTTCCTAAATATGTTTAGGCATTGTAAAATCCATAAGTAAGATAACAATTAATGCAACACCCTATGATGGCTTAATTGATTTAGACTAATCCTTAAATTTAATAAGTATTTGAGAATCCTTAACTCTTTTAAATGATGATGAATCCTTAAGTAATTTAGATGGCCCTATAATAAATGGGTGGAATGGGAGGTATGGGAGGCATCGGAGGAATGGGCGGAATGGGAGGCCTAGGTGGTTTTGGCGGTATGGGAGGTTTAGGAGGAGTTGGAGATCAACAGACTCCTCCTAATCCTAATAATGCATAAGTGCCTCCACCAGGTAGTTAAAACGCTTAAAATCCCTTGGCAGGTTTTGATTTGCAGAATTTAATGAATTTGATGGGAGGTATGATTAGTGAATTAAATTAAAATAGGAGGAGTAGGTGGTATGGGTGGTGCTCAATAGACACCTGAAGCCGCAGAGCAGAAATATGCTACTTAATTGCAATAGTTGCAAGAATTAGGATTTTCAAACAAATAAGTGAATTTGGAGGCCTTGATTGCCACTTAAGGGAATGTTGAGGCTGCAGTTGATAGAATCTTAAATATGATCGGCCCATGATATATTATTAGATTTTATTCATTACGAAATTTATATTAAATATATTTAAATAAAATGATTGACGGAGATGAATAGAAGAAAATGGAAAACGAGGGATCATATGGATATTTTACAATTTTAGCAGTTAAGTTTACATCGTCTGAACAATAAATTGATAGGTTGATGTTGATATTTAACTTAAGAAATTATAACACTCTAATAAAGTTTTACACTGACAAAGAATATCAGCAGGGAGACAGCTAGGAAAATCTCAATAAAACCAATGAAGCCTACAAAATAATCAAGGACGAGAAGGTAAGTAAATTTGTATTATACGACAGGCCAGAGAATCCTATATGCACAAGTTAATGATTAGGTGTTACTTAAGCCAGCCTTTCGATTTGATTTTGCCAAACAAACAAAGTATGCTTCGTCTATAGATTAGGTGATAAATTGTGGCCTTTTTTTATCTTTGAAGTGATTAAAGAAGGAAAATCCACCAGTGAGATTATGCAGTTCAATTTCTCGGCCCAAACCTTAACGGAATAAAAGAAGGATGTAAGGACAAAAAGTTATATGTTTTCAAACATTTCAGTATCAATATTGCCAATTATTTTAAGTCAGCCTTGTATTCCAAAAAAGATGATGAATTCATAATTAATTTTATTGAAAATGGCAAAATACTTTCTTAAAATTACAAAGCTAAATTTCAAAATCAAAGAGACCAACTTGTTAAACTGGCTATTTTTGCTAAAGAGATCTTTGAAGAAACCAAGCCTACCCTTGAATTTCATAATCCCAACACAAAATAAGATTTGAATTTATTTAAAGTGCAGCATTACTCAATTGGAGAAAATAGTAAAACTGTAAGTTCAAAAGTCACCAACTTGTTTTTTGATTAAGTATCAACAAAAAACTATTTCTTGTGGAATGATTCATATATTCCACCACATTCCTTACTCAAAACATCTGCCTAAAAATTAGCAAGTTTGGGATAATCCAAAACTGTTCATTTCACTATTGGGAAATCATAAATGCTTGTCTCTAGAGATGAAGACTTGCGCTAAATCATTCAAGTAATCCCTTTAAAGAAGGAGTACTTGGCTTTCAGTAGAGACGAGAACGGTATTTATAAACTGAATTCCCTTTAGTCGTACAATTGTAAGTGCTGAACAACACTAGAAAGTACAGATTCCATGACAAACAAAGTGCTAGTTAATTTGTTTAGAAGCTTATTAGTGTCTAAAATCAAAAGGCTTCAGCCACTCCTTTGATGACTGAGTATCCATTTGGATAGCACTTGTAGAATATTGTGAGAAGCAAAAAGTCTGCAATTCAAAAATTAAACTCTTTAATTGCGTAATACGAGTAGAAAGTCTAACAATTGAAAGTGCAGAGGTATGAATCATTCAGTATTATTTATAGATAACAACTACTGTCTGAGTTTAATGATTTGGATTTAGACAAAGTGGACGATGATGAATTGATGATAAACAAGGAGAAGGAATAACAGAATAAGCAGTCTTCTTTTGAGCCAGCTAGTTTATTCAAGGCTCCTGTTAAATTTAAGGATGAATGAATGATAATAAATCTATAATTATATAACTATAAATTAAAATGCCATCTTAAATCGATGTCTTTTAATTAACACATACATCTACAGATGATGAAATTTAATTATGTGTCGAATGGATCAAGGCTTAATTGAAAGCAAAATAGACTGTTACATTGTTAGTTAAGAAATGCTAAAGACAAGAATTGATACCATAAGTAACTGTAGATATAGTGACCATGATTTAATAAAAGATAAAGCAATTGAGTCAGGATCCGTAAACTAGGTTGAGTGAGGTTTAAGAATTGCTACAAATCTATAACTAGAAAGGAGTCAAGAATCAAACCATCTTGATTTAGTTATATGTAGAAATATAGTAATTAACCTTAGATTGAACTTGCAAATGCCAAACAACCTGAAGCCTAAGATAAAGCCATTGAACTACTATGTAAAGTGGATGAGAAAATTAGAAAACAATTTGCATCTTAATTTTCGTAATTTCTAAAAGAAAAAATTAAATAACTTATTGAACATGGACAACAGGAAGCAAACCAATAAAATTTTAAGGAGGCTTTGGCTTTGTATCAGAAGGCACAAGAACTAAACAATTATTACGAAGAAAAGGATACAACCATCTAGTTAAATGTAATAATATAATGAATTCTAGATTCAATTAGGGAATGCCTATCATTATTTAAAATAATATGATGATGCTTTAAATGTATGGGAGAAGTCTATCAAGTACATACAGGGTCAATCATAGTAATAGCAATTCCAAAATGAATTAATATACATGTACAACACTGTTGGTTAAATTTATTATGACAAAAAACAAAATAATAAAGCTACCTCCTATTGGGACTCAGCCATAAGCATTTTGGAAGAATAGAATGAATAAGAAAAGTTGGAACAACAATCCAAATAGTTATTAGGACACTTATTAAACAATGTTGGGATGATATACTATCAAAAAGGAGAGGTAAAGAAGGCCATCTAAAACTTTTAAAAAACAATAGAAGTTTATGAGAGTATTTATGGGAAGGGCCATATAAGTGTTGGGAATCGTTTGAATAATTTAGGTGAAGCTTATAGAAGCGATAAGCAATATGATAAAGCTTTGGAGATGTTCAACCAAGCCTTAAGTATAAAGAAAGCAGAACTGCAAGTGCAACCCTCGAAGAGCTTAGCAAGTACTATAAATAACATAGGTATGACTTTGTAAAATAAACTATCATACGACGAAGCAATTGATTATTTCAAATAAGCTTTATAAATGTACAATGAACCAGGAGTGTTTAGTGATCCAAATGCTGGAGATGCTGCTATATAAAAGAGCAATACAATGCATAGTATTGCTGAATGCTATAGAGCATCGCATAATTTGGATCTGTGCATCCAGTATTTTAGAGATGCCTATAAATACAAAGCATAGGAATTGAAAATATTCCATAAATCAACTCAGCATACAGCAATACAATTGGCCTCAGCGTTATTCTAGAAAAATTAATTTGAAGAATCTTTGAAAATATTTGAGGAAGTCCTGGACGGATAGAAAAAAGTGTATGGATAAGATTCTCAGATAGTGGCTTAAACAATCAACAACATAGGAACTGTCCTGTCAGAATTAAAGCAATATTAGAAGGCCTTGGAGAAGGTTTAAGAGGCAATTAGGATATTCGAAAAGAAATTAGATAAAACTGATCCATACCTTCAAAAGGCATACGAGAATATGAAAAATATTAAATAAAAATTACTGGAATGAAATTGTTTCATAAATTTAAATATAATCAAATTTAACCTACTATTTTCATAAACACATCTTCTAAATTAGTTTGGCTTATTCCCCAATCTAAAAATAAGAAGGAAGAATTACCAGATATTTATAAATATTCTTTTTCTTTCTCAATTTGCCAAAATATATCAGATACTTTACAACTCTTTTCTGATATTTAATAAATCAAATTGCCATTGAATTCTGATATCATAATGGATTAAGGTAGAATATCTCTGATGAAATCTTTAACCTTATTAATGTAGAATTACGACCTAATTCAATATTTAAAATACTATTATTGATTATTGATCGACTATAAGTATTTATCCCTATGAATTTAAAGAGATAAGTGATATCCGCCACCATAGATATTCTTCAATCTCTAGGGAGTTCCAAGACACTTAAGTACTCCTTGACTCATTATCCCTGCTAATAGGATTGAATGTCATACCTATTCTATTACATAGAACATCTGCTTCCTCCATGGAATGCGTGGTTAGCACCATGGCTCTTCTTTCTCTACACTACTAAATGATCTCCCACAATTATCTTCGATTATCAGGATCCAAACCTGTTGATGGTTCATCCAGAAACACGATCAAAGGCTCTCCAACTAATGCAATAGCTATAGATAATCTTCGTTTCATTCCCCCTGAAAGTTATTAGGTTTAATAATTAAAATAAGGTTCTAGTTTAACTTCAGCCATGCTCTATTGGGCTCTGACTCTCTCCATATCTCTATGAACTCCTTTCAACCTTGCATAAAAGAGTAGGTGTTCCTCTACTGTTAATTCAGGCCAGAGCAAATCAAATTAAGGGCAGACTCCAATTCTCATCTAAACTTCCTTCATTTGTTATTTAATTGAGTAACCACCTACAAATGCTGTACCATCAGAACATCCATATAATCCTGTAATAGTTGATATAATAGAGGTCTTCCCAGCTCCATTCGGACCCAACAAACCAAATATCTCTCCTTTTTCAACGCACAAACTAAAACTCTTAACAGCAACTGTATTTTCATACATTTTCCTTATATCCTTACAAACCAATGGATAATCTTCAAGATTCTTTAATTTGTAGACTTTTTCCCTCTCTTCCAGTACATCTGTGTCTTCTTCCAATTAATTAACATTCAATCCCAATTGATCCTCCTCATAAAATTCCATCTACTCAGTTTTTTTGAAGAATTTGCAAATCCAGGGTTCTGATGCTACTCCATATTCTTGAGGGATGATTTCATGGAGATAGATTCCCATAATCGCAAAGAAAACAGTATTAAAATATAATGAGAATAAACATCCTTGTATCTCTGGGCTGATTAATTCTAATGAAGTATAACATCCATGCTAGGATACGCAAGCTAATTGTTAAAGATCAATCATATACCAAATGACAAGATATAGAACAGTCGACCAAATGCTATCTATGGCACTATTTAGAGATACCAAGGCAGTTCCAAAGGATCAGGATAGATGGCCAGATTTATAGTTGATGCCATGATAGTGCCCCAAACAGAGATCAAATATCCAATGATGGTTGCTGTTCTTGATTTATTCAAGAATACTTAAAAGAAAAATGATAATGAAATTTGTGTTAATCCCCAGCCGATTAATATTAGTAACTAAAATGTTAAGAAATTGTACAATCAAATTAGAATCTGTATATTTAAACACTTATATTTCAATTCCATAGAGGGCAACAAAATAAAAGAGTATATAGGTGATAAATGTGAGGATAGAACTGAATAGATATTGCACTATCCAATAATCAAACATTCTCATTCCATTCATTTTCATCATTTACAATAATCTTTCCTCCTTATCTAACACTATTGCATAAAGAAACACTGGTAATAATAGTGACAAAGACAGAGGGAACAATAGAGCACCCATTAAATTAATAGCTTTTTGTACCAAGTTCCTATCTTCTCCTATTAATGGCATATACTAGATTCCTGAAATCAACCAAATTTTTGGATTCAATTAATGTAAGTACGCCCTTGTTATCAAATCAATCAATCCCACCTATGCTTCTGCTACTAACATCAGATTATTAGTTTTATTTTCCGCTACTTTAAAAAACACCTTAGTGATTCCATTGGATCTATGATATTCTGGAATACGCAGATCATTCACTTAGATTGTGACATTTAAATATTCTTCGTTGGCATTATGGAATGTAAATGCTCCATCCGGTATCATCCAAATATCATCGAGATCTCTTCCCCTATAAAATGGCTATGTGTTTAGATATTATATCCTTTCATATATATCTTCATTTATAGATATATCTGGTTATTCTAAAAATGGGATATTTCTCAATTCGCTTTAATTGTTTAATTTACATCCTGGCTTTTAAAGAATATTTTACAAAAGGCCAGATGACCTAATTAGATCAATTATTTAATTTTACATGTTTTTTCCAATTTAACCATCATTCCAACCAATAAAGTTTTATTCGCTGTGACTTAATTACGAAACATCGTAAAAGTACCTAATTTTCAACACTTTGTTACCATTATAGACACGAAACATTGCTGAACATTGGAATTTGCGAATATATAAATGGAATATTCAATATATACGGGAAATCTAATTAAAATGTCCATCCTGAAAATTTATCAAAAATTATTTCTTGTATGATATAGACTAGCGCTAAGCATATTAATGGTGTCAAAATCTAGCAAATATTAGTTCCTATCTATCGTGATTGAATTGAGGCATTCTTATAAAATAGAGCCCTAAATTGATAGCTCTTTTTCATAAAATTAATTATGACATAATCGATTAGTTATAATTCCATCATTTAATCATATTATATAATTTATAATGAATTAAGCTGATCAAAGTCAATAAAGCCAAGACAGTTAATCCACCATGTTCTCTTATGATCCTAAACTATTCTCGCTTCTGCAAAAAGCCTTGTTGCTTGTGTCAAAATAGAAGTAAGCAATCAAATAACACAATAGACCTCAAAATCCTATTAAGTTTGTGGCTGATTATATGAAACAAAATCGTGATGATGATTTCTGAATTGCTATTTATTTTATATTTACAATTCATGATAAACATTCCTTATCCCATCTAGGCATTCCTAAAACTTTTTCATTATTAATAGAAAATGAATACTTTATTTATTTATAGATTTATTTCTTATTGTTAGATGTGATTATTTAAAGACCAAAATTTTTTGTTTGTTCTAAAATTGTACAAATAAATTGTATTTTTTTTCAAATTTTTATTTGATATGAAATATATTAAAAATAATTACAAAACATGATTACACAACTCAACAGGAAAGGCTAAATCAATTTAAAAGTGTTCATCCTGGAACGATTACTTCATTTACAGTATTTTGTAAGTCTTTAAAAAATAATGTTTTATTTCATTAGCATTTTAGGTGATTTCTAAGGCATTACATTTTTATGGGTTCCTATTTTTGAATCCTAGAAATTAACATTTTTTTAAAATAAAATTAATTATGAGTCATTTATCATATACCTAAGCAGGATCGATGAGCTGATTAATTTTCAATTTAATGCATCATTACAGTACTATTTGATTCCACTTTTGATTCAAATTTTGTTGTTTTTTATACCCTTACTCATATTGATATATCAATAAAAGAAAGAAAGAATACTAAGACTTACCATAGTCAACTATTACATAAAGATTAGTTCAATCTTTTTTTAAACCTTTGTAACCTATTTATATGTGCCATTCACAGTATTATGTACTTAAACATTACTTGTTACGATCAGCCAAAACTAATCTATTTTCCATTTAATTTTTGCAACAATTTCCCTCTTTTTAACCTTCATCATCCTAATCATCTACCTAATGCTTAACAGAGAAACCATTGATTTAAAAGTAAATCGATTCTAAAAATTTAATTAAACGTTTCTGGATTATCTATAAGTAATCCTCTAGATATTATAAATTTTTGTTTATGGCATCATCAAGAGTGAAATTAATGGATAAACTTTATAAAGTGTCTTAGTTCTCACGATGTCCTTCATCAACATTGTACAGGTCTTTTAATTTGAATACACGGATGTTCTGAGGACCAAATTTAGTTTGATGATTTCATCATTTGGCTGTGTTGCATCAATATATAGTCTCATTCAGAATCTCTAAGAGGATTTAATTTACAAATTTACCAATACTGGAATTTTAATGGTTTACATTACTTTAAGCAAACTCTTGTTAATATTTTATAGCCAAAGAGAAGAGAGCATACAAAACAATATTTTATTAATCAAATAACACAAGATCATCAAATATTATTTATCCAGGCTAGTGACCGATGATCTATCGAAAAGTGAAAAGAGAATAAATCATTCAATTTTATTACATCAGATGAATAAGATATTCGAATAACACTCAAACGACTCATAAGCTAAATCAACTGATATTACTATTTTAACATCCTAAAATTTAGATGTTTTTGTTTAAAAAAAACTAAAATAATATGTAAAAAGCATTTCAATAATTAAAGGAATTGATTTACATTATGTAGCCCTATTGTATAGCTTTGGGTTTTCAAATCTAGCTTTAATTTAGATAAATTCATTAATTAATAAATAATTAAATTAAACAAAATATAGAGGTTTCTTGGGAGATGGTGACGCTCCAAGCAGCATTTTAGATAGTTCCTAAAAATACACAGCTCATCAATCAGTTTCCAGTAAGTCTCTGAGATCTAATACAGATGAAATTAATGATATGGCCAAAAGAGCCTAGTTTAAGAAGAGTAAACTATTAATGCTTGGGAATTATTAATTGTCATCTTTAAATACTGCAAGAGCTTTGTTTTTAAAGAATTAGATAAAGGAGAATTTGTAGTTCAGATTTTATGAGAATAATAATACTAAGACTTAGTTAAATGATATGAAATAAGGCGTAGAAATGTTTCTAAAGAATGAAAAAAGAAATTAGGGTTTAAAAAACACAATGATTAAATTGATTAATGAAAAAGTATCCTTTACGTTGTAATTCACAACCAAAAAAGCTATTGATGCAGACCAATTATATAATAAAGCAATCAAACTTAGTAAAATATAATAATCTCTAGAAGATAAGCTGTTTATAAGATATTAATAATTCCCAAGCTTAAAAATCTAATCAATCTTAGTATTCTATTAAGGAGAAATTTTGAATAACTACATTGAAGCTCACAAATATAAGAATTTAACCTCAATGCCTGAAGAACAATTAATTAATATGGATGTTAGTATTAAGACAGCCTTTTTTTCGAAGAAAGTTGTTTATTTAAATATTTAGCTGGAATATAATTAAAATTTATTAATTACAAGCAAATCTGAGAATTCGTTGAAATTTTTTTAGATTTCTCCGGAAGGCTCAAAGCATTTTACTAATGTTGATTATCTCCTTCCCTTGGCTATAAAAAATGAGCACAGTTTATTAGTTTAACGATTTACATAAACTAGCAAATCAAAATTTTACTTAAATTCAAGTTAAACCTTTTTTAAATTAAATAACTTGTTAATAAAATCATGTTAACTTCTATTTGATATTCATTTTGATAACATAAATCATTATAAGTTCTCTGCTTTTTTTTCAGAGTGCATAAATCAATCTGCATATTTGTTGGTTGATATCAATCAAAAATTAGGAGGAATAACAGAGAGTTTCTTTGAAAAATTAGGATTAAATGAAGAATATTATAACTAATTTAATATGTAGGAATCAACACAATTACAAATCGATTATCTTATCCCAAACTTCAAAAAATTAATCGAATCTAAATAATAAAATACAATTACTGAATTGAGATTCTTGAAGGAAGCCTATCTATTGGAAAGTTATGGAGAGAAGCTTAGGAATTAAACTCGACAATAGTCACTAACTTCCACTCATTGGTCCAATCTAGATTAAACTTATATTTTTGAAGCTGAAATATGCATCTAGTACCATGATATTTTTGGTTATAATTATTTCATTGTAGAAATAAAAGATGTTAAACAATTAATAAATTCGAAAAGATCGTAAGTTTCAAGTAGAAATAAAAAAGTGGAAGGATTAGAAGAGTTTTTTGAATTATCGGAATTGTCGGAAGTTGAAGCTGTAGCTTAATCTCCTAAAATTTCGAAGCAGCAAAATAAGTTCAAAATTTGTTATGATGAAAATATAGATGAGGATAAAATGATAGCAAAAATTGCATAGGAATTGGAAGAGAAATAAAAAGCAGATTAATTATAATAATTAGAATAATCATAACAGAAATAAGATATATCTTTTTAGTAGAATATTCTTAGTCCTAATTTTAGTAATGCTCCCTGGTAGGATCAATCTCAAATACCATTACAAATACAACATAGCATGTAGCAGGACTACTTTCATAAGGACAATGGCGAAGATAAATCATTTTCTGTGTACTAATCAAAAAATATCAAATTGGAAGAGTTGGAAGATGAATTCAAAAGTAGAAATGAAAAGTAAAAGGTTACTGCCAGATAAAACAAGGATGTGGAAGGAGAAAAAGAATAATCTTCATCTAATAATGCGTTGAAGGGGATTAAGAAGTCAATCTTTTATAAAAAATACGAAACTATCTTCCAGTTGATTGGACCCATTACTCCTACTACCTTAAAACTGTTCATAATGTTTTAAGAACTCACTTACATAATTGCATTAACATATTTTATTATTATACTTGGGAGTGCGTAAGTAGATTTAAATAGATTCATAGGTGAAATAGATATGATCTAATTGCATGCAGGAATAATGAATCCTCATGATTTGTATTTGTAGATTAGACAACCAATTATTACATATAATTCATTTTTAGTTGCAGGTAAAATCACTCAGGCAGAATTCAAAGAACTTACCGATCCCTTGTATGAGAATGTGGGTATTGGATATTATGAGTTCAAAGAAGGGTTTATATATTGGTTAGGCAATGAGTACTTGACTCCTTTTTTAAAAGATAAGAATATCACAGTGTACTATATGTTGTATAATGGATCGAAAACTTATCCGATTACTCAAAACATTAGAGAAGCATTGATGGCTACATTGTCATATTATTACGATTTCAAATTGAGATTTGAGGCAAGGTTGAGCACTGCTAATCAAACTTATTAGGTATATCAATTTGCCAATATATATAACTTTCATTTCTGGCTGGAAGACTTGACAATGGAAGTTTACTAATATTCCAAGAATAGAAGTATAGATATCAGCAACAAATGGAATATGATTTGGATAATTTATCTGATGGTCAATATCTGTCCATTGTTTGCGAGTTTATTTTATTATAGGTTATTCAATTCGAAATTTGATCAATTTGTAAGTCTTTTTAAATATTGTTCATCTTATAGAATGGAATTGGAATTAGAAAGATTAAAGTACATTTTAAAAGTGCTGAATAAGAATAGTGATCTATTATTTAATTACTAATTTAATATCGAATAAAAGGAGGAGGATATATTCAAGTTAAGACAGGAGCATGAATAACAAAAAGTTAAAGATATAAAAATCTAATAATAGTTCAAAAAGATATCTTTTGGTATCAAATTTATTTTTGTAATTCTTGGTTGGATGGTCTTTTTTGCGTTGAGTTTAGTATCTAATATTCAAATAGGGGAATACTTAAACAAATACTCAGCTACAGCAGATGCCTATAAATTGATTTAAGATATGTCCTTGTATGCCGGAACACTTTATAGAAATAGAGATTTTGGATTAGCTTTTGCAAATTACCCTTACTTAAGGCCTTTTGATACCGAAAAGTTTTATTACACAATTAATACTGGCCTAGAAACAATATCTAGATTCTTACAATTCTCGTACACCTTCGATTCTAGCCAATATTAAACTTCTGAAGATTTCTTTAAATTCTTTTAGTCCTTATAAGAATAAAATATTTGCCTCGTTTTGGGGGATGAAAATTTGGGATTCTTAAAATAATATTGTGAAAAGTCATTGTAAGGTACTCTATTGTTAGGACTGTTTCCTACTTTAAAATTTATATCTAACTAAATCTCCAATCAAATGATGATTAATAATTTTACAAAGAGAGTGGAGTTTAATAAGTATGAGAATGAAGGCAGTCTTATAGTGCTGAGAGCATTTTAATTGTTGAGCAAGTAATTTAAGATAGGAATGGTCAATGTTACAGAATAACAAATTACTATATGCAACACAATATCGATTATCTTTATTGTTTATTCATTACTACTGATGTCTTATTTACTATTCATATTAATGCAAAAATTAAGGATTGAGTTGAATTTAGCCAGGAGATTTATTTTGTTAATACCATCAACTGTGTTATTCCTGGATGATCAATTTGATAGACATGTAAGAATTCTAATTGCAGGACAAGAATATTGAAACTCATATTTTTATATTCCAAAGCATAAGTTTCTAATATATAAAATTTATTTATGTAAATTCTCAAACCAACAATAATCAAATCAAATTGTCACAAAATTCATATCAATTTAGGATTAGAATCATACTTATTCTCCAACTCCTTTATTTCGTCTCCGATTCTGTACTTATGGTAGAATGACAAAACCATAGTAATTGGCAGACATCAGAATCCCTGGAAAGAATGTAATTTATAATTAATGTAAAAAAACTCTGTTTGGTTGTAAAGAAGATCAAGTGGAGGAGGAGCTGTATATTAGGACTTAGGAAATCATTGCTTTACTTTTTTAAACACCTTCACCAATTAGGATCCAAAAACTATTAACAATGATATACTCATAAATGCATTACTAAATTTAGGCATTGAAGCCTAGCCATCTGGAAGAAATGATATAGTGGTGGGAGAAAAGAAGGTTTCAGGATCTGCATATCAGTTGTCCTTAGGAACAAAGATCAATCCAAATAAGATCGCATTACATCATGGAACTATGTTGATCGACGTTGATTAGAATGCCTTATCGCAATATTTGACACCTTCAAAGAAGAAATTAGAAAGCAAAGGCATTGATTCTGTTAAATCTAGAGTTACTAATCTGAAAGAAATAAAAAGCACTATCACAGTCAAATAATATGAAGATGAATTGATTAAAGAGTTTATTAAGAAATACAATGATGTTGAATTTAAGGAATTTAATTCCGATTAGCTACTGAATATTGAAGAAGTAAAGAAAGAATCAGAAAGGTTATCATCTTGGGAGTGGCTATATCAATATACTCCTTAATTCACAGTTAATTTAGAAGAGAAACTAAAATTTGGAATGTTCGATGTTTATTTTTAAGTTGAATCAAGCATTATATAAGACGGTAGAGTCTTTACTGATTGTCTTTATCCAGATTACATTACTAAATTGAATTAAGTAATTCGTAACAAGAAATATGATTTTGATGGGATCAAAGAAATATTTAATGAAATGAGAATTATATTCCCATAATAGAATGAACTATCAACAGAATTAGAAGAATGGTTATTGAAAGCAATATGATGTATTTATAAATTAAAATTCAATGAGTTGATTCTTCTAGTTTTTCTAATATAAATTATTTCTTTTTTAATCTTTCCTATGTTAGTTCCTATTCTGATTTTTGAGTGCTACCTTTGTCCTATAAAATTCAATTCTATAAATATACTAATTCTTTGAGATTTTCATCATACAATTCAGTTAATGAGGGTAAAATATCATGTGGATTCTTTTTTTTAACCGATAAAATCTTTTCAATTCTTTCGTGATTGTCGCCCTATACTTTATATGGCTCCGCTTTATAGTTGACAGGTAGATCCTAATTAAAATCATCTTAGTATTAATACAGCTCCATATTTTTTTTTAATGTAAAACTAGGTGTAATTTTGTTTGTGAATCAAGAGTTTAATTTCATGAGCAGCTCTATCATATTTAGTAACTACAGCTGGGGATCTTGGAGATGAACTCATGGATTCCTCATAAGTTGAAGTGTTTTATTATTATGGTTTAGGTGTCATAGTTCTCTTTGTATCTCCAATTATAAAGTTTTGTATTCTGGCTCTCTCTTTCATTCTTTTAAGTTCTCCTTCCTTTTCTCCTTTTCTAACAGCATTTTGAGTTGCTGAAGATTATATTCTCTCAATCTCATTACTATGCAATCCTATTTACTTTAATAAAACATTGTATTCCTTCTTGAGTTATATTATCAGTTTATGTTCTTGTTCTTCCAATTTAGCTTTGAGTTGTTCCATTTGCTTTTAATGTTTACGTTACAACTCGTCTTTTTAACTTTCCACTCGTTTTTCCTACTCTGAAGCCACTCTTTCCTATTCTTTTTTCTCCATGTTTTTTAATTCTCTACGAAAATCCATTGCTTCTTCTACTCTCTCATCTAAAGAAACCAGTTTCTCTTAGGTTTGTAAATCTTTTAGTTTCCTCTTAGGTTTTACTTTCAAAAACTCTGTGTTTTTTGATAATTTATCTTCCAATTACCCCATTTCTTCTAATTATTTCTAGATCTGGATTTATCTAACAAAATAATAGTAGGTTCATATACATTCTTATTTTTTTCTGATTCTCGAATTACATGAAATAATTATAGTATTTCTCATAAAAATCATCCAGTTTTTCGAGACCTATCTCTTTGTAGGTGGAAATTTCTGATTTATAGATCTTTTATCTAAGAATGTCCTAATATTCGCAAATGTTTTGTTCTAAAGTTCTAATGGCCTTCATCAATTATTTGAAGGGAACATATTATTATATTTATAACAATAGATTTGCAACTTATTGCATTTTTTCTTTTATGATGCTAAACACTAAAATCTACTCATCTTCATTTAGATACCTAAAGTTAATCATGATCTAATTACCCATCATTGTCTTAATCAAACAAATCGAAGAAATCCTTTCCATTGGAGATCTTTAACATCATTTATAAGTCTTCCTTACAAGCATCAAAAACTTAAATAGCTGTCTTATATGGTATTTAAACTTATGTAAAATCATTCCTCCTAAACTCTTTCCACAATTTAGCACACTTTTAAGGAGCTGCCATAAATATTTCCCCTAAACGATTATCGAAATCTATCTTACCTTCTGCTTATACCTATCTAATATATGTTTTTGGCAATGAGGATAGAGCTGAATAATTTGTTTATTAGATTAATTTCGATGCATAAAGGGATGACTTGGTTTCAGTCTAATACATTGTATATGAATTATGATTAATAATATTTAACAATTAGGTAAAGTCTGAATAATTGAAATCGTCCAATTACACTAAGAATCTGGCATTAGACCTGTCCTAAATCATCAAGACTAGCATTGATATCATATTAATTATAAGTTTATTCAAGAAAATCTGAACCCATTACATATTAAAGATTGGTTAGTCTGATTCGTTTGATTAGTTCTATACTCAACCTAATCATCCCAAGTTGATCTTTATTCACAATATGTATTCTCATTTATGGAAATTGAATGGTTCCGAGATCGCTAAACATAAATTGCAGAATATACATTTTTTATTTTTTAAATTGATTAACGAATGAACGAGCTCTCTTATTCTGTGGTTGTTGTCAATTTCTTCTTCGTATTATATAATTTACTTTGTATGTCTTTCATTTGTCGTTATAAGTTAGGATTGATTTTATTTAAGAAACTCGCAATGTCATTCGAATCTTGATTTGTACAAGTAGATTCCTCAAATTTATTGCTCGAAATTTGCTATGATTATTGATTCACTCTAATCCTAGTTGTAGGATGTGATGGACTTTAATTTCTTTTTTGGTGTTGCAGAGATTTATCAATATCTTACTATTCATTTACCTAATATTCTATGATATTTTGATAATTAATGTTTTCTTTATTGCAAGACAGATATTCTAATTCTATGATCCTTTTTTATAGTCTTTCAATCTCTTTCTCATTGCTTTTTTAAATTAATTTAATTTGATTCTCTTTTTCAGACAATTTGGTTTCTAGCAATTTTATTTCTATTTATTAGGCATTTATTATATCTTATTATTTTTCTATCTCATTCTATTCATATGACTTCTAAAACTTCTGAACAACATTCTCATGTTATTGCGAGTTCAATGTATTTATGAAGATTTCGTTCATCTTTCTTAGGTTTTCTTCTCTTTCTTTGGCTTCCTGTATATACATCTCCTAAATTTGAATTTTCTATTGCAAAATGGCCTTTTCATTTTTCCATTCTAGAAACTAGATTCTTTCATCATTCATTTCTTTTAATTTTGAATATTTATTTTTAATTTATTTTTACTGTTATATTTATTTAACTTAAATCTACTTATTGTACGAAACTCTCTGAAGTCGTATAATAAACTTTAGAAATAATGGAAAATACACAATTTGTTTATGGGGAATGCACATAAAATTATTTAATATTAGAAATATATAATAATAATCAATAAATTGCAAAAATGAGTGATCAATTTCTCAATTGTAGATTGTGCTCAATAGAATTTGACTAGGTCATCCATTTACCAAGACTATTGAATGATTGCGGACATACTGTCTGTGAAAAGTGCATTAAATAATAAGAAGGACATTTCAGATGTCCTGCAGATGAGTAATGTTCATTTTTACCATTCCAGAACACTTTATGAATATTCGATCGACGGCTTTCCAATCAATACAACTTTATTTAAATTGATCTAATTAAAATAAAAACCAAAATTGAATGATCTTTTTGAAACCCCATAACTAAGTCTATGCAATGATAATTCCTCTTCTGATTCTACAATTTCTAAAAACAAATTTTAAGATTCCTAAATAACTCCCATCTCCTTGTAAAATACTATTTCTGATTGCTAAAAACAAAGAGATGAATTAATTCAGAGAATCGAAAACAAATTTAATGATCTCATAACAAGGTTGGAAATCAGAAAAATGGAGCTATTCAGTCAAATAGACATGAAATATGAATAATCACCTTTTTGTGTATTACAAGTTGACTTTTAATTTCAAATGGATGTGTTGATCCCAAGATATGGTATCTTGAGAGAAGAATTATACAGTGATATTCAACTAAATAACCCTTAATCGAAGGAATAATTTCTAACTTTTTCTAATAAAGATTCTGTTGAAACAAATAGACAGAGATCTCCACCAAAAAAGATATTTGAAGAATTGAAACAAATATATATTCGTCCAGCATTGTCATAAGAAAAAATGAATGAATTAAAGAAAATTATCAAATAAATGAATAGGTCATAAAATCTTGATATCATTAACTTAAAATCTAGAAGCATAACAGATGATGACATCAAAGTGTTTTCTGAAGCATTGTCAACAACTATCTCAAATATAAGAGTGATAGTGTTATCAAAAAATTAAATTACGGATTTAGGGTTTAAATATCTAATAGATGCACTATGGACAAATAAAACCATCAAAACTTTAAGATTGAAAAATAATCAACTCACTAATGAATCTTTGAGATATTTAATCCAAATTTATGAAGATCAGAAGTATAACTCTTTGTAACAGATCTATATGCAAGGTAATCAACTTACCAATGACGATCAGGTGCAAACTCTGACTAAATTGGGCATATTAATATATAAATGATGATATCAAAGTATTAATTTTTCTAAATTTTAATAAAGAATTACTTATTATTAAAATTATTAATTTCACTCTTGCATGGGAAAGCTACACGGAACATTAGCAAAAGCCGGTAAAGTGAGAAAGTAGACTCCAAAAATTGAAAAATAAGTCAGAAGACACAAGATTCCTAAAGGTAGAGCCTACAAAAGGATTTGCTTTAATAGAAGGTAAGATAACTATCCACAATATTCATTAGATTTGGTTCAGCAACATCCACTTAAGGATCATAACAAAAGAGAAAGGGTCCAAATTGGCATGCTGGAAGAAAAGATCTAATTGAAGAGGAAAGAAAGAAGTAGGTTGAATAAAGAAGACAACGAAAGAAATAGGATACAAAATGATGATTTAAACATCCTAAACATATACAAAATATTCAGAATAATTTCCCTATTATTTATTAAAGAATATATATAATAAATTCTAATGAATAACGTATTAATTTCATTATTGCTAAATTAAAGATTTGTCATCTATTGGAACAAATGATACATGATATTGAAATATCATGATTATATTAAAGATATTATTCTATAACTTAAAATTACGAAGAAAATCGAATATGTATATTGCTTGAATATTTGTTATCTATAAATAACTCATTTCATTAGATCAACGTACTCCTATCTTAAGTTCTCTGCGAATTTTTATGTAAATCCGAATGCTGGTTGATGTACTTGATTAACTTCAGGAATCGAAAGCATATGTTTCATATATTAATGAAGATGTGGATGAGGGGCAAGATCAATATTCAACATAAATAATGTAACCAACTCACAAATAGCACTAAAGCATTTATTTTGAATATTTACCTTAAATCAGCTATGGTTGGTTCCTCAAATCCCAAGATATGTTTATGCTTTCCATTTCCCAAGAAGATTTCTTCAAAGGTCGTTAGATACCATTCTAATTCTTTGAATCTTTCATCCTTATTTTCTGGGGCTGGTTTCCCAAGGAATTTAGGATAAAATACAAAATCTCTTGCTACCAATGTAATATTTCTTGTTCCTGTGTGATGCCAATCAAGATATTAATCAAGCCTGGCCTGTTCAACAATGTCGGATGGATATAATTTTTCAAGCTTGAATTTCTTAGCCAAATATTTCAAGATTGTATGTGATTCAAACAAGGCGATATCTCCATCAACGATTGAGGGCACATTGCCACTTGGGGAAATCTTTTTGTATTCTGGAGTGTTTTGCTCTTACTTCATAAAATCAATATTATGCAGATCATGTGGTATTTTACCAATTACCAATATTGCATGGACTGCTCTTGCAGGTTGGGAGAGTGGATTGAAATATAATTAAATTGACATTTTAATTAATTAATCATTTGACAATTATTTTCAGCTTAAATAGTTGTTGGAATTTCTCTAATTCCCACATAGATATATTTGCAAAATTTAATTAAATGTTACATAATAATAATTAATTATTTATTGCTTCCTTAAACATATGTTAATTTTTAGACATGTATATTAAATCTAGGACAATATTCTAAAAATTAATCAGCTTTAGTATTGGAAGAAATTTCATTCAATTTTATTTTGAATAATATTTAGTGAAGAAAAAATTTATATTAAAATCAAAAAAAATATTCTTTCTAATTAGATAATTATTTGGCTAAAATTTTAATGATTTAAATCAAGTATAAACTTAAATCAATTATTATTCATTAAATATACAGATATCATTCAACTCACACTAAGAAACTACTTGAAAATGAATTATAATTTGAGTTAATCATTTTAACTTGTAAACTTACTTTTTGACATTTTAACACAAGGGGAATATATATTTATCTTAATAAATGGGTAGGAGAAATGATTAAGATTTTATTCGGATTTAACAACTATTATTATAAAATGTTGAGGGTTTTCAATTTAAGAATAATTAAATTATTATTTTAATGATAAATATAAAATGGGAATATATATAATCATTTGATATAAAAAGGGTTTCTTTTGAAGAACTTTAATTTCAAATGAATAACATCTATTAAGCCTAATTAACAGAAAGTAATCGCAAAAATTATCTAAAGTTGGTTAACCTGTTGTAAATGATTATTTTTTATAATGAGTATTGCAATTTTTAGATTAAAGAAACAACATCTTAATTAGATTTGGATATCGAAAAAATTGATGAGCAAATTCAAGAAAAAGAACAGAAATTATTAAAGAGTAAAAGACGCTACTAAAAATGCAAAATCTACAAAGAGGAATTAAAAAAGCAATTAAAATTGAAACCATAAAAAGTTTATGGATGTTTGTATTGTAGTCTCGAATTCAGCAATACCATTCTTTTGGATAGACACATGGATATCCACAAAGAGCCACCTAACGTAACTCCGCAAATAATAGCAATTCAAAAGGAATTACAATAATAACTAATGTACATGTACTAGGCAAAACAACAAAGAAAACAATTGGAATTATAGAAGGAGGACTTAAAATGTGGGATGTTGGCAGCTGCAGGTATTTATTCAATTATCATATTAGAAAGAAATTAAGAACTTGTTTCCAATGAAAAAATGGAGTAGATTGAGAAGGTTTATATTGAAAAAGTAAATAGATTAGAGTCTCTATTGAATTAATTAAATGTATAGACCGAAAAAGAATAATATAAAATTGATTGGTTGGATAACCTTGAGGAAGGAGTTAAGGAATAATTAAATTTGAAAAGTGAATAGGAGAAATTATTAAAGACATAGGTTGAGGCTTAACAGGCATAATCTAAAGTGTTTAAAAGTTAAAGATCATTGTAAATGTCTAAAAAAGATATCAGAATCCCAAGCAATACAAGTTTTAAACCCTAATCCTAGCTTTATATTTAATCTTAGGTTCGTGGATCAAATCATTAATTTCGTAGATCTAATGGGGGAATTGAATATGCTTCCGATGACTCCCCTAGAGAGGAAATAATATTAGAAGAGGATGATTAAGTTAGAGAAAATTTTGGTCACGTAAAGAACATCTCCAGTGTTACTTCAAATCTGAAGGGGAAACATTCTAAAAATCCATCTGGAGTTTCCTTTTAAGAAAGTAATTTAAGAGGCCTAACTAAATTTGAATAATATGAATACAGATATTAAGAGTTTAATAGTTTAGTAACTGAAATGCTGCTGAATAGATACTATTTAAGAAGAACTTAGTTTGATCCACAAGTGATTGAGAAGGAAAGGCAAAAGTTATTGGATTAATTTGATGACTTGGATGAAGTAGATGATTTGGAAGATTTACTAAAATAAATGTAAAAGTAGACCAAAGGGTTTGAGAAGAGAAAGAGATATTAAATAAAAAAGAAGAAGCTACGTCTATAAGATTAGGCAGAGAATGATTCTAAGGAGAATACTATTACTACATTGGAATCTAGCAGTGAAAATTAGGAAAGCTAGGAGGAAAAGGATGATGAAACTGAACTCAGAACTACTTAATAGTTTGAGTTAAGGAAGTTCCCATTTAAAATAACAGGAGGAGATTAAGAGCAAGGGAATGCAAATTAATAGCAGCAATACTAAGAGCCGGGACAGGGATATGGAGTAAATACTTTTAGTATAAATTATTGAATAAATAATTAGGAAAATATACATTAAAATCAAAAATAATATTCTTCTCTTTTTATTATCTTTTTTTAAAGAACTTTTTTCTTTTTATATATATTGAAATCAAAAATTTAATTCTTTGAAATTATTCACCCAATGGTTTGTAAATTATTCTAAATGGATTTAACTTGATTCTGCTTATTTTATCCTATTCTCTTAAATATTAGTAAATCGAAATTATGATTAAATACAAAATATGTAAAATATATCAAATGAAATTGGATATATCTAGAAGATAGGATGATTGGTATCAACTGTTTCTAGGTACAACATTTTCTGGTTGATGAATGAAGGAAAGGATCTTACAAATAATTGGATTTGAAAATTGGCAATGAGACGTTGTCAAATTTTTCACAATTTTGAGAAAATTCAAAAAATTTGCCTTAATTAACATTAAAATTGACTGATTGCGAAAATATTAAATAATAAATAAGTAAATTTTAAAGATTATTTTTATACTAAAATCAGAGAAAATATTCTATCTCTCCCAATTACAGTATTACATAATTTTTCTAACAGTAATCATAATGAAATGGGATTTTTTTGGTTTGCAAATGTAATTATTTTATTAACTAAAAGGGAAAAAATTGTTCTAATTCTAGATCCTCCACTATAAGTACTGTGATAAAATCATTAATACAATTAAATTATGAATGCTAACAAAAAGTTGGGAATTCAAATCTAAAAATATATTCTTACACCTCTGGATAAGAAATAGAAGTTCAAAATAATATAATCCAAAATTTTATTCTTTTCTGTTTAAAGAACTAGTTTATAATTAATTTATATAATTTTAGGATAAATAACAATTTGTATAAATTTGGTTAATGAATGATTTATTAATATATCATTATATCAATCCCTTAATGAAGTCATTCAATGGAGCATTTTTAATCATGCCAAAGAATGCTTGATTAGCCTACTTGATTTGAGGTACTTGGGACATGTGTTGAACATAGTTTTTCAATCCTGGGAATTTGTCAAAGGAGTAATTGAAACCGAAAAGCATCTAGATTTCAAAGATTAAACTAAAATAAAAATAATTCAGATACGCTAAATCGGCAATTGTCATTTTAGGTTAATTTTACACATATTTAAATTTGCCTTAGCCCAAAAATACATATTCTATAAATTAAAGGATTGATTCCATCTCCTTCTCTTTTGCTTCAAAATCAGGTGGAGCAGGCCTTCCCATCATTTTTGGTCCAATAATGTGATCAAACACAAATTTGGAAACCAATTTTGTGCCAGTATGATGCCAATCTAAATAACATTCTACTTTGGCAATTTCCTAAGGATCCTAAAATGGGAATCATCATATTAAGTTACCTTTGGGTAAAAATCATGCAACTGATATTTATTGACAATGTATCTAAGAATAGCATGACTCTCAAACAATTTGAATCCGTCATCATCCAAAGCTGGTACACCTTAGCATGGGTTAATAGCTGTGTATTCTGGTGTAAGGTTTTCTTATTTTTGTAAATCCACAACTTTGGCTGTGTGAGGAACATTTCCCAAGGTTAACAAAGTAAGCACTGCTCTGGAAGGCATGGATATGGGATTGTAGTAAAGTGTTAGTGTGTTACTCATAGTGATGTGTGGATATTAAAATAATAATACAAAATGTATGAAAGCATATAACATAAATATTTATTTTATAAGAATTTAGAACATTCCTCAAATCTTATTGTTTGCATAATTTTTTAATAATTCAGCAAACGTCATATTAAAAGTGGTTAAAGAACCTGCATACAAGCATCTCATAACATAGCCTCTAAATAATGCTTAAATCCCTTCATCTATTAGAATCCTCCAAATTCCGTGCAATTAATTCTTGTAATTAAACAAACCCTCCCCAGTTTGATTTTCCAGCATCTTTCGAGATTAAATTTATATCCTCATTTTACTAACTGAAAGTGGCTATGTCAAAATAGATGAGAAGAAGAATGCCCCTAAAGAAGACAGAAGAGCATGATTATTAGTCTACTCTTTAATTCAATACCATAGGAATACCTTTCAAATATTCAAAACTGGCAAAATATAAAGCACTGTAGGGGCCAAAAAATCCTAAGGTGGCTCCAAATCCTATTTATTTGCAAATTAATCTAACCTCTGTATAGACCTAAAACCCCCTCCTTTCTGACTATTTATAAGACTGCATCAATTGATCCGCTGTAATTATGATACCCAAATCTTTTTTAAACCTGCAATCTTTCCTTAACCACATCAATAGGTAACCACAAAACCCCACTTACAGTTTCAGCCAATAGACCACAACATAGATGCAACAAGAGTTTTGATTCTATTTTGTCGCCTATTCGCATCTTGAAATATTTATAGGATGTCAAATATAAGGAAAATGCCGGGCCACTTCCAATCTTTATTAATCATACTCATACTATAGCAATCAAGCCCCCTTTATAAAACTGCTTTATCCCACCTTGTTAATAGACTTATTTGAAGGTTTTCTGAACATCTCCTAAATTCATTTAAATTGGCTTTCTTTCAATCTGGGATGGATGATTATGACAAAATTTACATAAAACTAGGCCTTAACAGTATCCAAGGGATAGCATAAGAATTTCCCAATTATTCCAGATATTGCACTTGCTATTGATTCTGTTAGCAAAGAACTCATAATAATAATAATGATTATTTATAAAATAAAGAAACAAAAATAAGAAAATAAAAGTAACAACACCTAGTCATTAAATTTTCCCATACTATTGTCTAAGGAAATCTGTTTAGTATTTAGTAATTACTATATGCTTTTTGGGTTTCTTTTTGAGTTGATTTGTGTTCTGATTCTAATTCTGGTTATTGTGATTATTTGGATTTAGTGGTTATGTTAAATACCTTTCTGGTATGTTCATGTATTTCATTCTCACTTTATTATTCAAAAATTATACTTTATTCTACAATTTATCTTAATTCACTAATTTCTTTCAAGTAATCATCTTCGTTCTCAGTGACTGTTTTTCTAGGACTATCAATTTGATTTTCTTCTTCTATTTATTCTTCTATGGCTGTAAAGTTTAACATAACAATTTACGTGATTGAGGAAAATACAAGGCGGTTTTCTCATATCTGGGAGATATCACGATGTCATTAGATTATCCAGTCAATTATTTATAAGCCAGAATTAAATCTGAAGCTACTTTAGATATATTTGGACCATCTTACCTCATCGTTAAATTCTAATATAATTATTTTAATTAAAATGATTCCTGAATAATAATAGGGAATAACAGAGGAGGAGAAAGAACTCATCCTCATTGAAGAATTGTCTTAAAAATTGGAAGGCTTATATAAGGACATGGAATAAATAAGGAGAGAGAATCTGCTATTTGAATCTTATATTATGCGAAACTCCAAAGATTTACAGAGAGAAGACGAAGCTGAAGACAAAAAGTAGAAAACTAAAAAGAAAAATTAACCAGTTGATAAAAAAGTAAACCAATTTTCGATTGTATTAGACTATGTAATTGACCAATGAAGAAAAATACGAAATTGCTCAATTTGAGAGTGACACTCTCAAGAAGAATATTGAAGAGGGCAGAATTAGATCAGATTAAATCTTAGAAACATTGAGAGTAATTTATAATTGAAGCTATTTAGGCAATATTGGAAGAAACAGATAAAGCTATTACTGAAATTAGAAAGGATGCTTTTGATTTCCAAAGAGAAATCCTGTTTGCAGGTGAAAATACTAGGACTGGTAAAATAGAGGCAGAGAGAATAGAAAAGTATTTTAAAGAGAAATTAGCATAAAAAGTAATAAAAAATTACAATTAAATATAGGATGCTTAAATTGAAAAATATAAATAAAAAAAAGCCAATATAGAATAATAAATTACTAAAACTAGCAATTAAATTTAAAAGAAAGAAGAAATGGGTGATGATTTAAAGTTTATTGACTTCCATCAATTATAAATTGAAAATAAAAAGTATGTTAAGTAAATAGATGAGAAAAATAAAAAACTACTTGGATTAAAAATAGCCACTGGTAAAATATCCTCTGTTTTAATCGAGGAAAGAAATCAACTCTAAAATGAAATTGATCAATGCAATATACTTATATAAGAAATTGATGACAAAAACAAAAAAATAGCTAAAACACAAGAACAAACAAAAAAAGTTAAAACTTAAATAGCCTCCTTAACAGAAAAGAAGAAAAAATTTGCAATTCAACTTGAATAAGTCAATAATGCAACCAATGAAGATATTCCTAAAGTACATCTTATTATAAATCAATATAGGCTATGACATACGTATTGCAGAAAAGGAAAGAAGAAGAATTAGTCTATAAGATTAGAAATACTAATCGTAAAATAGAAATAGCAGAATTAGCCTATCAAAAGGCATGTAAAGCATTAGGCATGAATCCAATATAATAATGAAGCATATAACATTTAAATTTAAAGTACAAGAAATTTATCTCGTTATTTATTATCAAAATATATAAGTTCCCAATACTAGCTTGGATATGTAATATTTCAAGATTAGACTTCATTAAATACTTAGATTATTCCCTTAAATTAATAATTTGAATTAATATTTTATTATGAAAATTATTCGTTCACTTACCTATAAGTTCAATAAAAACTTTCATTCAGCTAAGTTTTGTGGATCTTAAACTTTATTGGGAACGGAAGATGTGTACCAAAGTTTCCATATCTAAAAAGGAAAATATCTTGACTCATTTATTGGTGATCCAGAGTTATTTACAACTAATTTAATACAAACTGTAAACGATTGCAAATCCAAATAAATGAAAGCAATTTGGATTTAGTTGGATTAACATTAATTAGTACTTGCTGAAAAACTAATTGAATAAGGATTTTACATGCATCATTGTACATAACATTATTTGTTATTTGCTCAATGGATTGTTGAAAATGTGAAAAGCCAATTACCAAATTACACAACTCATTCAATTGGTGCTGGAGGATTAATTGTTCATAATAATTCAATTTTATTAATTCAAGAGAAAAATGGATAATATAAAGATGAATGGACAATACCTGGGGGATTAGTAAATGATGAAGAATTAATTGTTGAAGCAGCCACGAGAGAAGTGAAAGAAGAAGCAGGCTTAGATGTTGAACCTTATGATTGCTTCTTAATTAGGGATTTGCCTATCTCTAATCAATATTAAGGAGACATATATTTTGTAATTTTAATGAGATTACAAAATATTAATTAATCTATTTAAATACAAGAATAAGAGATAAAGAATTTTAAATGGGTTGATTTGAATCATTTGCAAGAAGTATAATTTTCCACTAAACAATTAAGTTTTATTAAAATAATAAATTTGGAATGGTTTAAAGCAGGTTGATGGAATCCATAATTCAATTTAATAAATCAAATAAATTCGACCACTAATATTTTAGTTTAGATCCTCAATATTTAGATATAGATGGTCAACTAAAAAAATATTATTTTTTCAAACCGAAAAAATGACTAAAACTATGAATAGAATTTTAATTTGTTTCTATAAATTTTGCTTTCATTCCAATATTATTGTCTTTTAAATTATAAATACAAGTACTTAAAATATAAATTAATCATGTTACTTTTGAGATATAAAATATTTTGTTAAATTTCAATCTGAATAATTTAGAATGAACATGTTTAATCAAGTAAGGAAATCAGAATAACAAAGAAAGTGATTGAAATAATAATTAAAAGAAAGTGTATATATCTGCAATTCTTTAATTGAGTCAAAGTTAAAGTAATCTTAAATATTACATATCGCGCAATATTAATCTTGACTCTCTCATAAATAACGCTAACCAAATACAAAAATAGATTTTATAAGGTATGCTCGATTAATAGTTAAAGCAAGAGCCTAAGCATTTAGTAATTTTATGTGAACTTAAGATATTAAATTTGTTAAGTATCAAACCCTTGAGAAATCATTCAAATTACTATTTTTCCACCATCCACAAAATATTGTTAAAAATGATTTCGATATGTACAAAATTTAATATATATATTATTATATATACTTTATAAATGTTTGAATGGATGCCTATTTTAAAAGGAAAGTATTTCACAGCTGAATAATATTTACAAATAATAGTATTAGTCAATTTGTTAATTTTTGGATTGATTTTCTATAAGTAAAAATTCAAGAGCCTCTAACCCATTACTATTAATTTAGCTATTTTGTCTTTCTCTTGGTTTGGAGATTTCAAGTACCTATCATTGGTTGTTCTAATTATTTACAATAGAAATTCACTCTCGAGGATCATTATAGTTGTAATATTGTTTTTGCTCACATATGATGTTTGTTTTGCAATGCATAACATTGATCAAGGGTTCATTTTTAGTGTCGATGGGGCTGCTTTCAGTACTTAATTCACCAGGTTGTTTTAAGAGAATAGGAAATATCATCCGTATGTAACATTGACGCAATATCACAATGCAATCATTTTCAACTTCTAAATTTAAGATAAATCTAATTATGCGGTCTATTGTAACTCAGTTTAATAGCGCATCACACATTCAAAACTATACGATAGATATGTTTATCACAGCGTTATTCAGATAGATAAGAAGTCAAATCAAATACAATTATATGATGGTTAAAAAATGATTGGCGAATATTATTACTTTGATTTTAATTCGACTAATATAACAATAATAGATGGGGGTGATTCAGGTTACACAGAGACATCCATTCAAATTTGGAAACATATCTAAGCCGAACCCAAAATCGATGCAATCAATATAGGAGGCGATGTGGCTTATGATAATGGATTTGTCCAATGCACAACCTGTTGGGATAAATTCTTGTCATTATATGAGAGTGTATGTAAATCCAAGGGGAAACTGATACCCTTAATACTTTCAATCGGGAACCATGACGTTGGAAGAGTTACCAATCCTTAATTGTTATACAATAATTAATAACACTAAAATGTACCCAATATAATACAGATGTTTCCATAATAATTGATCAATAAATAAATCCCTTAGATTTGTGATAGAACTTCGTATTTTGTTCATAGAATAGGACATATTAATTTTATAACAATTGATAGCGGGTACATGACAAAGTATAATCAAATATAAATTTAGTTCTGAGAGCCAAAAAGAGTTCTTAAAAAATTCAATCGAGAAAAACAAAATTAATTTAGTTAGTTATCATGTTCCAGTTGTTCCTCTGTAGGTAGAGGATGAAAGTTTCCTATGGAATTTGGGGGATGATTTAAATAAAGCGGTTTTGGTTTTTGAGCATCATAAGCATAATTTTAAAAGAACTAAGAAAATTTAAGTTCTTAAATCTGATAATAAGATAAAAGTTTTTCCTGGGAATACTTATTACGTTGGGAATGGGGCGATGGGAATTCAGTCTGCTAATAAGGTTGAACATCAAATAGTAGAGAAATCGAGTAGACAGGCTCATTTTTGGGTATATAACTATGATAATGGGAATCAATATGTTTATGCTATAAATAAGGATGGAAGTAGGATAGATTACTTTGAATTAGATAAATTTAAAGCGACATGATATTTTTATTCATAAATTATATTAATTCTATTCACAATGCTAAGTTGATTTCAATTTTTAAAGGGTTGATGTTTTCTTGAAGTGATTGATTCCCTGTATTAATTAGATTTCAAGATGACTCTGCTGGTCAATATCCTATTAGGTTGAACAACATAAACCTAGTCAGGATCAATATAGTTTTTGGTTTCATTATTTTTGGTCCATTTACTTTTCGGAATGATGATGTCATCACAATGATGTTTCTTGATTTTGGATTTAATAAATTCAACTTCGGCGTATGCAGGACTCATGTCTAAGGAATTAGGAGATAAGAGATTGTGCAAATCATATATATTCTGGTATTCTGACCATTCTGTGTTGAATATTTTATTGTATTTGTCCCCTTTATGGTGCCCAGAGTTGTTGATTTGAGAATTGTGTTTTTATTATTGACTTTTTGTTAATCTTCTTTTGGATATAACAGAATTAAATTTATATGACTTCAAGACTTTGTTATTGATCGTGATTGAATTCTGCTCATTTTCATCGATTTTGTAGTGCTCATTAAATTTGGCCAATTTATTGCATAACTTTTAACAATCAACTGTTTATAGGAGAGGAACCTTGCACCTTAATCGATGTGAATAGTCATTATCTGCATTTCCTCCTTTTAAAATTTAATGAATTTTAGTTTAAATATCTTTTACTAATTTGTTGTCATCCTGCACTAAATTAGTGGTAGTATATAACGATTACGTTAACATTGTAGTATTAAACGAAACCTTTTTATTAGTGTCCATTAAGAGCTGTTAAAGTATTTGAAACAAAATAAAAATTAAAATGTTATAATTGTAATTATAAAAATTTATAAAACAATATTCACATAATATCATGTTGATGCTGTTCAAAAGTAGGAAGTTAATCCACAGTTGGTTCATCGCTTGGACTAATCTCCCCTGACGAAGAATCCTATTGACAATTATCGAATTTTAGATTTGCAATTTGATGATGGAATCTCGGGGATACCGCATTTGAATCGCAATTGTTGAAGGTTGTTAATTGCGATTCATTCCTCTCTAAAATAGGTGCCAGAGTGAATCTTGATGGTTTTGTAGACCTATTCTAATTTTATTGACTAGTTGGACTTGTTGGAGCAGATTAATTGTCCTTTTGAAGTTCCTTCTTAAAATTATTGATAGCTATAGTTTCAAAGGAACATGCTTTGTCTCTAACAGATACTTCTGATGTTGCTGTTTATTCAACAAGAGGCTTGAACACCTCAGACCAATCAAAATTATAGTCTTACTCTTACCTTCCTAGATATTGAATAAGGGGCTATTTAAGAATTTCATAATTAGGGATTTCTTTGATCCCCAATTTGAACACATTTTGAAAGTATTGTAAAAATACCTCAGGGTATTGTTTCAATTCCTTCTCTGGCAGAAATTGTCTTTTGAATTCCATATAATATTTGTCTCTGATGTTTTGATCCTGCGATTCGCATTTAAGAGGTAGTTTCCCCTGTGATAACAGGTACAACAAGAGATAACCAAGTGATTCTAGATCATCTCTGGGGCAGGGTTCTAAATTGATAATAGAATTTTACGTTGTTGCAAATGTTATCCAATACTACTGAACTTATTAGTTTTTATGGGAAATTATTTGGCTTTGCTTGATATTTTGCCATCTTTGTTAAGGAATTCTACGTAATAGTCGAAGTTAGTGATAAGTAAATTTGAGTGGTTAGTGGTCATGATACTTGATAATTTTAGACTCCTGTGTAAAATGTTCAAACTATGAATTTGCTATAAATTAGTAATCTTTAATGCTTATTGTTATTATATAATTACCATTTTTAATGCAACCAAACAAATAGTTTTATGAGAGAATTTCTATTTCATCAACTTAAAGCACAATTTCAAAGATGGTCCACTCTTTTGCCATGCAATGTAATGATGGGTAATATCTTGGACTACTAAGCTGCCCATTCTATAAATCCTTGGTATTGGTATGAATCTTGACATTCTATTATGACGATCATTAGATTTATCTCTGTAATCAATTGCTATCGTGTATCAAAAAACACCTTACATTGCTCTAATCGTTTAAATAGTTTGCAGATACATAGTTAATCTGTTATCTAATAATGATAAACACATCGTCATACAATTTATATTAAGATTTATTTTTGTTCCTATTAAATATCTACAGCATTGTAAAAATTGGAATGGCGACCTTAATAATGAACAGATGCAAGCAGATATCGATTATCAATTACAACTGGTTGCTCTTTATTCATTTATTTAATATTAATAAATTAATATAATGTAATTTATATGTTTACTTTTGATATTTAATACTTTGACACCCGAGCCAAATAATTTTCTACTTAACCATCTCAAAACATATTATAATTGTCTCTAAAGTTAATTTTTTCTAGTTGTCTACTTATATCAGTCAAATAGAGTGGATTAATAAGAGGCACCTAAAAAACTTCTTATGAACATTTAGATCTATTATCCTATCAATTTTAGCATCTTATCATTAGTTTTATATAACGCACTTTTTTCCAACATATCATTCGAGTTTAGTCATCTTAATTGATGAATTTAATTAAATAAAATATAAAATTAATTAAATTTTTGATCTATACTCAAACTGAAATACTATAAGCAATGTCAACTTAGTCAACAAATAAATCAACTCAACAATATTTATACATTTATATTAATACAATATTTCATAAGAAATAAGGAAGAACATTCTTTGGATTTATACTTTAACTGCTTTCAGGAACCTCTCTGAAGATTTTCCAGGTAGATTACAATGAATTGTCTAAACTAAGAATGGAAGCGATATTTCCACATCTATAACAATAGTTTGGAGCTGACCACACAGTAACCAGATTTTAATCCTAGATTATTGATATGAATGTTACAGGGAACCAATATTTATATCCTTCCATCACCAACTGATGAGCTCTACAAATTAAACTAAGATCATTCAATCTACAAAACTCCTTCGTTACTTTAGCACCAAATAGGTATCCAGCTCCTCTGGAATTAACAGCCCAATATTCAACCTCTTCTGGATCTGACCACATCAAATCACAAAATGGACCTTCATGAGGTATTTCAACCTCAAATACAAATGATTTGATACTTTTCTATCTATTGTTCTTATTTGATCAACTGTTCTTATCTCTGGAGACAATCCTCCATGAACACATAATATTTAGCCCTCTATTAAAGCAGCTAATGGTAAACAATCAAAAACATCCATAAATAATCTCCATGGACTGCTATTTCCATATTTTCTCAAAATCTCCTCATAAAAGCCATAAACTTAAGTGCATTGTCTTGATTCATGATTACCTCTTAATAGCGCGATGTTTCCTGGATATTTCACTATTAATCAATGCAATCAGCTCTACCTTTCAGACACAACAAATACTCCATGGTTTCAACACTATTATATCCTCTGTCAACAAAGTCGCCTATAAAAATGTAATTGTGATCAGAGATGTCTCCACCCTCTTTCATCAAAGCCTACAAATCATAAAATTGGCCTAAATACTTTAATTGTTTGTTTTTACCGTGAATATCGCCACACACATTGACTGGAGCCCTGACAGGTTACACATTGGATTCTTCTAAGAAGATTTCTTTTGCTCGTTCACAAACAAGTTTGAGATCTCTTTCTGTAAGACATCCTCCTTTGAGTAGCTAGGAAATGTGTCTGTCGATGTCCATAATAAATTAAAGATTTTGCTTATTTTATGTAACAAAAATTTAAGTCTAAACTTTACAATATAATTATAGAATGTGAATAACTGAAGGATTCGAATGCCAGCTTCAACTCAGAAATATCCAACTTTAGTACTAAATATCGCATGAGATTTAGTAATATTGTTAAGCGAGTCTAATCCGAAGAGACAAAGAAGTAAAAAGAAGAAAAGCAATTAAAGTACTATTATTCTTATATTCCAGAATGAATATTCGACTTCATCATTACCTTTGTCAATAAATCATAGACTCAACTCAACATAATTTGGAAAGGCCTAATCGGAAAGCCGAAAAGTACAAGCTCTAGGAAGAAACGTTTTTCGATAGAAATCCTGTTTTATATCTCAAATAACAATTATAATAAGATAAATAGAGGAGTCTTAAATTATCGCTTTAAGCAAGGCATTTTTCCATTCAATAACAAAAGTTTGTGTAAAAACTAGAAAATTATAAAGACTTTATAGGTCTAAAATGAGTTTTTAATATAAAATTTGATTAATTTTTTAATTAACAACCAATTATGGCAATAGCATTCAAAAGATCATCGTTATCCTAAAAGGAATAAGAAGCAAAAAACAGATTTTATGGATTGCCTCCATAATAATCATCTCCACCGTAAAGTTTATGACATATTTTAGTACAAAGGACAAACCTTAGAAGGAATAAAAGAGGCCATCTCAATCCAATTAGTAATAGTTATAAATTCCATCATAATAATAAAAGGATGGATTTGAGGCTGCTTACAATGCACCATCAAATGAATAAATAGATTAATTCTATAAAAATATAGAGAATGATTTTAAATAAGTGGCTTAAAGTAATATTACTACATTATTTGAATAGAGCAAGTAACAATGGGAATGCTGGTCAGTTAACAAGAGTTGATGAAATAATAATAGGAAATCCTAATGCGAAATCAATAGTAAATGCAATAATTTACGTAGTAAAATAATACAAATAGTAATAATAACAAGCAGAATTCAAACAATTAAGGTGAGTAATAAATGATGATGAATCTCCTAACACCAATAAATCAATAATTACAGGAGATCAAACAGTTATATCAACAGACATAGCAATCTTAATCAGAAATTAGATAACAATTGCAATAGTAAAATAGCAACATCAACTTTTAATAATACGATTCACAAAATAACCAACTCAAACAACTCTTAGACACTACTCAACATAATTTATAATTCTTGAGACCAGAGAACTTGTAGACACTGCAAAACTTTACGAACTTTAATTTATAGTTGTATTAGGATACAATTAATAATTTGTAAAATTAAATTTTTGCCTTGTAAAATGAAGCAGCAACAAGTGAACAAGAACTACATGTAAAATATAAATAATTAAATGATGCACACATGGTTAGAAAAATTCAAAAGGTGTCTTAATATGAAGAAGAGACAATCCAATAATTGGAAAAACAAATCAATTCTATTAATTACGAAAAATCTTAACAATACATCAACTAAAAGCTAGGAGGATTCTTTGATTATGAGTAATTCTCCTAAGATATATCCGATATAACTGCTGAAGCATCTATTGTATACTCTTCATTCGTCGACAAGGGATTAGATTACGAAATGTATATTCCAGAATACTAATTTGATTCTTCAGATATTGAGGCACTCAATAATAAACCAAGTTCCATTCTCGATGAAATGAAAGCAGCCTTAGGAATTACTAATAAACCACCTCCACCTAAACCAAAATAAGTTTAATAACCCCCCGTAGTTTAACCTATTCAACCTTTAGGAGAAATGTAAAAGAAGACTCTAAAACCTAATCATTTAGTTAATCTACCAACTAAACCAATCGAACCTCCAAAAGATATAAAATTTGAAAAATAACAAACTCCTCAGGATTATAAGCCTATTTTCAAAGAACCTCCAAGATAATAATAATAGTAATCTGCTTAGAAAAGTCAGAAGTAAAAACCTTTCAATATGGAGAAAGCTGAATTCAGATAGAAACCTAAATAGGTTGAGGACGAATCCAAGAAATACGGAGTAATTGAGTATTTGCAAAATGATTAGTCCTTCGAAGAACCAAAATATTAGATTTCTTACAAAAAGAAGGACAATCAAGAGACCAACAATAACTATGATAATAAAACGAGGCAAAAATAAAATTAATAATTAATATCTCCATTAAAATAATAAGTAGAAGAAGCAGAAAGGATCCAGGAAAATAATGTTTATATAAATAAACCTTAGGATTACAAAGATGTGTACAATTATCAAGAAGTTAAATACAATTACTAAGAACAAGTGAATGATCCTAAATTTATTAATTATGACGATTTAATCTATGAAGTTCAATAAACAAACAATTTTACTTCCTAGGAATAAAAAAGTGGAGCCTTATTGGAGAGACTAGGAATGAAATAAGAAAATCCAAAAAATGAATTTGAATTGATAGAGCTCTTATCTAGAGACATTGTCAAAGATAAGTTAGTTTAACAAAAGCAATTAAATGTCCAAGCACAAGAGATGATCAATAAGGATAAGATCTTAAAGAATCAGTCTATTCAAATCTAGCCAGATTAACCCAATTTGTAAGATCAAATAGCTATGGGAGCCTAAGCATTTTTCTAAGGTCTTTTGACTGCATTCAATTAGACCTTAAATCAAGTAAATGACGGGATTTCAGGAAATGCTGCCTAATAAGCAAGATAACTGATTAAGATCCAGTAATAACTTGAATCGAGCGAATACACAGATACTGAAGAAGAAGAAGCAAGATAAAATTAGGAATACCATTAAAAACAAGAGAAATTGTTAGATAATCAGATCTCAGGATCCAAATAGAAACCAAACAGACCAGCTCCCTTTTAAAATACTTAAGTCTTATAATAGTATACTTTTGCGTCGACCTTCTCATAATAATAATAATAATAATAATAAACTCAATAGTAATTACAGCAACCAAAGGAAGGAGGGTAGAAAGGTGTGAATGACATGAAAAACTATTTGAATCAATTCGCTTTAAGTGACAACTCCCAAGTGTCTCAAAATAAAAGTGGAACATCATATGCTGGAAGTATATTTAGGCTAGATGACTCATATGGTCATAAGAGCGAGGGATAAGTATCTATAAACGAAGGCAAAGGCAATAAGGTAATACAATAATTGAATATTTAGTAGAGAGGTTAAGTTACGAAAGATATCTTCAAAGACTTAAACTAAGATCTGTCTGACAGTGATGTTCCGTAACATAGACAAAAGTTTTAATGAAATTAATATCCATTTTATACTGAATTTTTATTAAATCAAAAGAAATCTTCCAAAGATTTTTAGTGTTTTTCGATGGAATAACCTTATCAGAATGTTGTATAGTATATTAATGCATGATAATTTCATAAGTTTGCAAATAATTAAAGTTAAAGATGTTTGTTACTGCATTTTAATGTATAAATTGAATTGAATCCAAATATAAAAATAATAAATAATATATAATATATAATGAATTTATCTGAAGAAGATATTGAGCAATGCTAGAGAGCGTTTAATGATTTAGATGATGTAAAATTGTTTGTCTATAGATTCTGATAGAGAGGAGAGGGAGAGATCATGGCTGATGATTTGGAGATTGCCTTAGAGATGGTGGGATTGAAGTAGAAACCTCATAAGGTTCACAAATTAATAAGTGAAATTGATGATGGCAATCGTGGACGCATCAAATTTAAGGAGTTTTTGGGTCTCTATGCCAAGCTTAAATATGCTGGGTTACAAGATGATGATCAAGATATGATTGATGCATTTGTAGCTATGGGAGGGAATGAGGACACATCAGGAAATGTTGATGCAGAAAAGTTGATTCGAATAATAAAGAATGAATTTGAATTAACGATCGATATTGAAGGATTAATTAAAGAAGTTGATACCGATGGATCAGGAGTAATAGAGTTTGGAGAGTTCAAAGAACTATTAAAAACTAATTACTTATAAGATGATGAAAATGACTATCCGTGATTTTGACGCCATATGTTTAAATATATTGCTACAATTCTAAGCCTAATTAATTATAAATAAATTGTGTATTCCTCCTCATCATCCATATCTGATATCGAATGAAACCATCATTGTTAATATTCTTTAAGTAGATTTGAGATTTTAAATAATTGATATCTTATTCACTTAATGTAATATACTAATTACTTATTTAATGTATATACTAATAAATTATTTAATTTATGAATTATATATATATATGTATATTTGATATGATTTCTATATATATAATTCTCTGTGTTTTGTCAATAGTATATGGATTCATTAAATAGATGGCAGTGTCACTATGCAATTCTTCTGTTCACCAAGTTTCTAATGTTAAGGGACTTGGTTAAGAAACCTATTTGCAATGGATCATTTTTTATTTTTTGTTTATTCTTTTCTAAATTAACGCTTTTTTAATCAATTGAAATCGAGAAAGTGCAATTTTCTTTCTTTCACTCCTCAAAACTAAAATATTCTTCAACCCTGGACACATGTATTTTATCTGTGGGTATTTCTATAAAATCTTCATTCTTATTGAATCAAGTCTTTCATCATACTTAGTATAATAGACGAGAACTACTTTTTTTACAATAGTGTAAATAAAGTATAATGAAAAAATAATTTATAGGATCTAAAGGGCTATATCAAGGTTTCCCTATTCAGTAAGGGTAGATTAAAAATGAAGAGAACTTAAAATAATAATGATTCCACATAATAGAATACTTTCTTATTCGAATCGATTTAAAGCTTAAAGGTTGTAGGGCTGGAAGTAAAGGAAACTAAAGAAATATAGTATCAAAACTAGAAGCGTGAGGACACTTTTCAAGATTACTCTTTCCTCATTGATTATTAACGATAACATTATTACTTCTCGCTAAAATATCTTAATTATTTCCCAATAATAACTATTTTCTTTGTAATCATTAAATAAATATCCCCATATTTTTCGAGTTCTCTCAACATGAAAATATTTTCTGAATCTGTAGAGTATCGCCAATAGAACCAAAGGTATAATTCCTCCGAAAATCAATAGAACTGGCCCAATAAAAAATCGTACCCAATTTTAATGCTCTTAAGTATAATATAAAAATGAGGTGTTTATGTTGATGTAATCAATCATCGATATTGTTCTATATGCAATCAATCCTCCAAATTACTTTATAATGTTAGGTTGAGTATAAAAAAACAAGTAGATTAAAGCTGTAAAGTAGATGGTTGAAGACAGAATCATCTTATGCCCAATCACTAATATCAAATAACTTGTTAAAAAAAATAGATAATAGATTGCCGGTAATATTAAGTACGTGATCTACATAAGATAGATTATTTTTATATTTGAAGAACTCGCAAAATAGCATTAAAAGGAAAAGGTGGAACTTCCTATTGGATTACTTATGGGCATTAAAATATCAATAAAATTGAAATACAAATCCGATTGAAATGATTTAATACTAACCAGTATCTAACAATAGTTTACGATCATTTTAATAAGAGCCGCAGATTGATCTAATAAATCATAATTACTGTTACCTAAATTACAGCAAAAGATTATCTTATAATATTTAGTAGTTTGCTTCAGTAATTTAAAACTCTTAAAGACACTATTTACACTTATGACAGTCAAATATATTGAGACAATAGCGCTAAAATTAATTCATACTAATTACATTGAATTTATAAAGAGTGAAAACAAGATTTCCCCAGCATACTCACTACAAATTTCACATTGAAAATTCTTATTTTTAAAATATTATCCAAATCCTCTAAAATTATATATATCACATTCTTCGCATAAAGCTCCAATAGACCCATCTTTACAAGAAATATCTCCAGTCTACCAACCTCCTAAACAATTGTTAACTTTGTTCTAGCATTTAGAAATATAATGACTTCTAATGTTTGGTCTCCAATATCCAGGATACAGTTCAATATTATTTATTGTATTGGATTTGATTAACTTTGGATCCACCTTTTAACAATTCTACGCTCTTACTTCTACCGAATAAAACCCTTTCTTATAGTCGCATAATAAACATTAAGATTCAAAATAATATTCCCCCATCTTGCATGTAAAACTCTTTGCATTGAATTAAAAAGTGTAATTCCTATTTCTTATACAATCACATTTGACCTTAAATTTCTAAAACAATATTTCTTTTGAATAAGGATCCAATACTATTGAATGATTTGAAAGATCAAAAGATTGACTACTAGTGTTGTATGCTATTTATTGTACTTCTTAAATAACCTTATGAATAATTATATTGTCTTTGTTGATCTAATCTGATAAGTCAAGTATACATAAAGCATCTTCTTTTTCAATTTAAACTTCATTTAATGTGTTGATTGGTAAAATCTTGAGTTTTATATTGTAGAACTTATTTAAAATAACCTAATTTGAAATCTAGAATTCATAATTTCCAATTTTCTATCCACTTGGAATTTAAATAAAATTATCAATATCATATTTTGTTAAATTTGGTTATCCTAAATTTACATCCCTTATTGTCATTATCTTCAACCCAAATAGAGATAATTATAAGTGACTAGGTTACTCCCTTACATTTGAGATTAAATTGTTAGCCATATTATCAATAAAAAAAAGATTTGATAAAGTAAAAGGAGATATTCTAGTATCTTCAATGTACATTGCTCCACCCGAATCAGCGGAGTTATTTATGAATTAGATATTTTTCAGGTTTGTTAACTCATTAGAGGATTTATAATAAAGGCCTCCACCAAAAGTACCAATATTATTTAAATACAATAGATTCTTACCTGCAAATTAATCGATCTATAAATTCATTGTCCCATTAGTTTTACCAATATTTTAAATTAACATACTAGTTCTCATTTCAAGATTCACACTTTAATTTACAAATAAACAATTAGATTCTCCACAATAATTATCATATAGAACAAATTCGGAAATTTGACACTTTTTAACATTTTGCTCTAATTGTATATAAATTAAGCCTTACAAACATGTTTGGCATTAATTTTCAATTAAGTATATTTTAGTTAAAAATAATTTTACTTTTTAATTTTAATAGATATTTGCAATAATTATGCTTAAAAATGAATTACTTACAAAATTATCAATATTCTTCTCTGAAAACTAAGATTTATAAATAGTTATATTCGTTATAGCTATATTTAAAATCTCTTTCAAGAAAGAATTTTCAGAGAGGATGAGTCCTCTATTTGATATTGCAATAAGCTCATCACTAAAGGCATTTACTTAGTTGAAGTACAGATTGCTTAACAAAATTGCATTGGAAAATTGAAGAGTCAAGATCTTTTGAGTGGCAATCCCCTCAAAATATAGATTTTTTATTTATATATTACTAATTTAAGACTAAAAGATTACCTATTAAAAATTGATATAATCCCATTTCTGGTTTAGTTAGTCTATTCAAGAATTTTACCAAAGCTCTAGTAATATTAAATTTCATCAAGGTTAATAATGATATTTGATAATTTTACGTTATTGAGTTTAGTATTACCTTAAAAATCAAACTCAAACAAAATTTTGCTCTAAGAAAACACATTTGTAAATATTATATCATCTAACACTACATCATTGCTAATCGTCGATGGAATCAAATACAAAAAGCCATTTTAGTTTTTACTTTTACAATTTTTTATTTTTATGCTATTCAAATTTAAATTTAGCTTTGAGTTAATTGAATTAACACCTAAACATCCTCCAATTGCGTAATCTTATTATTTTGACCAACTTGTCGCATTCTCAATATAAATATTACTCAAATCTACATTTCCTAATCTAGTTAATTCCAAAAAGAAGCAAGATGCTTAATAAGCATACAAATTTTAGAAAACGGAATTATCAATTACAAATAATTCAGTTTTCGCATATATTACTCCACCGATTGATTTACTATAAATATCTTAATTGTATTGATTTGGGTCATAATTAATATATTATACTCTCATTTCCTTTATCTTCACTTAATTGGAATTCAAATAAATAAGAGAATTCGTAGTGTTTAAAATTGTGTTTTAATAAATAATGTTGCCATCCATATATATATTCTATTAATAAACTTCGATATAAATGAGTCCAGGAGATATAAATGAATAATCTTCTAAGAAATGAAGGATCAAGTTATTCTTAAATGAAGATTGGTTAATAACTGTCTCACAAAAATACTCTGAGTATATATATAATAGACTGGCAAACTAAGTACTTTCTGTTTTGATCAAATAATTGTTATAAAGTTACAAAGAGTTGATATTTATTTTCTAATTGTTTTGGGCTTGTCCTTTTGAAATCAACAAAATAAGTGCTGAATTTAAAATAAAATGTTTTTCGATTTAAACATTATTGAATTCAATAGTCACAAAATCTTGAATATAGAATACTCCACAACTTTGCAACCTTGTATTTATTGATGTTTTGAGCTATTTAATCTAAGATGGCATTAAAGAATTAGAAAATAAGTTATTTCCTTATATGATTGAATTATTAATTGTTATTTTAGTAAATTTTTACAGGCAAAAATACTACAAAGCATAGATATTCTTAATTTGTACATTTTCAATTAAAATAGTATGGCTGCTATATGTAAATATACATTAACTTGTATTGCATGAGTTTTAACAAGAAGATGATATGTTTTTTACCTCCAAATCTTGCAATTTTATAAATCCTTATTGGTCTTTATCATTCTTAATAGAAATGAAATCTCCTCCACAAAAATCTAATGTATTTAATGTTAAATTAGAAATTGAATGATTAAATCCATTTTTTGCAAATTATTGGTTGAATATGATTAAGCTACTTTTTACAAATGCACTATTGTGAATGGTAACATTTTAAATTGAAAATGATGAAGCAACACTTATGACAATGCTATCAGAAATTTTACATTCAACGATATCTAATTTTGATATAAAGACTATTTTAGAAATCGGAATTTTAAATAGAGCACTTTTTAAGATAGTAGAATTCTCAAATGTAATCCTTTCAGCTGAATAGTATGAATTAAAAGTTATAGAATCAATTGTTATAATTGAAGAATTCTAGAAGTAGGTATTGATCACTGTGATCTAATTTACTGTTTGGGATGCGAATTCTGAATCACTTAATGTATTAAAGGATATGATTGATGAATTTGTTAAATTACTATCAACCAATATGATATTATCTATGTGGATGTAAAGTTTTTTGGTTGATTAGCTTTGATAATGATTAAATGAAAATAGATGTGAATTTAATAGTGTTATATTAGATAACAAAATTGTATTAATATAAACATTAGTTGCTTATTCAATTTAAAAAATTGTTTTTTTTAACTCTAAATTGGAAATTGAGATATTGCTAAAAAATATTGAAACCCCAAATGTGGAATGTATGAAGAATGTATTCGATTGATAAAAAATTCTAAGATTCTGTATATTAACAGTGGACTAATTAACAATTTCGAATTCCTTTTCATGTTAACTGTCATTATATCCATTGTAAAGAAATGTCTGATTTCTCAAAGAAAATATTTGTTCTCTATAATTTATAGGGTGTGAATCACATTGACTGTTAAACTTGTAAATATAAAGGTCAGGTTTGACTTTTTATAAATAATTATTTAGGTCATCAAATTATTTATTAGGATTTTGAAGGGTTGGAAAACTCTCGGGTTCTAATTGTAGGTTATATCTTCGTTTAGATGAATCCCTTCCTTTAATTTATCCTGTATGGGACTCAATGTATGTATAATCTTCATTGTAATTGAATACACAAAAGTACGTTTATTTTATAGATTTTTCATTCACTATAAAGTAAGGATTAATAGCTTATATTTAATCTAAAGAGATTTTTTAACATACCTAACATGGATATGGACATTATTAACATTAATTATTGAAGTAGGATAAAATAGGATTAACATCAGAACTTGTTTTACAGGTGATACAAATTTAGCTGGGTATATCATATTGAAGACAATCTTGTTTTGAAAGTTGATTGCAAGTCATACCAATTTGTAAGTAGCCATCAGCGCATTTCAATATCTCATACCATTATATATAATAAATTCCTTAAATAAGAATAGGGATCTTATTGGGTTTGAAATTTATATAAAAACTCTGGACTTGATATTTCCAATCATCATATTATGAAGTCGTCATAACACAGACCTCTGAGTGTTCAAAGTGAGCAGAACATTGTTAGCAGATCCCATTTAAAAAATTCAAGAAGTATCCATAAACACATTCTACACATTGGATATTTCCATTAAAATCTTAAAGGCATTTTGAACAATTCGAATAATAATGCTGACAATTATTAAACTGAATAGCTATGTCTCTTTGGATCTCATCTTTGGATAAGAGAGTCGAAGTACATAAAAATTAGTTTTCTTCAGATATGAAACCATTTACACATTAATTACTAGGAGTATATTCAACACATTAGTTAATTGAAAAATCAAATATATAGCCTGGAAAACACAATGAACAAGCAACAACATAATCCTCTTGATTCTGAGTAATATCTTCTAACTGAACTGAAACTTAGTTCTTATCAAATATATTATATTAGAAGCAATATTTGCAGTTTTATAGATCACATGTTCTGCAATTGTTTTAAACATCCATGAAATATTTTTAAGAATCTTTGCAATACAAACATTGTTTAAACAGGCAATACCCACAAGTTGTTGAGCATTAAGACTTACCATTGTGATTTTCTTATTAAACTTCAAGACATTTTTTTACATCTTTCTAAAAGACACCAAAATAACAAGTAATATATACATCTTAATCCAAGTGTTTATCAGGGTATAAAATGCAATCAATATACCTTTCATAAATATCTTGATCTGTACAACGATCGCATCCATCACAACCAACTACTTCTTCGTTGACAACAAAAAATTAAGTTGTCTATACTTTTTCATTTAAAGTACTATAATACACATTATTCTAAGAACCTTTAAATTGAAGATACTATTCCTCACAAATACCTTTATAGATCCATTAATCAGGATCTTATATGCATGCTAAACAATTTAACATTCCCTTTTATGAAGCCGAAGGACTAAGTTACATTTACAATAAATACCATTATATGCAAGTATCTTTATACTTAAAATAACCAATAGCACAAATTACTTCTGAATCTTCAGATTCATATATATTGTTATCAGGTAAATAATTGAAAGTCTATTTAAGGTTCATATCAGCAGATCCATAGCATTTCGATTAATTATCCTCCACATACCATAGTTTACATTGACATGAATTTGTTTTCTAATCATAAATCCGATTATCTGATTCTAGACAAGATAAACAGTGATTATTAAAAGGACCCCAACAATTAAAACAAGAATGATGGCAATTTTATTGTCTTTCTAAATCGTTCATCTGATTGATAGGACTTAAAAAATTGAAATAATTGAATTATGCTATTTCACCTTCATAATTTATTTTTTAAGTATCACTAAAGCCAAATTAAAACTCTAAAAGGATATCTGAAAATTAATAAATTTCTTAGAATTTTAAATTGTATTTTAAGTTTGACATAAAACTAGTTAATTTAAAAACTAAAATATTCATAACATAAGTTATTTCTATGAGATGCCATTATGTAATAAGTTCTTCTTCTATGTTTTAAGCGAAGCTTTTTTTAAATGTATTTATTAAATTTTCATTATATACATAAGGGTAATTATATGTGTAATATTCAATAGAATAAGACCATTATTCTTAATTCTTTATATAAGTTAATAAAAAGATATTTAGGTTCTATTAGAAATTATGAGGTTTAATCTTTAGAATACTTATTTATTATTAATTAACCTCTTTAATGTTTATTTTGGACCAAAACTTAATATCATAGCTTCTATTATAATAAAATTAACTAATAATATTATTTTTATTAAAGGATGAGTATTGTAAATACGAAATTAATGGATTAAAACTGAGTTTTTCATTTATTCCTAAAAGAAAATCCTCCTTATATTCTGTTAAAAGCAATATATTAGTTAATTAATATAATTTCACCTTGCCAGGATAATTAATCAACATTAGATTTTATTCCGTGCTAGCCTTTAGCATCTAATATAAATTCACATAAATTACTTAAGTATTCTATCCATGAATAAGTATTAAGTCTTAAAAACAATTACGATCACTTTAGAAAGTTTTAGTTTCAAGCTAATTCTCACATTCCACTCCTACTACTAATTCTGTTTCATCAGTGAAGTACAAATAGTGAAAACACCATTTGCCTTCATAGTTTAAGTTGTCCATTTCTAATTAGACTTCTATATAATTTGAACAAGCTTAAACAATAAAATAATGAACAATTTTCTATGAAATAACTAGGAATTCAACATAATACACAAATCGCAACTCCTTTGTGTTTACTTGCTTTCCCATATATATTAAATAAGTATTATAATCTGTTTCCTCAATTTATTCTTAATAAATAATATTGCTCAAAGGTGAATACTTGGAAATACTTCCAATAACATATTCTTTTTATAAACTTATCTACGGAAAGTTTAAATAATTAAGGTCCTATAAATCATGAGATTATTGAGAAGTAATTTTGCCAAACATCATTAAAATTATAAACATATTTGATTTATTTATTTTACTTATTAAATTCTTTGAGTTTAAATTTTATAAATAAAATTGAATTTCAAGTTTAAAATGATGCTTTCAAAATGACCATTAATAAAATATCAATTCTCAATTTTATGTTTTGATATTCTTATTTAAATATTAATTAGCCATACATAATAAAACAAATTTAAATTATAATAAGTAGCTTAAAAGAGAAGAAAAAACAATATCCTGAACACTTAGAGATCAACTTTTGAAATTTTATGATTATGCTCCTAAGTTTCATCAAATTAAGGTTTTTAAATTTAAAATGTCTACAAAGAGTTTGGTTGATCTAAAGGCAGAAGCAAAAGTGCGAAAATGTAGTATAAATTTAATTCATTAATCACCATATGTAAAAAATCTAAGATTAAGAACATATTTATTTTCAGGAAATTGTAGAAAAAATATAAATATATAATGAGCAATTAAGAAATATTTTTATTTATTGAATAATTGTCATTTTAATTAAGCTTAATGTTTAATCTTCAGCTGTATAATTAATTATATTAATATGGATTTTAATTTCCAAAAATTGTAGAGATCAGCAGATAGAAAAGAAATAATATAGCTCTTTCAGCGTTATTTAACACTTTTATACATATTAAAATTCGACTTATAAATTCCTAAGAACATTTCGTCTATTATATTATTTGTTACTACAATATATCCCATATTTATTACTTTGGAATAACCAAGCTTTGATTCTCTAAAGTAAAACTCAATGCACTCAATTTTATTTTTTGGCTTTCGACCTGATTTATTATATTAAAGGTACAATAAAAATGAATAACATTAGCCCTTTGCTTTACCTTATACCTTTGATATTGTTTGTCCTTCATAAATTAAGCGGCATCATTTTACTATATTATTATTTATTTTCAAAAACTTAGGATAGATTTGTTAGATTAATTTCTAAATCATTATTTTTGAAAGGCTTAGGTATATTTTTTACATTGTACATAAAATTAATTAGTACAATTTTACTAATAACTTTTGGTTTGCTTTGCATGGTTAGCTTTAAGATATAATTTCAGTAGCAAAATCAAGATAATTTATTCTAACTTCATCTTATTACTAATATAATCACAATTGTCTTTTTGCTTATTGAATCAACTTTTATATTATATTGTTATGAGTCATCAATAACCCATCAATAAAGAGATATAGAAAGAACCAGATTTACTTATTTGAGAGCACTCTATTAGGTACTAATAATTATTTAAGTTTCTTTGATTCTTTTAGGGAATGTGAAATACTATCTTTAAATTTAATCATTTTTAGCCATTTTTTCTCAAATTATATTGTTATTAGATCAATACCACAGCCTCGTCTACTCTTTAGATTATCAGCAACAATCTATTGCCTTAGGCGTATCATTTTGTATTTCATTTCACATAATTGCAATAATTCACATCAAAATTTCCTTGTAATCATATCTTTTACCTTTGTTTATAAACTAAATGTTAATCTATTAAATAATTCGAAATTACTCAAGACATTTTAATTAAACTACTCTAAAAATATTATTTAATTCAAAAGTGCAAGCCTATTGGTAATTAAAGTATTGGTTAATCAAATTATTAAATAATGACATGCCAATTTTTAGTTAAGAAATCATTTTTAAATCTTTGATTGCTTCTTAGCATAGGAAAGTCTGCATAGATTTACGCTGTGCATTTTGTTCTCATTCAAAAATACTTAATCCAACTTAAACAAGTGGTATCACGAAACATATCTATAATGATTTCTTAATGGAGAAATTACAATAATTTCTTACATCAAACGCTTTTTTTTAATATTCATCAGATAATAAAGGACTGTTACAGTACGCATTTGCTTTGTATGATTGTGGGATGATTATGAAATCAATAAAAATTCTTTGTTTTTTAAAAGAATATCATTAAAATTAAGACAACTCTAAACTTTAATCCTTTTCTCAATATCAAGATGATAATCATTAATTAAGTCATCTTGAGTTGATTACTTTAAGACCAAAAACTTCTTAAGAAAATTACGATTTGGTGTGTAATTTAACAAAATCCTCATAAGATTCTAAACTTATTTAAATTCTTTAATAGCAATAATCTAAGAAATACTCATTGATAGATAAGATAAAATTAAAATTTGTATTTAATAATGCCAAAGCCAATATAAATAAATCTTTAGGAACTTCAAGTGAGGCAATATAACAAAATTACATTACTAATTACACAGAACAAGTTATTGAGAAAGATCTCTAAGTCAACATTTAAGAATAAAGTGTATTAAACGTTATTTAAGCAAAGGTTGATCTTTACTAATAATTGGTTCAAACATCTTCAATTAAATAAACTATTCGCCATTTTCACAATCAAATGCATAGGTTATGTCATTATTTTTATGCTGTGGATAAATAATTAAAAAAGGCCTATTTGTAGAGTCCTTGTTTCCATTTGCACAGAGTAATTAGCTTTTTTTTAGGAGAAGTTTTAGGTTAATATAGAAGATCAATAAACTTTTACAAAAATTCAGAATTCTTTGAAGCTCAAATACTGTAATTTAAATAAATTAAGAATTTTAATATTAATTCTAAACATGTTTATTATTTAATCTTAGAAACTAAAGATGACATGGAATCTTTTACAATATAATCATATTCAAATAAATTTTATTAAAATTTTGGGACTACTAAAAGTGCTACTTAAACTCATTAATTTAATGATTTGCTACCACAATATTTAGTTAAGCATCATTGCACCTATGTTAAACGATTTTTTGAGACAGGAGTGGCCAAATATTACTAATAGTTTGATCTTAGTTTTATTAGAAATGCAAATATGCTCTTAACACCAATTAATATGTGTCTCTCAATTACAAATAAATTTCTTAATTAAAATGTTACTTTTGCTACATTCTTTTAAGATACCTCTTATGATTAAGCATATATTCTTATAGATAGTGCTAGTTTAAAATGTACATTCACATAAAATCTATTAATTTTGATTGGATGGACTGAATTAGAAATTTAGTGTTTGAGCAAATAAGACAACTTAAATGAATTTGATATTAATAAAATCTTCCCCAGCTTTGTTAGAATGATCAAATCAAATTAAGAAAGGCTATTCAAAGTAAACTATTGTACTTTAATATTGCCTAAAATCTAAGATAATCTTTAAACTTAGAGATCCTTGTTTTCTGAAAACTCACAAATATTCTTAAATTATGTCAAAACTTAGTGTGATCTAATCATAATCAAACAAACTATCGATAATTATGATTATTATCTAATAAATGTTATTAAGATAGTAGAAACTTAAACCACCTCAGTTAGTAATAAAAGAATCCATTAATCATAATCAATTAATGTAGAAAACGGATAAAATAATTAAGAAAATTTTCATGACAACCAAACTAGTGGAGAGAAAATGGAGGCCTTTTTTTCAACTGTAAAAGAAGAACACATTGATATCCATAAGAAAACTTTTATACAGAAAACTCATAAAGAATCAAATTTTGAAAATGTTTAAATTGATAAAATGTATTCTATAATTGAGTCTATTTTGTCAGTGAAAACACCAAAATATCTTTAGAAATTTGTTGTTCTAATGTTAACTTGGCATTCCATCTTTATCATTTTTGTAACTATCTTCTTCGTGTCTTTGTAAGATGACATTTAATAAGTGAAGTCGCATCTTGAAATGGTAACTTTTTATGCAGCAATCATGGCACCTCATGATCTTTTCTTTTCTATGAGAGTTACTATAACTGCTTATCAATAAATGCAAAGAGAAGAATTCCTTACTCAGAAATAAGTTACAGAACTAACTAATCCTTATTATGAACATATCGAATTAGGATTCACTGAATTAAGAGATAGTTTTTATGAATAACTTAATAATAAATATTTATAGGAATTCTTGAATGATATTAATGTGACAATGTATTTTATGAAGGATGATGAAAAATCAATATATCCACTAAACCTTACCTTCAGAGATGCTTTATTAGTTATACTCTAATATCAATATTCCTAAATGATGACATTTTACTATCGCCAAAGCACATCTGGTAAACCATTTTAGATTTCTTTGTTTGCCAATTATTTCATGCTTCATTCTAGATGTGAGTAGTTATCAGATGAAATCACAATCTACTCTATTGAAAATAAAAACTATATTAATAGAAAATGGTCTATTATTACATTTGTAGGTTTTTCTTCGTTAATTTTATTTTACCTAATAATTTAATGTTATTAAATATATTTTTTTGTGTAATTGGACTAAATGTATGAATTAATAAATTCATTCACATTTGATATAGTTTAAAAGGAGATTGATAAATTTCAAGAATATATCAATAACTATAAATTAGATCGATATTTTTTACTTGATTATGATCCAATCGATAGATATTGTAATTAGATTGAAAATTATCAAAATAGATTAGGGTAGAAATATATAAAAGTAAAAATTAAGACACAAAATCAATCAAAATTGATAAATTATTCTATGCTCTTTTCATTATGTGCATTACTATCTATCTATTTTATTATCATTTTTAGTAATACAAATGCTTATCTATAAAAATATGAAGACAACTTAAAATTCTATAAAAATTTACAAGATCTAAAACTAAGACCGGGTAGCCTATTTTTATATAGAGAGATCTTTTTTAGGTGGTCGAATTTCACATTTTTAACTGAGGAAAATAAACAAGAGTTATATTCTCTTGTTAATAAAGCAGAATAATCAATCAATAATTATTTAACAAATACTAACGCCTTTTATGTAAATTCTTAAATTATTGATGATGAATTTGATTAATTATATAGTTTAGTTAGTCAGGAAAATCTATGTTAATTCATTGATTAAGTAATTTAATAATTAAACAGTAGAAATTTTAAAATCCAACTTCAAAATATTGCAATTTATCCTTTGATGGATCCTTAAAGTCTGGGATGATATCGACGTTAAATCATTTATTACATTCCATCTAAACTCAAAAAGCTGTTAACAATTTTACTAAAAGAGTAGAAGTTAGCTTATATGAGTAGGAAGGATCACAGATAGTGACCAGAGTTTTTTTCTCACTTTCTGATCAATTTAGTAGAAGTGCTGCTTCAAAGGCTGACTTTTGTATCTAACTAATTAAGGTATAATAATTTATACATTTTAGATTTTATCAATTGGTTTTATAGTCTATATCATAATAGTCTTACTTATGATGCAACTAATTTATCGTCCTTATTTGTAGAAGCTTTTTAAAGTACTGAAAAGATCAGTCTATTTGATCCCATTTGATTCCTTATTCTCAAGTGAAAGTTTAGAATTACGCTTAAAATCTATTAGTTATAAGCTTTAATTATTATGAAACTTATGCCAAAATGATATCGAATTTGATAATATAAATGTTGATTTTATATTTTAATGTTGTTGCTTAATTAAATAAATATATTCTTATTTAAGAAAAATAAAATAATTGCTTATCTAGTTAATAATTAATCATTATATCGGTATATAAAATTATTAATGTCAAACATTAACACCTTCAAATGCTAAACCAATTAAGTAACTTGCACTAGCTGCTGCACTTCCAATAATTAAGGTTTCTAATCCAGCCCAATACCATTTTTAATAGGAAAAAAATGATTTAGAAACACCAAGTATAAATAAGAAGAAACCTGTTAATGCAATTGATGTTTCAAATAAATTATCTGACATTCCAGCAATACTTCCAACAATAAATGGCAATACTATTATTTTATATATAAAAGTAATTACATGGCATCAAACCAAATAATCCAAACGAAAAGAAAGTTACTATGGCATCTTTAATAGGATGCTCGTCTATACTCATTAATCCAAGTTCTTCAACCATCATGACGTCAACCCACACTTTCTTATTTTTTGATAATGTGTCTGCAATAATTACAGCTTCATCATGATCTATACCTTTGGACTTAAGAATATTTCTAAGAATTTACTTTATAAATCTCAACCATCTCTTTTTTCTCGCCTTCAGGATTGGTTTCAACTTCCCATTGTTCTCGATTTCTTTCATTTATTGTGAACTCTGCCTCACTCCTTGTAGATATGTAATCTCCCAAGGCCATTGATATTCCGTCACCAATCAAATTAGCAATTCCCATTCCCAATACTACTCCTGTAGATAATCCAGCCTATGATTTATTATAATATATACTCCAGCCACTCCAGCCACAACTGAAAATGTTGTGACCATCCCATCTAAACCTCCATAAACCGCACTTTTAATATGCTCTCCTCCTCTCTAATGTTTTTCTTCATGATCTTCATTTAATTATTATTATTCTTCATTTGTATGTGCTTTCTTAGATAAATCAACGTCTTTTTTTTCGAAAGCTATTTATGCCTAATTCATTAAAGGATCTTGAAATTAATTATAATTATTTATATCAATGAATATCATAAATTCATTTCCAGCATTTCTCTCTTCAATTTTTCGATGACCTTCTCAACCAACTACACCAATGTTTCTTCAGTTTTCTCTCTTTCTCCTCTAGTTTTTCTTAATTATTCCTATATTCTTCCTGAAATCTCCCTCAAACTTTCAACAATTTCTTCCTCCTTTGCTTCTCTTTCCTTCTTTTCTCTAAATTATTAAACTTATATCAACCTTTCAAATAATTCCCTTAGATCATTTAATTGCTCTACAAACTAATGATAAATCTTCTCCTCAACATCCTTTCTCTCTGTAATTTCATTTTATAGTTCATCAGCAATTTTAGGCAAATCTTCATTTAAATAAGAATCAATATATTCATGAGATGTAGATTGGGCCTACTTATAAAACTCAATTCTTACAAGTCCTTCTTTTATAACTTCCTATTGTAAACCCTCAATTTAATGTCCAATTGAATATACTATTTTTTTCTCTTATTCTACTCTATCCTTAGAATTCTGCTCAATCAATCTTCTTGCATGTCTTTCCAAATCTGTTATCAATTTAAAAGTCTCACTCTCCTATCTCTCACGACTACCAATTATCAATTAAACTCATACTCCTCTTATTCCTATTCTAAAAACTCTGTAATTTGTCTAACTTTTTAAGCAATATAAGCAAATTTTTCTTCCTTCAAGTCAGATTAATGTTACAGTTACGCTTCAAAGGCCATAATCAATTAACTTATAGCATGAAAACGATTGTTTTTCCTATTTTGTATTATTTGTATCTTACTCATCCTAAACACTAGTGGAGATGTTGTTTAACTTTTCAAAGATTGAGGACACTCTATTTTAGATATTCTCTGACATTAAATTAATAATAAATTTTTATTTCTGTTTAATAAATTTTGTTTATTAAATAAACAATCATAAATTATTTATTAATTAATCACATTAAATGGTCATTAATGTCAAAAGTATCACAGTTCTTGTACTTCCTATGGATCTTTTAATAATTAATATGTTTTTGCTGCAAGGGTTCAATTTAATTTAATTAAACATTGATCTCTCTTTGACTATTATTGTAATCCATAATAGTAGAGTCTTACAAGTTCATCTAATTTAATTCTTGTCTTGTTTATTCAAGCAATTATCTTAATTAATCAATATTATCATCAAAAGATAATTCATTTTTTGTAGTGAAGCACACCTTATCAAAATTCAAACGTTGCTATACAAAATGAGTCGGTTGTTATTCTTCTATTTTCATTATATCTTTTTTGAATTGCTCATATTTAGGTATATCATTTTTAGGTATCTCAGACTGATTTACATTGCTAAAATCATCCTTTTGAATCCTGGAATTCGTAAAATCATTCTCTTTATTGTAAAATTACACATTTTATTCTTTCACTTCTTAATTCATGTTTTCAACATTTTATTAAACAAAGCGATTCTCCTCCTTTTAATAAAATTTGTTTTAGGTATTATTTACAGAAAAATTAGGAATCTCAGAGTAAACTGTCTTAGTATCAGTCAAAGCTGCATTACGAAAAGGATTCTCTTCTTTCAATGATGAAACCTACACATCCTATGAATGTAAAGTATTTTCTAAAAATGAAATAACATTATCTAAGTTTTTCATGCCATTAAATCCATAATTCTCTTAGGTCTAGCATTTTTCTTCGGCAATCTAATTTTATTTGGAAATTGATTTTTTTATTTCCTATTTGCCTTTATCAATTGATTTTTCCTATTCTGCTTTTAATATTTTTTCTGGTTTCTTGAGCCTTTAAGCCTAGTTAAAAATATTTCTACATTATACCTTTGCCACAAATGATTTTGTCTCTTCTAAGTCTTACTTGATTTTACTAAGGAAGTTTGGATCTTAATTTTGCTGTCCTCTTTCGCTTTCTAATAGTAACATCTTAGCTTATTCAAGAATATCTGGTTTAAATTAACATTAAGAATGGGCTCTTTCTGATTTTTCCCATTCAATCATTTATGTTAAATTTCTCCTTTTTGAAGTTGAATTATTTAAACCCTTAGAATGCAAAGCTGTAAGATAGATCTATTGTAAAGATAAATCAAAACTTTTTAGGTGTCATCATCCATAACATTATTTTTCAATTTTTCCTATACTTATTACCACTAATCTTTGGCTTCCATACGATGTTTTGACATTAAACTAATTTTCTTTTACATCAATTCAGCCTAGGATAGCTTGTAACGATCCTAATCCACAAATGATGAGACCCACTCAGGCTTTCCCTTTTGATTCTTTTATTTCGAATACATTGATTTCAAATTATTAACTGAAAAATATTTTACAACTATTTTATTAAGTATTTTTTTATGATTAAATTGTCATCCTAACATTTTATAATTGTTTAATGGCATGCAAACTTTAGTGTATTTATTATTGATCCTTTATTTTTTAAAAAAATAATTCAATTTCAAAATTATATAGCTAATAATTGAGAATGAAAGATTAAACAAGTCAAAACTTATTAAGAAAATACATCCTAACGAATTTGAGAATTCTGTTAGTCATCCATTAAAAAAGTTTAAGAATATACTCTATGCTGAAATATATTTTCCTCTTTTTAGGATAATTGCAAAGCTCTTTTTTCTATATATTTCCATGCTACCTCTCTTCTCTTAAAATGTATAACAAGTTCATACTGATATATCTCATAAGACCTGATTTGCTTTTAATTGATAATGTTATGATTGACATTTAACACAAGTACCTCTTTATAATCCCACTTGTTAGTATAATCGTTTTTGATGTATTAATTTTATAGGGGCAAGTGCTAATTGAATATCAGAATAAGAAGCTTTCTCAAAGTCACCATTAGCAAATAATCATCAAGAGTTCCTTTTAAAAATTGATTATCAATTTGAAGTCATTATACTCACAGCTGTTTATTGTTTATTTGTACATACCTGCTCAAGTATTGCCATTTACATCCTTTGCCTATTCGGATGCCATGGTAGATTTTGAAATTGTTATCTTAAGTATTATAACAGTGATATCTAACATTTTTTTCTAGTTGTTGAAATTAAATGTTAGTAACACCACTATGGACCTCTGCATCACTGGTTACGAAAGATTGCATTTTACCAATATGGATTTTCTTAGAGAAATAGTTATTTTAATATAAGTCATATTATATAGTATCATTGAGGACGTTGGAAGGGCTTAAATAGCTTAAGGCATATTATCAATTTTAGTAAGTCTCTCTTATTTAATCAATATTTTTGTCGATAAAACCATAGTTGTTGAAAGCTACATAACATTAACCTTAGTAACATAAATTTGTTTATTATCCTTGATCTCAACTTCGCTTTTGGAATTTTGGCAATTAGGATTACTATTGATTCCCATTCTTATTTTTGTTGGATTGAGTTATAGAAATCAAGAACTTCTTAGATTAACTACAAGTATCTCTGAAGTTAAGTGCATCTCAAAAATCATTGAATACATTTCATATCAAATTAATAATCATTCCAATTACAAATTGACAATAAATTAGATCTCACACTCCATACTATTAAATTATCACAGAAGGAAATGTAATGATGCTGGATGTTACTGTAACACAATTTCTGACAAAACAGATGAACCATTAAAAGTCCTTTATGTTTCAGACCTTATTCAGAAGAAATTTGTAATTAGCAAAATAAAGCAATGGAACAAAGAATTGAAAAAGAAGACATCAGATCTCTCAGATTAACATTGGATTTACTACATTAGTACTTTAAATCATTATGGACTCTCATCTCTTGCATTTCAAGAATGTAATCGATTATTATCATTACAAAATTATATGAATCGTGGCTTTATATATCAGAATGAAATAAACTCTTAGTCGTAAAATCACTAGTAGTAAAGTTTACCATCTCAATAGAGTGGATCTTAGTAGCCTCGAAAAACATAGGCAAAATTATCTATGAATTCACTTGAATTAAAGTCCAATCTAAAGTTAAGCATTAGAAACTAAACACTCACTTTGTTATCATAGATGAAATTAGAATTAATCAGTAAAGATATACGATAAGAGTTATAAAATAATTTCTTAAAAATATAGAGTAAATAATAGGAAGAAACAGCAGAAGCAATCTAGTTATATTTATTTAGTGAGCAGCAAAATCAAACTGTTAAACATTTAGTATTAAAATGTTTGTAATAAAAATTGTAGTTTTATAATTTTATAATAAACAGCAAAAACTAAAAATCTCAGGAACTCTTTCGAAATGCAAAATTCTTATCAAATTCATTTCTTAAATTAGAAAAAAAGCTACTTTAGTAATATTCACAATTTCCAAGTTAAAAAATATAATCAATAAACTGCTTCTTCCAATCAGAATTACTTAATAATTATTTAACCGCATATAAGCTTGCCAATTTCAGCACAATTGCAGATGAAAAGTTATTGAATATGAGAAAAAACATTAAAATCAATTTATTTGGAAAGAATGTTATATACATGTTGATGAATTTAAATGAAGGCATGTAGACAATGAACATTTATCAATTTAGCAATAATGCCTATGACTTTTTATAAATCAGCTATGAAGAATGTATGAAGGAGTATAAGACAATTGATAATTTGTTACCTCAAGCAATGTTAAATGAGCATCATTTGTTAGTTTAAAGGTTTATAATACAAGGAACGAGTAAATATTTCAGAAATATTAGCTTGAGCTTTATCTAATTATTGAATGGACTTGTTAAACCATTTAATTTGATTGTAGACATAATTATGAATTAGACTAACAACTTATCCTTTGTTGCATTTTTTGAAGAGGTTTCTGTAACTAATAGTTATATACTAGTTGATGTAAATGATTAATGTGGAGGTATCACCTCAAATCTATTAGAAAAATTAGGATGGAAACAAAACGAAATTAAACAATATTCTGAATAAATCAATCATGCTTTTTAAGTTAACATTAATTAAATAATCCCTAACTTCAACGAATTAAAGCTCTCCCAAAAGGAATAAAAGTTTTACAATAATCCAATCAATTTATTAACAAAGAAATCCATCACAAATTTTCAATAGAAATCTCTCGTCTTCACCCATGATTCTTGGAAGAATATGGGAAATTTAATCAGTTTAAGTGGAACTATTATTCTATAGCCAAGGGAACTGTGTGGTTACTACTATTATATCATAGAAATAGAGGACATTAGATTATCTTAAACTTTCTCTCAAATGGGCACTTAAGGTAAAGCTTTTACCATTTAATTGAATGAGGTTGAAAATATAGAAGAAAATAATAATGACATTGAAGTTAGTGATTTAGTTGTTTCTGGTTCTGAACAAGGGATAAACAAACCACAATCATTAAACATTTTTGCAATATCATCATCCTTATCGGAGCAAGATTAAGAAAATGCATTTACACATCTACAATTATAGGCTATTCTTCATGGATAGGAAATCTAATAAGATAGAGGAACGACTGCATCGAAGTTAATTCATTAAAATCCAAATAATTAATATTAAGAATATGATTTAGAAGATGCTAAAAATAACGAAAAATAAAATTTAGGTGATATAAATCCAAACCAAAGTATTCGAAAATTAATAGACACAAGCAAATCTTTTGCTTAATAAAGGTTTTTTAATCAAGAAATCTAAGATTTGGATTAATCAAATAGTAAAATAAGTGATGCTATCTAAAACTAAATGAAAGATGTCAATCAAATGTATGATGTGGATCTAAATAAAATTGATAAAGAAATGAGAGAAAACATCAGACTTTAATTATAACTTGAACTTGATTAAAAAAATTAGGCCAATTAATAAATGGATGATGCTGCTTCTCAAGTTTCATCTCTGATAGGATTGAAAAAATCTCTATTTTATAAAAAATATGAACTTATAAACAGATTAATGGAAAGTAATTTAAGACCAAGCTCCTATAGATACTGCAATTTACTGCTATTTCTATCTTAAATAATAGTTATTATATATTGTATAATCATACTAACGAATCTCAACTACGATTTTAACAGATTTATTTAAGAAGTAGATATGCTCTTATTCAGCTATAGCTTTATGACTCCGTTTGATATATTCTTGTCTCTGAGGTTTTCAACTGTTTATTATTCTTTTGGGACGTTTGCGGGTGCTTTTACGCCCTCTGAAAATACCTAATTAGGAAATTGGTTGGCAAGTCATTTAGGCGAAGGGTACGATGTAATGAAAGAAAATTTCTTAGAACAATTTTCTAATCCATATATTTTAGAGTTTTTTACAGATGAAAACTTTGATGTACTCTTTATGAACAAGAATTCATCAGATATGGAATTGAAAACAATTTCATTTAGAGAGTCCTTAAATGTTTTATTGCAATATCAATATTAATTTAAGATTGCATATCAACAGAAAACTTCCTTGGTTTCTTAAGCTTTTTCAGCATATCCATATGCTAACTATTTAAATTTACATGATAAGTTTGATAATTTGACAACGAGTATTCTTGAATATACAAAAAATAGAACGGATGCAGTTTAAGAGAATTGGACTTGGATTTGGATACCTTTTCTAATTACTGATTTTCTGTTAATTTTTGGTTGTTATCAATTTTATAAAAGCTATCTGCAAATTTATGGAAACTTTTTGAATCTATTTAAATATGCTGAAACCATTTGGATCAATAGAGATATGGAGAGGTATAAGATTTTAATTAACATTTTAAACAAGAATTCTGATGTGATGTTCAAGTATCAATTTGATTTAGAGCAAAAAGAAAAATACATGATGGCAGAAAGATATAAATTGGAAAATCAAGGGCTTCATGAAAGCAAGAAGAAGAAATGCTATAAAGATTATAGTTAAATGCCTACGTTGATTGGATTGATATCTCTCTCAGCTTTATTCTCAGTATTCTTTGTCTCTTCACTAATAATTCAATTGTAGACTAACGACTATCTTGATAGATATACTCATACAGCCGACATCTATAAATATATTGGGGATCTCTGTTTTAAAATACCAGGTTTGTTTTCTTAGAGGTAATTCTTATATTGGTGGTTTATTTATTACCCAGATGTCACGGATAAACCTAGAATGACGACTAGGCTCTTTGATGGAATTGACAGTTGTAGGAAATTTGATATAACATTGCAATATTTTAATTAAGAAACCTACTTAACTACCTAAACTTTTGTTGATTCCTTAAACAATATAACATAGAAACCGGTTTGCAACTTCTTTAATCAAACTATATAAGAGGATTTCTCATTTTACTGTAATCGATCATACGAAGGAGCTTTAACAATGGGACTTACATAGGCTCTTATTTATATAGCAAATTCATTTACAACATTGTATGAATTAAACAATTTCACATCAATTGTCAAATATTATAAATATGAAGCAGAGGGAATGTATATAATTGTAAAGGGATTGATTGAACTAGTAAGTTCATTAAAGGATGCGTTACTTCAAGCCACAAGTTCCCACATGGATTAAATTATAGGGTTAAGTGTATTCCTTTTAGTATTTTAAATTTTATTATTCCTTCTTCAATTTTTTATCCTGCATAAATATTATACACATGAATACTAATTAGTGAGAAGATTCATGCTATTATTACCCTCCTCAACAGTCCTATTAGATGACAATTTCGAAAGAAATATTAGAGTATTTTATACACAATACTAAATTTGATTGAATGTATCAATATATTAAATAAATTTTTATAAAATTGAATATTATTAAATTATACTAATTTTAAATAAAATAAATTTATTTTTAAAAAATAAACTTGGAAACAGTTGAAAAGCATGTGTGGAAAATTTGTGGTTATAGATATATTTCACATTGAATACAGGGTTAAAACTAATGATTGTTATAAAAATATATAGATGATTAAATATTACTTTTAATTCAATATATAAATAAATTTCACGATAATTCTATTTAAATGGGCTTTTGTATGTTCTTTTTATTAGACTTAATACATACTAAAGGTTTCTATAAAAAATACTTTGTTATTAAAAATTTAGTCTATTGTTCTTATTTAGGATTTGGAGTTTCTGATTTTTATTATTGAATAATTCTAAAATGGGAGAGTTATAGAGATTTATGAATTTATCCATCCAAATTAGATTTTAGTTTTCTTGAAGTTATGTCTGCTGGAACTCTTTTTTTCTCTAAAAGAAGATTCTATGTTTTTTCTAATCGAAAGGGTAATTAAAATCGAAAAGGTGATATATGGATTTATTAATCCAAATAATTGTCCATTTGAACTTTTGGATTTTAAATAGATTTTCTTATTGCCTCAATTGTATTATAATTTATTTCAGTTTTGTGTTATTTTGAGAGACTAAGTGAGCTATCCTTATACTTGGAAACAGATTTTTATGAAGTTCGACAAATTTTTCTCGCCTTTTATACAAAATCATCAAAAATGCTAAATTCATTTGGTTTTGGTTATAAGAATATTTTGCTTTAGTAGTTGTTGTTTAACATTTGATAAAAATAATATAAAATGATTTTAGCATAAATAATGTTCACTTTTTAAAATAATAAAAGGTTTCTGGAGAGACAATTCCTTCCAAGAATCTAGTAATGTACTTTAGATGAGTTAATTTTGTGGATTCTGATCTCATCTATGAGTGCATTACATAGGAATAAGCATATTTGGAATAGAACTCAAATGATAATTCTGAGAATATTTTTTTGTAGACATCGTCATCCACAGTCCAAATACGTTTAAATTACTCAAAGTTTTCTAATTTTTAATTTGTAACCCACTTCTTGAAATGAGGGACACTACTTTCTGGAATGTATTGTTTGATTATTTTACAGGCTTGTTCATTATTCAAAATAAATCTATTTAGAGCATTACCAAAGTTTCTAAGGAGATTCTTTGTGTCCTCCTTTTTTTAATTTTCCTCTTTTGCCTTTTCGACCAATTATTGGAAAATGTTCAATGGTAACGTGATGGACTAGTCTTCTATCTTAATTTTCTTATTTATTGCAGGTTCGTCTTGTATTAATTTGTAAGGTCTAAAATTGGATATCTTATTAATCATCATCGAGTTGAATATCCTTTAACTTAGTTTTTAATTCGATTCTTAATAAATATAATTTATTTACGAATAATCATAACAACTTAGATGTAGTAGTAGCAGTAAACATAATCTTAATTTTCTTAAGTTAATTTGCATGTCCGTGCTCATATTGTAAGAATAAGAAAGAGTAACAATAACCATCGATCCATGATTGTAATTAAATTGAAAGAGAAAACGAAATGTTGAAAGCTGAAATTGCCAAGTTGTAATCCTTCGCTAACTCTAAAGGTAACATATAGGTTAATGTATAACTATAGTCCCTGAATTCCAGCAATTGCTCAGAGACAATTAGTAGATGAAGAAAACCTTAGATCAAATGAATTAATAGATAAAAGAAGAAGAGGAAGAAATTTAGAGATAAAAATAGGTTATAGACAGATTAAATTTTGATTTAGACAAATCAAAGAGAGATAATGAATAGTTACTTTAAGCATTGAATGATATCAAACAAAGAGGATTGTCATAGGAACAATCTCTTTTGTAAGACAATCAGAGAATGAAATCTACAATTGATTCGCTGAATAATGATCTAAGAAGTTTGTAATAAGAAATTTATAGATTAAAATCAATTAACGATAAATCCAGATATATTTAAGATGAATCAAACCGTTATTAATAGGAGAATTAAGCCAATTTAGCAAGAATCAGATAATTGGAAATGTAGATAAGAGACTTGATGTCTAAGGAAGAAACCTATCAACTCCAAATCACAAGAGCAACTCAAGGAACAAATTCAGAAAATTAACTATTGAAGGATCAAATAGCTCAATTGAATTAATAATTGCTAATGATGTAAAAGCAATATTAAAAGCAATTGGATGAAGCAAGATTGGATCATGATAGAATGATTTCTGAATAAAAAAATACAATAAATGTCTAAATAAAGGATTAATTGTTAAGAGACTAGTAAAAGTGGATGGATGAAAGAGAGGCTTTGCTTCATGAAATTTAGTTATTAAAATAACAGTTGGCTTAGAATGAATTGCAAGTGACAAGGAAAAGGTAGTTATTGGAAGATGAAGCAAATAAGAATTAGCAATTTGTAGTTGAATTGGAATAGGCAAACAATTAACTTTAGAATAAATTGAGAGATCTGTAAATGCAATTACAATAATCTGAGAAAGACAAAATGAGAACTGATTAATATGTCAGAAAAATTGATGAATTGCAATTATAAGTTGATTAATTGCAAAGACAATTATATGATTTAACAAATAAATACAATAACTTATTGGGCCAATATGAATAGAAGAAGTATTAGATTGAGTAATTGAATGGGCAATTGAATTCCAATCAGGATAATGAGAAGTAAAAGATTATGAACATGGAAAGATAAATTAGAGAATTATAAGATCAATTGGCAGATATGTAAAGATTAAGATCACAATTGCAATAAATGAATGAAAATTACGCGGCCTTGCAAATTACTTTCAAGAATTCCTAAAAGTAATTAACAGAAGCAGATGAGTTAAGACAGGAATTAGAGGCATTACTATAAGAATTGGAATATTATAAACAATTAGATATGAAGAATAAGCAAGACTTAGATAAATATAAATAGCAATTGATAATCATCGAGAACAAACAAAGTTAATAAGCTAATTATGAAGTTGAAAAATTAAGACAACAAAATCAATAATTGGTTGATGAATTGAATGATCTAAAGAATAGAAATAAATAATTGGAAGGAAAACTTCAATCATAAATTGTTATTTTGAATCAAGCTTAAAATGATTTGTAAGCGCATCAAGCATTGACTGAAAAATAATAATATGCTTTGAATGAGAGTAATCAATTAAGAGTGAAGATCAAAGAACTATTGGATTAAATTCAATATTTAGAAATGGAATTAAACAAAAGGGATCAGATTATTTAAGAATTACAAATTAATTTAGATTAATTTGGTAAATAAAGAGATTCATTTATCCTAATTGAAAAGGAGAAAAAGGATTTTGAATATCGCATAATTCAATTAGAGAAATAATTAGCAGAATTAACAATGTATAAAACACAATTTTTGGATCTATAAAGCAAATATAACAATTTTGGTTAAGAATATGAAAGTTTAAGAAAGGACTATGAAATATTAAGGTATAAATATGATGAAATTAACACTTAGTTTATTTAATCTAAAAAGTAGATTAATATCTAAACTAATAGTGAATTGGAAGCATTGAAATCAGAGATGCAAACCTGGATTATTAAATGTAAAACATATGAAAGTGAGATCACCTTTTTAAGATCTACTATCACTGATTATAAGGACATAGAGTAGGAATCAGATATGTTAAAATAGGATTTAGAAACATGGTAAATTAAGTTTGCTGATGCAGATAGAGAAAGGATTCAATTAAGATAAAATATTTAAGAGTATGAGAAATTCAGATTCAGAATCACTGAACTTGAAAGAGAGATTTCAAATTCAAGGCTAAAAATTGAAAATGCTGAAAAGGAAAGAGACAATCTAAGATAACAATTAATAGTTTTCTAATAATAAAGAGTTTAGTTTGATCAGCTCAGGAAGGAGTTTGATTCTCTAGGGTTCAAATTATAAGAATTAGAAAGGGAAAACCTGTAATTGCGTAATGAAATTGAGGGTTAACGATAATAATTGATTTCATTTTAGTAATTGAAATAATAAATAATATTTATTGAACAAGAGAAATCTTAACTATTATATAAAATTGAAGAAAGTGAAAAGGAAAAAAACTAATTAAGAATGCAGTATTAGAGTAGTCAAAGCAATTTTAGTGGTTATAAAATGTAAATGGATCAATTGAATTCTCAAATTAGTCAATATTAATCATAAGAGCTAGTAATGAAGAGAGAAATTGAAATGTTGATTAAGTAAATTGATGTTTTTAAGAAAGATCAATTCAACTTGTAGTAGTAAATATAGGAAAGTTAATTTAAATATTCTGAAATTATGAGAGAGTATGAAAATTTGTTAAACAAACAAAAAAGCATAGATGTGGATGCATTGATGTATGAAATATATGAATTAAAGAAACAACTGGCTTCAAAAGACAAACAGTATGAGTATGAGAGACAAGAAATCAATGAATAAAAGTATTAGTTGGAAAAGAATGTAAAAATAAGAGTAGAACAAGAAATTAGAGTTTTAAATGAGAAATTTAATAGTGAATTGAACGAATTAAGAAGGTAGATCCAAATTGAAAGACAAGATAAACTAAAGATGGAATCTGAAATGAAGAGTAGGTATGAATAAGTTCTCACAAAAGATTAATAAATTGAATTGTTGAAAAAAGAGCAATATCAAATGAGAGTGTAATTGGAGTAAAGATTTAATGAATAGAAGTTATAATTTGAATAGGAGATCAGAATGAGATTAGAAAAGGAGTTGAGGATATCAATTGAATAAGAGATAAGATACTAGATTGAAAATGACTACAACTTTGAATCAAATATTTAAGACTATATCCTTTAGATTGATAAATGGAAATCTGTTTGCCAGATGCGAGATGAGGAGATATCTCATTTGAAAGGTTTGCAGTAAGCCTTTAAGGAGAAATTGAATTAATACACATCTGAAATTGAATCTCTGAAGACGTAATTAATGTTAGTGTAGGGAGATAGACGAACAGTATATTAAATAAAATGATTTCATACAAATAATTTATGAAGAAAATATTAGTAAGAATTTTAATATCCTAATTGTATATATATAAATATTTAAATATAATTAAAATGATTGAGATTAAAGAAAAGGGAGTAACAAGTTTGGAATTAAGCAAGTATTTGATAAAGCGTTTAAATTTTCATGATTGGAAAACTATTAGCAGGTTTGAATTATTCGGATATATTGAAAAATATTGATTATATACTTTATACTATAACATGTCAGGCGATTGTTTATAATAGGTAAAAACTCTCAACTTACGATTGGAAACATCTGAATACTCATGAGAAAGAGCTGCGAGTAGTTTGGTCTCCGAGTCAACCACCATCACCATCGAAAGCGATGTGTGAATTTTCCTCTGGTGATTCTAGTCCTTGTGATGATGATCAATATTAAGCTAAAATAGAATTCATAGGTACAAAATTATCGATTCGTGAAATATGCAATTCTGTTCTCAATTCTAATTGCTATGAAATTCGGATTTTTGAACCTACAAAAACAGGAAAATATGAAAAGTTTATCTTTTTTATATCTACCTAGAATCCCACAGGAATGGTAAAATCAAAGAGACATCATACTTTTTAATTATGATCCAACCCTTGAAGTTTGTTAAGATAAACATTCCATAAAGAAGTATTTAAAAGAAAAGTAAGTTTATATAATTAAATATAATTATTAAATAGATTCAAAGAGTACCTATTTATCACAATTGAAGAAGTTCAAAAGATTTATTTGGCAGGAGAATAAGCATACATCATAAAAATAAATGAAGATAAATCCGCTCAATTCTTTTATTACAATATGAGTAAGAATCAACCAAAACACAAGAAATACATTGGGGAGAATTTTTAAGTATGTTTTAGGATTTTATCATTAAGGTGGGGATATTACGAAAGATCAGAGACATATAAGTTTCATACAGAGTGATAATGAGATTCTTACCGAATTATTTCGTCAAGGAAAAAGTAGAGAGCATTATCTACGAAAGAAGATATGAGAAATATTAGATTGACTTTAGATAATTGAGAGTAGAAGAGTTATTTGAATGTAATATTTAAAATCTATTTTTAGTTGAAGGATGCAAATATGGAATTATTTACTGTGATGATTTGAAATCTTCATAATAGATTGTTGATCTGCTGAATAAGTAACATTAAAACATTATAGATAAATAGGTATTTCTTTGAGAGAAAAATCTCTTAGCCAGAAATAATTGCAATCAATGAAGAGGGAAAAAGCATATCTTCAGTATCTAATCGATAAGAATATTAAAATTTCTTTTAAATGAGTTATGATACGTAGAAAGTGATGAGATAAATATTGCAATAAGAAATTGATAAGGAAATCTAAGAGAAATAAGAGAGAATAGAAAAATAGGAAAGATTAGAAAAATTGGAAAGACAGGAAAAATACGAAAAGGAGAAGTAAGAAAAAGAGAAAGAGAAAGAAAAATAACATAGTGAAAAAAGTATCTTTAATAATAACGAAAGAAAAATACAATTAAGATATTATAATTAGCACTGTAGAACTTAATAGTAGTAAATAGTTTGAACGATAAGACAAATAAAATGAAAAAACAAATCATAGTCATCATTATTACAATAATAAATGTAATAAGTTTGCTTTTAATCTTGTAGATGATAGTAGAAATAACATGAGGAGGTCTAGATCATAATCAAGGAGAAGGAGACACAGTTCAAGTGAAAGTTCTAAGTTAAAATATATAATTAATTATATAACAGAAAATATTATGAAAGAAAGCATAGGTCGAATCGATATGAGACAAAAAGAAAATCGGGATGGGATAGCAAAACAAGAAAATGAATAAATTTTACTGTAATTTTAAAACAACAAAACAAAAACTCAAAGGCATTTCAATAGAAAAATTATATTTAATAACTAAAAAGCTAAAATTTGAATCAAAACTCAAACACAATTTAGGCTTCCTCTAAATATCAAACATATAAAAATAAGCTAAGAAAAACAGCTTATGTTGAATCAAAGAGAATAACAGTGACATATCTATTCAGATCTACACTGGAAATATTTCTAGATTGAGCAGTTTGTATATATTGTTATCCAATATAGTATTCATAATTATTAATGTATCTTCAGTCGAATAATTTAAAATAACGACAAACAAGCTAAATAAAGAGTGATTCCTATAGTTTATCTTAATAAATGAATATAACTATTTTAATTGTTTATTGAACTTAGTTTTCTATTAATTTGATTCACTATTTGATTCACCATTGGTTTTATGATTATTATGGGTTATTATTACTGATTGCATGTAAATAAGTTTCGAAATAAATATTTATTTGTTTGAATATTTAAATTAATTATAGTTCACAAGATAAACATATTTTTCATGCATTACTATCTGAATCCCATTTAATTCTTTTACCCTAATACCATTCGCCAGCCTTTTCAATTTCTCCATTTATATAAACACCTTTGCCATGCTATTTACCATTTTCCCATTCTCCTTCATACTTTCTACCATCACTCCATTAATATATTCCATAACCATGTTTTTGATCGTTAAAATAATGGCCTTCATATTTTCTTCCATCTGGCCACAAATAAATACCTCTTCCATGCATATTATTATTTTAAAATTCTCCTTCATATCTTCTACCATCTGGCCATTAAAGAATTCCTCTACCATGTATTTTATTTTTATACCAATCTCCATCGTAAACTTATCCATCTGCCCACTTATACCTCCCTTTTCCATGCTTCAATCCTTTTTAAAAAAACCCTTAATACTACGATCCATCAGACCAAGTTTCTACGCCATAACCATGTTGCTAATCACAAAACCATTGTCCTTCATACTTTGGGCCATTAAAATGCTGATAAACTCCATAGCCATTAGCTGTATCATTTTCCCATTCTCCATCAAAAACATCCCCATTTGCATGCTGAAATTTGCCTTTTCCATGAGCCTTATTGTATTTCCACATGCCCTCATATTTTGCTCCATCAGGCCAAATTTATAATCCATAACCATCTCTTGCCTTACCTTTCCATTGTCCCGTATATATAGCTCCTCCTTTAAATCTTATAAGACATCTTTATACTTATGAGGTCCTCTATCTTCCTGCGGAAATTCATCCTGATTCAAAGTAACTCCAGACGAAAAGAAAAACTCGTTAGCATCCACTCTAGAATTGTAACTATTCAAAGTTTCGCGTTTCTTGAGTCTCATTTATTTCAACTTTTTACGAATTATATATCCTCTCCAATACGATTAAATAACGATAGCTTTTTTTATTTTTTTTTGATGTACAGAGGAAGAATCAGAAGTTGCTAAAGTCACATTATCCTACTATCAAATTAAATTGATATTGCTTACAGTTTTAAGTACCTCATTTTTAGTGTTGACGCATCTGCAATTAGTACATTGTGATCCCATCAAGATTAGAATATTCAAAAAAATATAATAAAATATGTGATAATAAATAATTTTTAATTCCAATTTTATTATATCCATCAAATTCATTAGATGAAATCATAAAACCTCTACATTCTAATCCCTATATTAATTATTTAAGTTCTTTTAAATTTTCAATAACCATTCTTTTTGAATTATTTCCAGTAAACTTGTAAACATATCAGAAATCCTTTAATAGATTCAAGAATTCAAAATATTTTTTAGCAATTAATCAATCATCTAATTTAAGATTTAATTATCATGTTCTTTGATCCAAATTCCATAATTCTAAGCAGTTGGCCAAATTTAAAAAACATAAATACATTATTCCTTAACATTAATTACATTAGAACCAAGCCCATTTAATCTCACTATACAAATATTTATGATTTCTGACTCCTGATATCAAATAAAACATCTATGAATTTTGATTATTACTGAAAATTTATATCTTTGTAACAAAATTATCCAAGAATTCATTAGCATTTGTATATCTTAATGTATAAATTTAATAATTATAATCCGATTGTTGATTCTTATATATGTCGACTTTTTGAAGAACATGACAATGAAGTCTTATATTTTTGAACCTTATTGTTATATTTCCATTATTATTTATATAAATCATATCTTATTATTAATTCAATTAACTGAGTTTCTTCTTTGCAATTTATCAAAATTAGGAAGAATGAGGTCCTATGTTTCTGTAGAATTTAAGTACAATACAAAAATTTAATGTTTCTCTTATAAAGAATAGAACTAAAACAATCACATGCAATTTTGGTTAATTTAGTGTGTTTTTCGAGTTATTAGTTGCCTTTTTTGGAATGTTTAAAACTTAACAAATTTGTTAATGATTTTTGTTATCATAAATTAAATATATTTATATTCAAATGAGATCTCATCATCTTAGATAAAAACCTAAATCGGAGGAAGAGCGTTTTGCATAAAGAATATAACAAGTGAAAAATACATATTTAATTGGAGCAGATGAAAAAAACTTGGCACCTAGAATAACAGCAAAATCATGGATTATTGTAGATTCATAATCTGGCGATGTTTTATATTCCTTCAATGAGAATCAAAAAAGGGAAATTGCATCAATCACTAAAATCATGACATTTTATGTTGTACTTAACATGTGTCGCACTATGAATGTGCAGACTAATAATACATACGCTGAAGTCAGTTTTTAAGCCAGCTCAGTGGGTGGCACTACTGCAGATCTACTCAAAGGAGATGTTGTTTCTATCGAAGATTTATTTTATGGTTTGATGTTACCATCAGGAAATGATGCTGCAATGGCATTAGCTGAAAATTTTGGCATATATGCTATGTATTAAAATAAAATTAAAGGAAAGAATCCTTTGATTTATTTTATTCAAGAAATGAATAACAAGGCTAGAGAGTTGCGAATGTCTCAAACCACTTATGCGAATCCTCATGGTTTAAATAATAAAAATAATGTTTCATCTGCTTATGACGTGTCTAAGCTGTGTAATCAATTATTAAAGGATGAATTCTTTCGTAAAGTTGTAAATACTAAAATCCATTTCTCTACAATTTAAGATGAAGAAGGTATTACACTAAATAGATTTATAATAAGGATTTACTAGAGATGTTATATGGGAAAACACAAATAAATTATTGTATTAAGGGTTCAAAGGAATCAAAACTGGGAATACATCTGTTGCTGGTCCTTGTTTAGCTAGTTACTATTAAACTGCTAACAGATCTTTTACAATTGTAATTTTAGGATGCAGAAACTAAGAAGATAGATGGTCAGAAACTATGTAACTATTGCAATGGTGTTTATCACAAATTTAATGATTTTTCTATATAACTTAATATAAATATAGAATAATTTCAATTTTCAATTGAATGTGAAAGTCTTGATTGCTTCGATCTAATACTAAGTATATCATTTTGCAAAATTTTACTTTCAAATTGTAAAATATCTATATACTTATCTGTTTTTGATTGTTCTTTAATTTTTTGAGAACAACCAATAAGATTATCAATTTATACTAAATTTGACTATCTATCAATCTTCTCACCTATTGCATTGGATAACTAGTCCAGCTTAGCTTATAATTTACTGTAATAAAGGCCTTATTCCTCATTCATTATTTTTGAGTACTTTGAAGAGTATTGCTTAATTTCGTTTTATTACTCAAAATAGTCCGACTTCCTAAAAGTGCTGAGTTCTTATAATTGATAAAGTTATGATTATTAGGATTTAGAAGCACTGTGATATAAAGAGGGTTTTGGAATTTTAACAGTTTGCCCTTTTCCCTTAATAATAGTATTTTGTAATTATTATATATCTGAATTCCTCTTAGGTGTTAATCCTATATCTATTGATTATGATATGTTTTACTGCAAATAGTCGATTTAAGTTTTAAGCGTGTCAGATTATTAGTGACAGATTGTTTGAGGAGACCAACTGGATCATGGGATTTTTATAAAGGGGTCATAATTCTATCCTTGTTTTTATGAGGGGAATTCTTAATTTTAGAAGAAATCTACCTTCTAAATTCCATAAAGGAGGAGGATAGATCGTAACTCATAAGGGATTGCAAATAATATTTATTAAATTATATGAATTAGAAATAAGAATCAAAAATTTCACACTCATATGTTATATTAAAAGCAATCATTCATAAATTTTATTAAATAATAATATGAAAACATTGGTGTTCATCATTTGTGGTACTTTGATTTTTAATTAATTTGGTTTAGTTGCGTGTACACTTGCCTCTCATGCATACATTTATCCCTTCAATGAAAATAGCGTAAAGGATTTAGAAGGACTTAATTAGAAGTAAATTGCGCAATTGATCAAATACAATATTGGTCTGGTTGAGCATGTCCCATAAGATTAGTAAAAGGCATTTGAGCAATTGATAATGTAAACAATGAGATTTATATCATAGATCCTTTGGTAAGGGCAATGTGTTGACACCTACAGAAATGAATTATTTGATTCTTATAGAGAGTGACAAATTGTACTAGGGACAAGACGTGAAGTAATAAAGAGTAACTGAAGGATATGCTTAAAGTTTCAAGGTGTTGGAGAGAGAATAAAGATCTATGATGGAAACATTGTTTGGACAATAAGGTATTCTGTATTATATAAATTGAATAGCTGACTCGCTCATTTAGAAAGCTAATACTTTATTTAATAACAACAATTTAGGTTTCAAAATATATCAAAACGAGGATGATTTGGATATCAATTATTTGCAATGGACAGTAACACTTTATCTAGGCAAAAATGTAAATGATAGTAAAATTATAGAACGAAGTTTATTTCTATGAACCAAAAAAAGACAAGTCTCACAAGATTGATTCCTCATTGGAAAAGTGCGTGGATAACTTCTTTGGAACAACTTTTGATTATGCTCCACAAGACAATAAAATCTATAAATACAACACAAATGACATGTTAGAGATCAGAAAGGAAAACGAAGATCAAATTCTGGGATTCTTGAAGGACATCTGTGCCATGAACAAGCTTTCAACAATCTTCAAGAAAAGTATAAAGCATTTCTAATGAAATTTTAGACAATTCTCCAAATATGTTATCAATCATCAATAAATCTATTTCCAAATTAGAGAAGACTCTAAATGAATAAGAAATTGATTTGGTCTATGATATGATGAGGATTGCTCATAAAAAAGTAATAAGTATTATCACCATTTAGCTCTCCAAAAACTTCAAAAATACTTTTGAAAGTGAAGATCTATTCGGTTTAATATTAATTGAAGAAGAGAAAAATCCTTAATTAACCACAACAAAAGAATCTGCCAAAGTATAAAGAATATTGATGGAAACAAGAACCAGAATGCTTAATCAAGTCACTGTATATTAAATATATTATGTTCTCAAGCAAACTAATTCTACAAGCTACGTTATGGACGCAACGACTTATCAAATTTATGTGTGGTTTGGAGTTTTCTTTGTAATTGTGTTGATTGGTATTATTTATGCTATGGTCACCATGGATATTTAAAAGGATACATTATTATATGCTAAGTTCTTAACAACAGATCAAAGGAATTGAGTAGTATATGTAAATATACACCACATATGTTTTATAAAAATTAAAGATCATTCTCTTCATTACTAAACTCACACTGTTGGCTATTCCTGATCCCATTACCAAATCATTGCCTTTCCATCCCAACTTGCTGAACAGATCTATTTCTCTGTATGAATTGAAAAATCAAGCCCAACTACAAATTCTGTATGTTTTGGATGATTTTTGCTATTACTATAAACACTATATGTTACATCAAAGGGTTCGATGGTTCTTGAATATTCCAAATCATAACACTCATGTCGTATGAAGCAGAACCCAAAATAATTGCTTCATGAGGAGAGAACTTAACCTTTCTTACAGGATGTCTATGGCCTAATAAAGTTTAAATAGGGGCTCTATTATAATCTATGATTATTGTACTTAAGATTTCTGAGATCCCACAGCTTGATTGTTTTATCAGCTGAGGAAGTAGCAATAAGTTCTTCGTACTTGTTAAAGTCACAACTCAATGTATCTGACATATGAGCCTTGATTGATGCTATGTTCTTATTTGATGGACTATTCAAATCCCAAAGTCTCATTGCACCATCATTTCCAGTTGTAGCAAACATGTTTTATTAAATTGGATGCCAAGTGCATGTATAAGCACATCCTTTGTGAGTTTGGAAATATGCTACAGGTTTCTAAGCTGTAATATCAAATAATCTTGTTATTCCAATCAAATTAGATGCTAATAACCAATTTGGATTTTTGTGTCCGAATTCAACACTTTAGATTTCTTCTTTTGATTCTAGATATTAAGTGAGAATTTATTATGTTCCTACATTCAAGACTTTAACGAGTCCATTTCCACATCCTATTGCTATTACATTTGGATCAGCCTCACTCCAACTACAATCAAAAACTGCATCGCTTTCTTCTACTTAAAACAATATCTTGATTGGCTAATTTGGTTGGAGTTATCCAATTATTATACGTCCTTTACCTTGAATACCAAAATTATCAGCACAGGTGATTGCAATCTTGTCAATATCAAATGGACTGAATTTGGCAGACATACAACTCAAATTGCTAACAAAAAATGAAGGAGGTATTTGTTATTGCATCTATATTAATAAATATAAAATTTTAATTATAGTCAAAATTTCGAAATAATTTAATATTTATAATCCATCACAAGCGCATCTATTTTATAATGTACCATCAAAGCTAGTCTTCAATTGTATAATTATAAATAAATAATTATTACAAATTATCTCATATCAATAAAAGATAATACGATTTAATAGATTTAATCCTTAATTTCATACTATTCTATTAGGTTATCTAATTTTTAATTAAATAATTTCTAATTTTTCATAACTTTAACCCTCTTTTTTAATTCATTCAAATAAATCCTCCACATGAAATAGTATAGATTCTAAAATTGTACTTTAATTCTTATCAAAAAAGGAAGTTAAGAAAATCAAAACTCTTTCAGTATTTTAAAAATTATTAGATCTTAATGATAAATGTATTTGAAGCAATTTTAGATATAAGAATTGAATTAAAATGACAATTTTTCAAACGGCTAAGAGTAGAAGAAGTGCATTTATTGAAATGGAAGAAAATATCATTCAATGTTTTTGTCTTATTCAATACTTTCTAATCTAATTTTCCTTTATTTTTCTAAATTTGAAATATGGAGAGGAAAAAACAAAATTGTTGCTTCTTATGATTTGGTTACTTTTTTCTATACACAGAATCATATTCCAATAATTGTTCATACTTTCCACAATCAGAAACACTTAATTCTGGCTTAGAAAATTGACTCCTCAGAAGTTTTTCTAAGGTTAAATAAATTAAATAATGACTCCTTTTCTATCACAGAAAATAATTGAATATGTTATTGATATTAACAACTGTATTGTGTTTAATTTATGATTGTCCAGCTGCAGTACTATTTATCTACCATTTACAATTTATATCTTTTTTTGGGATAAATATGCAATAGCTCACAATTATAAAATTGATAAAAAGATAACATAAGATTTACTTAGTCATCTAATAAAATGCTACTAAACCGTTGTAATACAAATTAGCATCTACTTATCCTGTGGTTTTTCCGAAAATTCAATTTGGTAATCTATGGAGCTTTAAGTGCAGGATTATTCATGATTTTTACATTATCTTCAAAAAAATAAATGGTTAGTTCCGAATCGTAAGGTCTTTGGATTGAAAAAGAAAAGACCTCAAATTGAATTTAAAGAATAATCATTCTTCAAAAGTGATAGAACAAAATTTTGAGAGTATTTATACCATCTATTATATAAAAGTTTAAGAATAGAATCCTTAACTGAGATTATGAATAATTCACTCAAAATGAATCAAAATGATTCTGTTTTAAAGACTGATTAAGGTTGATCATTTTATGAGCTATCTATCAGATTGTTATTAATGGTAAAATCTTTGATATTTAAACCAAAAATTAAGTAATAATGAAAATTCAATAATTTCATTTTAAACTAGTGCTTTTTCTCAATTTGGATTTTTAATCTTAACTCATTCTCTTAATTAATTCCATCAACCTCTATCTTCCACTTTCCTTATTTTAAATGATAAACTCATGTTTCATCAATTCTTTTAAAGAAGTTCTTTTTTCATGATCCTAAATTTATAAGACTCAATACTTTAATCAAACATAATTGAGTGAAATCCTGGAATATTTTGCTTCTTTATTTGTTAATCCTTGGAGGTGGTAAATTTATAATGTTATACATCACTCTAATGGGATGCTAATCAAAATATGGAGGATCTCCTTCTGAGAGTTCATATCCTATGATTCCCAAACACCAAATGTCAGAAATCTCTTCTATTATTTATTATTCCAATGTTTCTGGGGCAATCCAATAAGGATCTTTGTCTTTTTTGAATTCGATCTTGTAATCCATAATTAATAATTTGACTTCTCCTTTTTCGTTAATTAAGACCTTCTTGGAATTTAAATGTTTGTGGATCTTGCCTTTAAAATGCAAATACTTTAAGCCTAACATTATTTGATAAAGTATATATCCAATTATTGACTCATCAATTTTCTTATCAAAAACTCTAATCAATTTTCTGAGGCTCCCAAATTTCATATATTCCTATATTATGAAGCTAACATTATAATTATTTATTACAAACATCCACTATAAAGATAAGCCTCATGATATTTCACAATACAAGGACAATCCAGGTGTTGAATTAAAGATATTTCTCTTTTCAATCTATAACAATTAAAATTTTCATGAAATTTAAATACTTTGGCAACCAAAACTTTATTTAGTTATCTATCAATGATTTTATAAAGTTTACAATTAACCCCTCTTTCTATTTATTCATTAAATATATATTTTTGAGCAGGATTTTCAATTAAAAATTCAGTTTACGTCACCTCATTAAAGTTTTATTTAAATGATAACTCTTTACCATCATATATTTCAAGTATTGATATGAAGTTCAAGGTGTCCTTTTAAATTTCATTCCTGCTTATGCCACTATTATATATCTCCTTCTCAATTACTACATTAAGACCTGTCAGACATAAATCCGCATTTGTGTCAATTTTTAACTCTTGTTACAAATTCTTTTAGTTCTAAGTGGAATTCTGTATTTCTGATATACACTCTGGTAATTTATGAGTTCTAACTTCTTCAGGTAGTCTATTTGTCTCTACGACTTATTGTTGATCAGCATCAAGATGAGATGCCCATTCCTTTGGAACCCCAATCAATTTCCCAGTAACAGGGTCTCTTTTGATACTAATGCATTTCTTAACGTCTAAGGGTCTAATATCTGACTTTGAACTTGCCAAAGATTCCTAAGATGATTTGTTTCCCATTTATTTTAATTAAATCGTATCATAAAGAATTAATTCATATTAATTTATACTCAATTGCAACATGTAAATACCAATATTACTAATTAGCATCCCATAACAAATTAGAACTTTTTAAATAAATTTGAGGAGATAATTAAAAAATTCTTTATTAAATAGAATAGAGAAGTAAGTAATTATTTTAATCTATTTATATCATAATTAGATAATAATATTTAACAAAAGAGTGCTCCTTTATTTTATCAAATCTCAAAAAAAGTTTTTGATCCTTCTTAGATGGAATTAATTACGTAAGTAGCTATATCCTAAAGCATGATTTATTTTATGTAAATTTCAAAGTGCTTCAATAATGTTATTTTATTTTTGCAATAAATTAGAATTTCTAAAGTATATTTAATGATCTTCATTAATTTGAGATATGCTTAAAATCATTAAATAAGGATACGATTTCACAGTATTGTTTCTCTGCAAATTTTAAATATATAAACCATAGTTTAGTCATATGAAGTTATCTTCTAATTATTCAATTTCATCTACATGAAATTAATTAATTCTTTTAATTAATCCTAATGGTAACTTAATTAATATTAGACTAGGAGCATACTCTTTATAGACTTTCATTAATATAAAAAAATCCTTTTCATTATTTAATAATAAGAATAAATCGATGAATGATTTATGTGTCTTTAGAATAAATACCTATTTATAATGTAATTATTATGACAAAGCAAGGAATAAACTTCAGATGCACTTCATTTTTATAGAACCATCCATGTAATATTTAAGCAGAACATTATTAAATATTCATCTTGTTTTGTAAGTTCTTACCAATCAGGCTATCAAAATTGTAAAGTATCCAAGGCATGGCTATTTATTGTTTAAATTAAACGGGAACTTATCTTTCAATAGAGGTTTGTCCTCATATAACAAATTAGAAATCTTCTATATGTTTCATTAGATATTAATAATTACTATAAATTGAAATAGAAAAATTATAATATGAAATCTTTGGATCTTCTAAAATTTTGATAGGGGAGTAATGATTATTTGGTTAAACCTTCATAATGAGAATTACACAATTAAAAAAGTGATACTTTGAATATAAAAATTTAACATAATACTTCGTTAAATGAATATTATTTTTAATTTATCTGTTTGCAAATGTTCCACTCATATTTAATGCCAAACTTAGGAGGTATCGATTATTGAATAATATGATAGACCCCATGAATTGTATAATTTAGGGTTAGAATGGAAAAGGAGGGTTATATTTAGGTAATATCGAGAGTGCTGGTAATGGTAAACTATTAGGCCATCATGACATTGGTGCAATATTGGCTGTAATGAGCACCAAGGACTACACGTATGATGCACATATTTCTCATAAGGTATGGAATAGTGTTTATAGAGTAGTTTATTAGAGTTGACGATGCTGACTTTGTAAATTTAAGTAAGCATTTTGAGGAGGCTATCGATTTTATTGATGTCAATCGATAGTAAACCAGTGTACTGGTACATTGTCATGCGGGAGTTTCAAGGTCTGCTACCATTGTTATTGCTTATTTGATGAAAACTTAAAATATGTCGTTGGAATAAGCATTTAAACATGTTCAGAATTAGCGACGCATAGTGAATCCTAATCCTGGATTCATGAGACAACTGAAGCAATACGAGTCGAAATTGCAGAGTTCTAATTCTCTTAGAACTTCACCTGTGAAGTAGAAGGAGAGACAACATTCACAAAACAATCTTCGCTAGAGTCAATACATTTAGAATTCTTCTGAGGGCTACAATTCTGTCCATCAACCATATCAACCTCATCGCCAATATTAGAGTGCTTCAGATTTAATGAGACAATCTCAGTACAATTATGATAGACTTAACTCAAGGTAAGCATTGAGATTATAAGTATTAGGCAAATGCATTATCCCTATATGCCATAGCATTATTCACCATATGTCAGAAATTACAGTGTGCCATATGGGTAGAATCCTTTGCACTTTTCTACTTACAGATAGGGATGTTATTGATTTTTATATAGTATAAACTTAATAAGATGTTCATCACATAATGCTTTTGGAAAATACAAACTATTTATCTTGGCTTGTCTTTTCACTTTCTATTTGAGTTTTGAATTGCTCGAACATTTTCAATTTCTCATGATTTTCTTTGGAAGGCCTCTTGGATTGCTAGTTCTTCTCTAATTAAGTCATCAGATCTTAAATAAAATTATTCTCTTCAAGCACTAATTACTATATGTAAATAGAATTACCGGAATCTTCATCTATTATTTTTTGTTGTTTCTCAAACTTTTTTGAAAATTCATTTTATTCGCATAATTCAATTATCGTTTTCAAGGATGGCAGATGCTATTTCCTTCTTTCGATCTTTGGCTTTAATTTCTACTTTATATTGATGAACCAATGATGTTTGATTGCATCCTCTAATTTTATTCTATTCTCTTTCTTATCAAGTAGTCTCCTCAATAAGTCTAATTGAGAGGCACAATATACCATTTTATACTTATCTTAAATTAAAAAGCTAATACATTATGCATTTTTGTCAAGTAATGATAAATGCTCTTCAGCCTTATCAATTAGTTCCATTTAAATTCGATCAACTCTTTCATCCTTCCTTTTTTGATGAATGAAGAATGTCAAATAATAAAATACAACTCCTATTTAATATAGATCGCTATCAATTGAAGGTTTGGCAATACCTTATTTAATTTCAGGAGCTATATAGCTCTCATGCACATTTGAGAAGTAATGATCAAGAGGTTCAGAGTCAATTCTACTTATAAATACCATATTGACTAGGAATACTTAAAGAAAGGAGGATTAGGTATTGATGAGGATGTTATTTGGTGTGATGTTGCCGTGATAGATGTTGTTCTTTCTTAAAAATTTGATAGATTACAATAATTACAGAATTATCTAAAATTAAGTAAGGCAGAATTACAGATGCTAATTGTGTTTGATCCAAAATCAATCCTTAATTAAGGAGATCCAGCAGTTTCTCACATCTAAAATATTCAAATATCAAGTAGATGTAATGGTTGTCCTCATACACCCACTTTAAGTCCAAGAGGGATGGGTGTTTTATGCTCCTCAGGGTTTGAATTTCACTTTGCAATACATCGACTGGTGATGAGGATCTAATGGAATGAACATAGGAGGTATAATATTTTTTGGTTTTTTTGTGCTGAATTATAGCATAATCTTTGATGATCTATTCCAAAAGGCTAAACTTGTTTGAGAAATTGGTTAATCTGCAAAAGGACTTCAATTTAGGCACCCATTCCAAATATTGCTATTTGTTGTTGAAGAACATCAAGAGATATCCAGTTGAACTTGATAGTTGTATTGCATAGGCATCAAATTTAGAGCATTGTTTCAACTTGGCAATTTTACAATTAGAGAGTACTAGGTATTGATCAGCAATCACAAGCAAATTGGGTATGAAGAGGACAGATATGTTGATGAAGCTTTCTTGGATGCTGGAATATATTGTTAAATGCGATTTTAGTATGGGGGGCGTTTTGTTGATTTCATCCATCTGTTTTTCGGGCAAATTGGTTAGACAACTCTGCTTAAAAACATGAGAGGGTATTTCGCTTAGTAGATTGAAGATTCTTGAGAAATCAATGTTCATTTATTAAATATTATTAAATTTACAGATTTAATTCAACCGAAACCTTTAATTGTTATTCATGTGTAGTTTAGAACTAAGTAAATGAATGGACAAAGCAAATATAATAATCTCTTATTATAAAATTATATATTATGTATAGATAGCAGTGGAGTTGCTTTTCATTTAGAATGTTCCCCTACTTTGGGGAATGGCTGTAAATGCACAGAACATGATGTATTAAATATGAATTAATAAAAATGGTGGTATCCTATTGTGTTTTCATAAATATTAATTTAAATAAAAATATGGACGTGAAGAAGAGTAAAAAGAAACCAGAATTGAATGAACAGTTATTTGTTGGCAATTACATTGATGTTTTCCATCAAGGAAGCAAGTAACATAAGTTGGCGTACATTTTGTAAAAAAATGAAAAAGAAATTGAAATCACATATGATGGGATATCTAAGAAGGATAATGAGGTATGATGTATGTCCCTTAAGAATTCTAGATAATCAAATTATCGCAAAACAAGATCAACTTTGCTCGTAGATTCACTTAAAGTAAGCAATTATTTACATAAAGACTACACTGGAGAGGACTTCCGACAAAGCAAGACTTCCCGCGATTACTTGAAATACTCGAGAGAGGATTGCGAGAAGAATATCAAGGAATTGAATTCAATAATGTAAAATAATTTTCAAGGTCTCTCTCCAATTGAAATATGTTTATCTGTGCGTGTGAGACAATTCATATGGTTGGACATGGTGCTCTCTACCGAATTCCCATCAAAAGAATTGCCTGTAGCATTGGAATACATTAAAACCTACTACAACTTCATTAAGTGGTATTTCGAGTAGTTCCCAAAGTACTTTGCAGATGTAAGCTAATATTCTCACTAACTCAGTATATGAGATTCCAAAACAACTAAGAATTGTACATCCTAGATGAACGAGTCTCAATAGCAGCTTGTCTTTAGGAAGTCTGTGAAGCCTTCTGCATGCTTTTTGGTTCCATATGGCGAGTGTTGAAACAAGAAAACTCCTTTTTCTACGTACTCCTATTCAAATTAAATTTAAGCTAAACTACGACAATTTGTAACAGCAATTCGATAAATTCTTTCCTCCCTCCAGTTAATAAGGGTTCGTTGTAAATCCGAACATCGATGACTGGAAACTATATTAAGGGGCATCAGACATCGTTAAATGCATAAAGAAGACATGGCCATTTTATTTGAGAACCATGGCGTACTTTAAATCCATAGGTGGACTTCAAGCTTGGGAAGGCTTATTGAAACCCTAAGAAAATGGGGAATATAATTACATTCCTCTCAAGGCCATGAACAGGATAGTAATAACACAACAATACTTGTCCTCATACTTCCAATTGTCAGATTAGGCTCAAATGGCCAAGAAGACTTTTGAGTGGTTGTAAAATAGAGTCAACAATTTGACAGTCTAAGATATCAAGGACACAGATATTGATTAAGTCAAAGAACTCACTTCGGAATATCAATATTACTTTCTGAAAGGATTCACAGAAGATCAACTAAATAAATTGACTGATGAGATCTAATTGCAATTAGCATTGAAATTCTTGAAGTCTTCCTTTTTGGAAAAGAGAGTGAAAGGCATTAGTGAGATTAAGGATTTCACTGAGAGATCCAAATATGAACAATAGACAAGTCTTAAATTCAGGAGTTCGATTTCCAAAGACGATTTGATTAGGTGGATATCACAAAATAGAATTCTAGACTACACGTTACTGGGAGATTCAGTTCATCCAGAATTAATCAAAAGATCAAGTGATGTAGCTGTGTTTTTATGTCGGAATTAAGCATTCCAAATTGATTACATCGACAAAATATGGAAAAACAATCATGACAAACATGAGACTACTCAACTAGCTTTGTATGAATTCTTCAAGATTGTGTCCCCCTACTTAAGTTTCCAAGGAATCGAAAAACTATATCATCATATCTCCACCATTCCATACTCTAAATACAATGAAAATATTGTTAGCATGATTAAAACATTCACTGAGTCAGCATTGTCTTAGAAGTTCCACGACCAACAATTGCAATTGAAACCAGAAAAGAGATTCATGACTTTTAATCAACTGTGGGAATTATTGCAAGATAGGGACGATCAATTAATTAATAGTGTCATTCAAGAATAGTGTTTTTCAGCTGCCAGAATGATCATCTCCTAGATTCAATAAACCAAATAATTCATCTCATAATATTTTGGCAAGTGCTTCGAATTGATTGGTGCTCATCAATCTGTCTACTAAGCTATTAGTCTTGTGCATTATTTCCTCGATAAACAATTCAAAGATGATGTCAATGGTAAAAGGGAGTTGATCCAATCCACTGATGATAAATATAATATCATTGAACTCTTTGTTAAAGATATTGAAGTCTATATGGAAAAGGTCAGACAATATTTTAAGTATGACATCCCCCAAGACATCGTCATCAATGGAGTCTAAAAGTTTAGCTAGAATGTATTCTTCAGATTATAAATGTTGAATTATCTCCTTTCATAAACACATCTTAAGATCACTTATGAATAAACTGTCAGATTGTGGGAAGCTCTCTCTGCCAAAACTAAAGGGGGCATCCAAAAGAGAGAATTGAATAAGATCCTAATTACCAATTACTAAATAGATACCAATTCCTTTAGGATTTGCCCAATCTATTTCGATAAAGAAGGCGAATAGAAGTTCTTCAAGTAGGTCTTATGCAATCCAGACAGAAATGATTATGAAAAGTAATATCATTCCCCATTTATTATTAGTTACACCATTGAGGATTTTGAATTGTTCCAGGTCTTCTTCAAATCATATAATCAATCTCACCAAACCTTGAAATATTTTAACAACTCCTCCAGATTCTTAGTTAACGATCACAATTTCGAAGGGAAATCTGCCATTTGGAACATATTTGCTAAAGTCAAGGATCAATTATTATTAGAATAAATCTCCTACTTTATTATTAACCTCTACACCTAACTAAATTCTAATCTTGATCAATCATGCGATAAGATCTACTAAGAAATGATGGACAAATGCTTAGATTTGATTTAATAGCAGTGTCCAAGCTTAACCACTAGATCAATTAATCTCTTATTGCAACTATTCAACTACTTCTAGAGTGGTCCTCCTTCTAAGAAATCTGCTAAACCAATTAATTATACTCATTTCAAAGTGTAGATTTAGTACCCCAATAATACGGTTAAGGCTCTTGAATAAAGAGAAGGAGACACTACCACAATCAATCAATGGAAATAAAAATTGGCTGAAGAATTACAAGTAGCATACTTACAATTGGACATCACAATAGAAAATAAACCCATTGAGTAATAATACGATATTGTTGAAACCTTCGTCTGTTAAGCCTTTTATTAATTAGCCACTGTGAAAGTGAAGATTAACAACAAGAATCACCCTAAAAACTACCTTTCTCAGGAATAAAGAACATTTGAGATTCTATTTAAATTACTTGACAAATAAGAGAGCATTGAATTTTTGAGTTAGGTTTGGGATCTAATAAATAGATTACCCATTAATATTATCAAAAAAAGGTAAGTAGAAACTTGTAAAGATTGGAAATAATACTTAGATCATCAATTTTTTGATATGTTTTATGTCTTGCAAATCATATTAAAATTATTGGATAATGAATAGTGGAGTGAATAATTTAACAATTATGATGGAGTAGATTTAATTATTTAGAAATTCCTAGGATAACAATTATAATTTTAATAACGTCCTCTTGAAATCAAATGTTGTTTGACTTATTTGGAAATATTGAGTCATCCATAAGTAAAAATGAAAGAATCTCAATTAGCTGAATAAATTAAATCAAAAATTATTGAAGTGATTTAACAATTATGTCAATACATTAAGACCAAAAAAAAATTAGAGTCTGGATAGAGGAAATCTCCGTAATAAAAGGAAATGAATGAAATTGAATCCCGTCTACTCAGGAAATGCTTTTTGTACTTGGATGATGATGGATGCAGATAATACATTAAGAATTCTGAATTAAATTAACAACTTTATGCCTTCTTTGTTGAACATGAAAATTAAGAATTGAAGAGAGAATATAGTTTATAATTATTAAACATGAAGAATACTCCAGAAAGTTAGATACTAATTAAAATACTATTGGAGGATGTTTTAAAGAGTGTCATATCAAATAATAAATAAAGGTGTGATCATTTCTTTGAATTCTGTTGTAATTTAATATATCAAGAGGAAAACCTGAATATTCAAAAATTGAATTTTGAGGAATTGTTAGTCTACATAAGGCACAACTTGGAAAAATTACCATACAATGAAAACACAATCAAGGATTAGGATCAGATTTTGATTGGGCTACTTAAATTGTTAAATGCATTAATTGATAGAATCCAGTCACTCTCAACTCACAAAGGGTTATTCGAATAAATACTTAGTTATTTGTTTGAAAATGAAGGAGAAACAAGATGCAAATGCAAGTCGCAATAATCCAGGACAGCTGGGTTCAATTGTTTCTTTACGTTATTGAAATCTACTTAAAATATGCAAAAATTCTTAGATGTTGTGTCCCCTCTGCATTATACACATACGTGGAGAACAAAGAATTTCAATGATTGGAATATTCAAAGTAAATTTCATGAGAAATCATCAACTGGATATGTTGGTCTCTATAATTTGGGATGCATTTGTTACATGAATTCCTTACTTCAATAGTTATATATGGTACCTGCTTTTCGTGAAAAATTGTTACAAATAGAGGATAAAAGCACAGGAGCATTAGAAGAGAATTTATTGCATTAACTAAAGTGCTTATTTTTGGCTCTTAAGCATTCATAGAAGTAGTATCACAATCCTAAGAAATTCTGTCATGCCTTCAAGGATTTGGATGGACATCCAACAAATATATTTGAATAGATGGATGTTGATGAATTTTGCAATTTGTTGATGGATAGAATAGAGTTAAGCATCAAATCTACCTCTGATGAAGACCTAGTTAAAAGAAATTTTGGAGGAGTGATATCTAATGAAATTATTGGAAAGACATGTCCACACTATTCAGAAAGAGAGGAACCCTTCTTTGCCATTTCATTACCAGTGGCTAATAAGAAGAATCTAGAAGAGTGTCTATAAACATTGGTTCATGGGGATTTACTCGAAGGAGAGAATGCTTATAGTTGTGAATAGTGCAACAAAAAGGTGAGTGCTTTAAAGAGAACTTGTATTAAAAAGTTACCTGATCATCTAATTTTAGTTTTGAAGAGATTCAATTTCGATTTTGACTTGATGGCGAAAGCCAAGATAAATGAAAGAATAGAATTCCCATTTGAATTAGATCTTTTGCCTTATTCATAATAAGGACTGAGACAATAGGAGAATAGGGCTAATCCAGAGAATGGATAAGATAATCCCTCAGAATATTACCAATATAGATTAAGTGGAGTTGTTATTCACATTGGTTCAGCTGATTGTGGACATTATTACTCATTCATTTAAGATAGAGTTGATTTCAACAAATGGTATGAATTTAATGATATAAATGTTTCACCTGCAGATATCAAGGATGTCAAGAATGATGGTTTCGGAGGAGTGGATAGAATGCTGAAAACTAAATATCCAAGTCAGTTTAAGGATAAGTCAAAAAGTGCCTATATGTTATTTTATGAGAGGATTAAACCATTAAATAATAAAGAGGAATTGATGGACATTGAATTAGATTAGAAGACTTCCTAATTCCTAGATGAAATACGAGATGAAAATAGAAAGTTCTAGATTTAGAGATTTATTTTCAGTCCTGAATATTTCATGTTTGTTCAGAATTTGATAAAATTTGAATTGTAACAAAATCAAGTCTCAGAACAGATTGTTAAAACCTTAGTTTTCTTTTATCTGACTTGTGCAGTAAGAGAGAACGACAAAACCTTCATTTCCAATAATATTTAGGATATTTAGGAGTTACTAAGAAGAGCTCCCAGTACTTGTGAGTGGTTATTGAAATGTTTTAATTAATACCAATACATACGAGAGTTCTAGTTTGATTGTTCAAAGAAAATGGTGAGAAAGTATGTGATCTCATTGATAGTGACAGCAATTGAAACTGTATAAAAATAGGAAGGATACAAAGTGTTATATGAATATACAGATGACAAACCTAAATCTTTGGTTGCCTCTTTGATTAATTCTTGGATTCGGATGATTCCAGATCTAAAGAAGAGTCTCAAAAATTCGATTGAATATTATGATCTGTTTTATAGATTCGCCAAATTAAGTTAGTAGAATTCTTAGTATTTGATTTCCAAAAAGATAGTGGGGAAATTCTTGGATCTGTTTATGGATGCATTATAAATTAATGTAAGTAAAATACAAATACCAAATAAAGAAATTGCTAGGAAATTGGATGATCTTAAAGTAATTTAATTTGTAGAAGATCAAAACAATTTCTTGGGATAACAAAACATCCAAAATGTAGATGTGGCCTCTAATTATTATGATGAACTTCTTGAGAAGAAATTCGAAAAGTCTATGAATTCTGGTCCATCTACAAGTAGAGTCTATATGTGGAGACTAATTGCCTTCTTACTCAAAACTGAAGGAAAGAATGCTTTGAGTACTGAAGAATAAAATCTCTTGCAATTTGACAATTCTACGTTGATGGCCATTTTGGAGGAAGGCGATTGTAAATTAGCAATTAGGATGATATCTGACATTCTTTCAGTTCTATCCTAAGAAAATTAAAAACAAACTGAAATGATTATTACAGCGATTATAAAATAAATTATGGATAAAGAATACAAGGAGTACAGAAAATATTTGGTTGTTTTGAAGAGACTATTCATGTTGAAGGATTCTCAATAATAAATCAGAGTAAATATAATAAAATTATTTAATTAGATTCACTAAGGAATGAGTAGATTATTGGAAGTAATGCAAAAGCAATCTCAATATTTCTTTGAAACAGATGTTTGTTAATAATATATTCTCAGGGTATCTATATAAATATCTATTAATATTTTAGATGGTTTTCAGGAACCATGCCGTCTATCAATGGATGGTTAAGAATCAAAGGACATGGCAATGGATTATTGAGACAAACAATACTCAATCAAATCCAAATGAGAAACTAATATCAAATAACTCTAATTCATAAAAATGTAATCACAGATTGCACAACATATATCTACCAATTACAACTTAAGCTTATGCCAAATTGTTGAGTTGGAAGAAATCACAATTCTTGAATCTGGCCAAAGAACCTTTTAAATAAAACGAAGATTTTGATACTGATGATGATCTGACAGAAAAGATTGTCAAAGTAGACGATAAAATAGATTACTAGTATAACTATTATTAATATCCTCTAGTGATTAAAATTAATGGCTTACTGCAACTGTCAGTAGAGTTATGGGCGACTATGTACATCTGACTTTCAGTGGCAAAATGACACCTTAAAATATCGATATCGAATTAGATAATGAAAGACTCGCCCCCTTTAATACATTGTCATCCAACAATAAAATTCCAGGTATTCTATACCATTGATTTCAATAGGATACACGAACAATAATTAAGAAATGGCATTTGAACACTAATCAGATCCCGATAATGATACTGAAGAGGGTAACAATAATTCTATTAATTAAACTGATTCAGATGATGAGTGAAATTAAAACATTAAAGTATTACAATAAGCAGTTAATATAATTAATAATATATATATATAATTTATTAAGATGTCCAAATCCTGGCAAGTTCATCAAAGTTTATAAGAAAGTTTATGTTCACAATTGAACAAAGATGAAATACTTGAAGAGTTTTTACAAGTTTGTAATCACATAGCAAATGAAGATTAAAATAGTATCAAAAGTTTGAATTCAAAATTATAAACTATTAAAAAACACTACGCCTAACAGAAATGCAGAATTGATCATCAATTTAAATACATACAGACATTATTGGAATAAAAAAGGAAAGAATTAATCACTTAATTAAATAATCATGAAATGGAATTAGATAAAACATTCAAAAACTTAAGGGATGAAGTCACCCAAATCTAGTCAGTTGTCTTTAATATCCAGAATGACATATTGAGTAATAGATAAGAAATTTTATCAGAAGTAGATGAAGAAACCTTTTAGAATATCCTCACCCAGTTTGATCAATAAATATAAATGGCTTAAAACTATAAGAAAGAACTCTTGTCAACCAAAATAACATTAATTATAATAGAAGAGTGGACAGCTAGTCATCAAGATGTGATTAAGCATCTCCTTAATTAATCAATAACAATAAAGGATTACTAAAAATAAATCGAACCTCATCATTCAGAAATGAGTGCCTCTACTTGTAGTGATAAGATGTATTCATCGAACAGATCAAGTTAAGAGCTTCCAATTAAACAAACTCCCTTAATAATCAGTTTTGATCAAAAGTACTATCTGCAATCAAAGTAGACTGACATAACAAAATCTGATTCAGATATCCATGACAGTTGTGAATCAGATTTTTTAGAAGAATGGGCAAAACAATGATTTGCTTACTAAAATATCTAATTTTGTTTGTATTATATATAAATCAATTACTAAAAATAATTCTAATTTCTTATAATACATTTAATAATGAAATCTTCTCTACTTCAACTTTTGATAATCATGGATCTATATTGTTTTTAAATCTGAACTTTTATACTTTCTTAATTGTTTTAATTCTCTCCTTTTCGCAACCAAAATGTGGAACTTATTTAAATATATATTAGTCTTTAGTATATTAATAATCATTTCTTTCTTGAACTGGAGTGGAGTGGAAAGGGTAAAATTAAGATTCCTTTGACAATGAATAAAAGACATTTTATATTATATTGATTTAATTCGCAAGAATAAATTAATGTTTTCTTATCCTTTCCAAATATTTATTTAAAATTCTCTTTAATTGGTATAATCAGTTTTTGCATTCAGAAATATACAAATCTATTCAACCATTTTTATAATTGTTATTAAGAACTTCAGTTATACTCAAACATTTCTGATTTAAGAGGACTTAGTTTTTTCGTAATGAATTGATAAGACTTGTTGTTATTACAACTAAATTCTGGTAATTTAATATGATTTTAATAAATATTTAAATAAAATAAAACAAGGCATGCCAAATCACTTATTCAGAACACACCCAAGAACTTATGGAAAAGATTCCAGAGGTAATTCGCATCTTAATTTGTTAGAGTGCAGAGTATGTGGTGCTAGATAAGGTTTGATCAGAAAATATGGTATGAATGTCTGCAGAAGATGTTTTAGAGAAAATTATGAATTGATTGGTTTCCATAAGGTAAATATTTAAACATAATTCAGTACAATTGATCAGCGTTTTGATATATTAATAAAAAAATATGCACATTTATATACTATTCCAATATTTTCTTTATTAATATTAAATAAACAATTCATGTCCTTGATTCTTTAAAATCTTTACTTAGGAGGTGTGGATGTTGCCAAGGATATTAAGTTTATAAAAGAAAAAAACATAAAATACATCCTTATATGTGCTAAAGGAATACAATAATATTACCCTAATAAAGTTTAATATAAGCAACTCAACATTTCAGATAATCCTTGTACATTGATAATCACATATTTGCCAGAATCCTTAGAGTTTATAAATTAAAACATAAGTACATTGTAAATGTAACTTTATAGAAAATGCAGCCATTTTAGTGCATTGTTTAGGAGGTAAATCTAGATCAGTTTCTGTGGTAATCGCCTATGTTATGTTTTCACTGCATGTCTCATATGAATAAGCATTTCAACATGTCAAACAACATCATTTCAAGGCCTAACCAAACGTTGGATTTATTAAGCAATTAAACATTTTTTAAACAGTCTTAGAAATTTATGGAAAGCCAAAACAGAATGATTTCAAAGTCTTAAACTAGATTATGTATGATAATAATATAGAGAGTCAAGTAAAACAAAAGCTTAATTAAATACAGTTTAAAAACAATTATGAAATAGAATAAAATGAAGATGAGGAAGAGGCTATTTAAGAAGATCTAAATGTTTAGTTTATTTAGTAAAAATAAAAATGAATGAAAATTTTGTTATTTCAATCTTTTTTACACTAATTTCTATATTATATAATTAATTCTTTATTAAAATATGATTAAAAACAATTAGATCATCATTATTCAAACTTATAGCTTGATGTTATATAGGCCTTTATTAAATACATCATGAATTTGTTTATAACATGTTGATTAAATAAATATATTTAAGAAATCAGTTTTTTTTCTAAAATTTCCTTATTACAAGTTGAAGAGTTTGGTTATAAAAATGGAAAAATCAATCAAAATTTTATCATTTTGTAGTAGAGCTCAATTACATAAGCACTTTGATTACACAGTTTCATATCAGTACCTATGTTACTTTGTCCAGACACTTTGAGATACTCATTAGATTTATTTAAACAACTAATATAGAAAAGTAATTATCCATTAATTTAAAGTTGTGTATTTGAAGAGTTCTTTTTTGAAATTAAATAATTTTAAGGAAATCTTGAAAAATTGATTAAAAAATTTATAGATAATATTTATTTTTCTGAATTCAAGTCAAATGAAATAATGATTCTTATATTTTTGAAGCAAAATTTTATGCTTTAGAATTATTGACTGGACAAAATAGAATGGCTTGATTGTTATAGAAGTTGTGATTGAGGGCTTTTTAGTACCTAATACAAAATGTAATTCATTGTTAAGATCAATAGTAAATTCAGTTTTATTTTTTACTTTCAGTTTTGGCTTAGATGAATGTGTTCAACTTTTGTGGGTCTAGAAGTGTGATTAAAATGTAATGATTCTTTTTGTATTGAAAAATGAAAGTCTAAGAATCAAATGTAAAATGGTCGTAAAAAAGTAAAGATTAAAATTACTTTTAGCTAATTTAAGAGGACCGTCAAAAATTTAATACCAATCCTATTTTCAAGTAGTAAAACGATAAATAAAATGTCGAGATGGGTCTATTTTTAAATTTTTTCTAAATTGTGATTGGCAACAATATGTAAGGTCCTCAAAAGAATGCATCGCATAAAGTTTAAGCCTCTAGATTCAGTGTACATGATCCTGTATTAATGATAGAGAAGGAAAGCATTTTATTAAAATTAATTTATTATATGAACTTAAAGGTAATTAAAGGGTGTAAAAAGCATTCTTTAATAAGGAGGCGTCCTAATATAATTCAATTTTGGGTATGCTATATGCTTCTTAGGACATAGAATTGAGGATAGAAAATTCTGGCACTCCCAATTTATTAATTCATATAATTTAGGTTGAATCCAGTTGTGGTACCAATTCCTAAAATAACATAAAAAATTTGGAATTGTAGGGAAAGTGATGCATATGTTGTTACAATACAGCTGATACTACAGAAAGTCCAATTGGAAATTGATATAAAAATACTTAAATTTTATCTTCTTGAAAAAAAATAAAAACATAGCAAAATAACTAGACATTATATTTGCTGATTCACCAAGTGATGAATTGAAATGAATTTAGAGAGTTGTATTTGGTTGTGGAAGTAGTGGAAACCCAAAATTGTCATTAATTTATTATTATTAATAATTAAAATTCAATTAATCAATTCAGTTTTTTTGATATCTATAAGGAATAATTATTTAAAAAAGCCTTTAATATTTTCACTAAGTAGGAAAACGATAATTAATCTCGTTATCTGATTTGAAAGCAAAATAAATTCATTTGGAAATTATTTAAAAAATCTTTTTTTAACACATATAAATTACGAGATTGTAATGAATTTCGATGATGCTTCTTTATCTTCACTTCATACTTATAGAGTAAAGACTCGATAACAACTCAAGGGCATATAACATTCCATCTAAAAGTCCAAAAGAAAATACTGCCACATTTCTCCTGAAAGAAAGAATTAATTAATTTCCTTAGTCCTCGATAAAAAGCTGAGAATCAAAGATGTATATATATATAGTAACCCTTCCTTAGGCTGCTATTATTTGTAATTTAAATTACTCCACTGCAAAAACTATACTCTATACTTTGAGACATCGACCACCCAAATCAGCTGGATTCAAATAATTATCGGATAACTGCAAAGCCAGATTAACATTGAAAACTCTCATAAAGGGGAAACTCATGAATGAATATGATTATTATACATATTTGAATTAAAGCTGAAGAACTTTCATATATACACATAATATAAAAAGCTCGGAAATAAATATATTTCATCTCTTGAGAATTCTTCAAAGACTAGGATAATAGTCAAAAATTTTGGCTTATAGATCCATTTCTTGATTAAAAACTGAATATTAAACAAGCTTGTAATTTCCAATTATAACAAAAACTGTTGTCTGATTTCTAGATAATTTCTTTTCCATTTCCTTTTTGTCGGTCTCATTCATTTATAAATAAATTGGTACTAAAAATAACCTCATAAAGATTTAATTATAATAAGTCGGTTTCAATGGACAAAATTATCCTACAACTTATGGTAATAATTAAAATCAACATTGCAGGAGGGAAATCGATAGAATGAAATATTTATAACAATTTAAATGCTATAGTCTTATTGTTCATAGTTTTAAGTCTATTTATTAGTTAATATTATTTTAACAATCAGAATATTCAAAAATTATTTAAAATTCATTGATAATTAGATTATAAAATATAAAATATAATTAATGAGTGCATAACCACAGCAATAAATAATATTTGGTGCTTGCAAAGTTAAGGATGGATTGTACATAGGTGATGAATATGCTGCTAAAGTAATATATTTTAAATTTAATAATGTAGGACATAGAATTTATTGTGGCAAACAAAATTGGCTATATTGTTAATTGTTCTTCGGATTCTATTGAAAATCTCTTAGAAAACATTGGAATCATGTATTTCTCATTTTAATGGCCAGAAGATTAACCAGAAGTAAAAGTTTTTTATTTTAATCAAGATAGTTGTATCAAAAGACTTTGTAAATAAAGTTCATGAGTTTATAGAGGAAAGTGTTACTTTGGGTTAGAGTTGTTTGATAACCTCCTTGCATGGATAGAGCAGAGCTTGCTCCTTGGTTACAATTTATTTAATGAATAAGTATGATTGTTAATTATTAACTTAAGATTCAAATGGTCACTTTATAAAACACTAGAATATTTGAACTCTCGGAGAAGTGATTTAGAAATCAAAACATCCTTTTTCACTGTTCTCAATCAAATTGAGAAATTGCTTAATCCAGAAACTCTCTCTAAAAAATGGGAAATGTTAAATTCATAATTTATTAATTTTTAGACAATCCAACACAACTCCAGATGAAATCATTATCACCAATACATTTTTCAATGCTCAATCATAATAGATAGATTAAATTTATATTTAACCAACAGAGTTCTAAAAAATGAACAATAAGTCCTATATTTCCATTATAGGTTGGACAGAACAACATGTTCAATAAAAACATAATCCTCTTAATTAATTTAAATCAATTCTCAAAGTATTAAATCTCTATATTTAGGGATCCAATGCTGTTTTTACAAAGGATGGAGGAAATAGAAAACTTGCACTTAAATCATTTTCTGTAAATAAAGAAAACATCCCTGAAAGTGTACCTCAAAGGAAAAACACTCCTTCATAGAGGTCTACACAACGAAGCACCAGCAATCCTAAATAATTACAGTAGCCCTTAATTGCCTCTCAGTTCATTAATTAATCTCAACTTCCCCCTCAAAATCTATAGAATCAAACTTCCAATCAGACTTAGAAGATTCCACCAAAAACTATACAAGCACTCCCTCCTTCAGGATAGAATTCAAAAAAGTCCTTAATTATCTAAAAAGAACCTAGTTTACATAAAAAAAGCAGTGGCAATTAAGTGGTATATCCGGTAAAAATCTTAAGACCGAAAATGCCTAATTTTGATAATATTTGATACAATTTTAGTTTATTTAGTTAATGTTACTTCTATGTAAAACTAATTATCACTTAACAAAAACTAAAAATATTTTTAATTTTTTTTATCTCATAATTTACTTTAAAGAAATCATATAAAAAATAATTTATTAATTATTTAATAAATAAATTACAGCTTGCTGAGGTACAAATTAGTTTTCCTTTACATTAAATTCATTTGGAATATGAGGATTTTGAGGGAAAGTATATATAGCATTAATTTATTAATTAAAAGCCACTTAATTCTTATTTATAAACAATAATTTCTTCATAAATTACGTCAAAATGTCCTCTTTAAAAAGTTTTGTACTTTTTTCCTCCTTGCTCTTCCTTGTTTTTGGGTAGACCTGCATAGATCATAGCGGAAATGCTATAGACTGGTGGTTTATTTTGAAGATGCCAACAGATAAAACTTTTAGTGTTAGAGGTAAAATAATTTCAATATTTAAGGAATGGACTATTTGTATTGTGATGCCAATAATAACTGTGGTACTTTTGATTGGCAAACTGATCAATTGGACGATTTGACATCTCCATTATAAAGAACTATAGCTTAAATAGATTTCCATGATGATAATGTAATGAGCGTCCTTTGGAGCGATTAACCTTGGAACAAGAATACTATTTCCGACAGAGCTCATTCAAAGGGTATTTTGAGTGCCAACATCAATGGAGACGCATTTCTTATCTCTCACTCCACACCCACCTTCCCAATGCTTGATGACGCATACGAGTAAAAAATTCAATTCAAAATATATTAGTCAAATTGTATTAGGAATGCCTTCCTCTTCCTAAGTGTACGGTCAACACTATATGTGCTTATCTATTACAACTACCGAAGCCAACAGATTGGCTACTGAATACATCATTGCTGAAACACTTACCAATAGAGCTAACAGTCCTGCTGCCTTTGCAACAGCTTTCCCTCAATTATACTAGCTTAAAACTAACTCAAGAACTAAAACTTATCAAACAGAATCTGGAACTGTTTTATCAGTAATTTATTATAATATTCTTCAGGCAGCCCTACAAGATTCAATCAAAATATCTTCTAAGGGAGGATTCAAACTAACAGCTTATTCCAAAAATGAAAATCTTGTTGAAGACTTCTATGCTGATGTAGTCGCACCTGCTCTAGGAGTAGATTTGATCATGGAAACCTGGGGTAACGGAACCGGTGGTCTCTAAGACCCAGTATGCGATTAAGTCCCTAAATCCTATTCCAATTTAGTCAGACAACATGGAGTATACAATCTTTTAATATCATCAGGCCTTTTCATTTTCATACACCAAGGATCATTCCAAATACGGCTTAACTGCAACCTCAAACAATGTATGCTTTTGTGATTTGAACAGATAAACCACCTAATAAAAGAGAGGAGGTGTGGTTTATTGTTTTTAACACAATAGCTTATGGAGCATCATTAACTAATCATTTATAAGCAGACAATCATGCTGATTTAATTACAAAAATAATTTTTATTAAAACAAACCATATTAATTTATTTTAATATTTTATAAAATGCTCTGCTGTTCAAATGCAAAAAAATAAAAAACATCTCAATCCCAAAATGCAATTAAATTGTAAACTCATCAAATCTAATAAGTAATTTTGAATATTACCCTAGGAAGAATCTCTTAACATAAATGATGAAGCCTGCACATTTCATACTACAATATAAATTCAGCAAATTAACACTATTTAGACCTACAAAATTACTTTAGATCACTAAACTATCAGGTATTGTTGTTATTAATTGAAAATAGTAGGTCAAATAGTCGTACAAATAATGAACACCTTGCCTAAACTGTCATCGTCGAATAAATTAGAAAAACCCCATTTTTTACTTACAAGAAAGGTGGAACCGACATTTCAACCAAATTCTTATCAACTAAGTAAGGGTATACTCTCCTAGTAACAGCTCTTTCAAAATGATCTCTTACTTAAGTTTTCCTATATTTGTGACTTTCATTAATGCGTAATATAACCTATAAAGTCTTAATAAATAATATTATTAGTTTAGTCTTAATAAAATATATTATTATCTTAGCATTATGACGTTGTTGACTCATAATTATTCTAGCAATGTTTAAATTCCTGATTTAAATTCTATACTTTATAACTACATCATGGTAGAAAATTAGATATCCTTACTTTATAATTCAATGAAGACAATCAAATTCCAATTAATAATTGAGATTTAATTAAATTAAAAACTTATTGCCATATTTTTAGTAATAAGTTCTACTTGAATATTTTGTTTTTAATTTATTCTAATTTTGATTAAAACCAATAATTGATAAAAGGCTAATAGAACATAAATTCAAGATTAGGATCAAATCTGAAATAATAATATTAACACCAACTGCTTTTTAAAATATATTTTCTTGCCTTTTTCTTTAATAATATTTGATAAATTGGATTTTTTCTACTATATTTAGAATTTGTGATATATTTGCATAAAAACCTTAAATCAATAGTTTAATGTCTTATAAGATAATCAAATTCCAGATTTTCATAAAAACATCCCGCTTTAACAAAAATAAATATTATAAAAAATGAGAATTTTATTTTATCAATATACATTAATACTTTCAATAAGTGCAGTTATATATAAAATAGATTAAATTACAGCAGTCAAAAGGCTAGTGGTTAATTGGAATTAATAAAGTTTGTTAATAGGAAGCTTTTCAAAATATGTACCTTTCAATAATTTTGAAAGCTTAGGCGAAATTTCTAGAAGTGAAACTAATTCTCAATTAATTTATGCTGGTCTTGATTTAGATAATTAGAATACAAGGCTTCTGCATTTTGTATCATTTGATGAGCAAAATAAATAAATTAAGCATGTAATAAAAATTTAGACATTATCACAATAAATTTAAGAAGAATTTATAGTGGACAATTAAAATTATGAAGGACTATGGATAGCTCAATACTTGTACTTTAAGGGGTAATAATTGATGGTTGGCATTAAATAATAAAATGGATTTCAATAAAAATAAATTTCTTCTGATTAATTTACACAGAATTAGTTTCTTTTAATTCTTGGTGGTAGTTTGAAGGTATATAATAATTTTATTTTAGATCCTAGATACAATTCCAAATTAAACTCTTCTATTAAGCAGTTTTCCAGGAAGCTTGACTTTTTTTTTAGAATAAGATCTTTCAATTTTAGATGATATCAATTTTATCGAGAAATGTTTCCCACAATAAAATGATTAGTTATCTGATTACTTTTCTAATGACGAGGGTATGTACACAGAATTTTAAACTGAAAATGAGTATGTGAATTCATTCTTTTTATAATTTTGGATGAAAATAATACCATCAAAATTATCCTTGAATCACATTTTAAGATTGTCTATAAATAAATCCTCTAATTTTATAGGGTAAATAGGCAGCAATAGTGTTATTATTAATTATGAATATTAGTAAGAGGATTTGTTTTATTATGTTGAATATTATTCATATGAATTCCCAATAGTAAATCCATCTTAAGAGAATCCTTACAAATAGTTTATTTAGGAATCCATTTCATATGAATTTATAACTGATTGGCATTTAATTTAAGTGAAGTACATTGAGAAAAAACTAATGGTTTAATTAGAGAATTTCATATTAAAAGAGTAAAAAATAAAGATCTTTGATAATGTAAATTAATTTACAAATACAAAAATGAAGATTTATTTCGGAGGAAATGAATATGAAATAAGTAACAACAAAATAGAAATTGCATCTGTCATATATGAAAATTGTTTAGACAAAAATCAATAAATATAATATTGCCATTATAGCTGTAAGACTTGTTTTGGACCATTTAGATATTAATGCTTGAGTTGTTCGGATCATTAGAATAGGATATATGATCCTATTAAAAAGAGTTGTAATTGCTAACTATGGTATTATGAAAATTAGGCTGATCATATTTGTATGGGATAAGAATAGAAATAGTACATAGAAACAATAGAATATCTTAAGAACGATCCTAGTTATGATGAAAATGAGTAATTCAGAACATGTGCTTTTGGTTATTTTTTATACAAAGATGAGTGTATTTAATGGTATGAATTAAAAATCATCATAGTCCAGCGGCCTCATAAAAACATTTAATTTCTTGCATTACATGCTTGATAGATCCTGATAATTGGATTTATTATGGTTATTGTGATAGTTAATATCTTGAAACACAAGGAATTGAAAACGCTGTGTTTTATTACTTTAGGTCGAATAAATTTGATCCATAGAGATAATTTATTTTAATAGATAATTAATTATCGTCATGTGGATTTTGTAGTAGTTGCGAAAGTTTGAATGAATATAATTAAGATAGGTGTTTTTTATATCCTTTTAAAAATTTAGATCAACCTTATTACATATCATGTAGCTTTGGATATGATGCTGAAACTTATCAATGCAAGTTTAATCCGGATCCGTATTTTTTTGTGTAATGCGAAGAAAATTGTGGAGCATGTGATTTTACTGGTAGTTGCAAATATTGTATAAATCCAACCGAATATTTCTTTACTTGGGAAAGAAAATGTAGACGATGCAAAGTAAAAAATTGCAAATATTGTTTCTAATATAACAGATATGACCATAGCTAAGTATCAGTGAATTCAGACATAGCTCAAGTTCTAATTTCAAAAAATGAAGAAGATTACATTATGGCATGTGCTCTATGTAATTAAGGTTACGTATTCAATTTTTAGATAAATGAATGCGTATTAAAATAAATAAATTATCCTTGCATTAATGGTTATATAAATGAGGATTTGCAATTTGTTTGCACAAATAATTTAGGAATCTTCAATTAACAAGAAAACAATCTTGTTTCAGAATTTCATGATTGCTTTAAATATTTTCTTAATTGCTTATCTTGTATTTAAGATAGTTTTAAGATGTTGTATTGTATCACTTGCATTGATGGATATTATTTAGATTATCACAATGGTCTTTGTATGCCTTGTGAAGATAAATTCCGAAATTCGAGTAAATGCAGTATTGAAACTTCAACCTATGATTCTTGGAAATATGATTTAGTCAGCTTTTATTTGAATTTTATACCAAATAGTACTCCTATATAGGTGATTGGATTATATTATATAACTAATTATATACTTATAGAATGCAAAGAAGGCTATATTGATGCTTAATCAAATTGTATTCAAAAGATGGAGTCTAATTGTATTGTTTGGAGTCAAAAAGGTGAATGTTCTAAATGTTAAAATTTAGACCAAGAGAATGATGCTTAATCCTTTTTTGATAATAAATGTTAAATATGTCCTTATCCATGTAGATTTTGTCTTCCTATATCTGATTCTAAGATTTATGAAATAAATCCGTATTTTATCATTAATTCGGATTCTAAGGCCTAAACATATAAGTGTTTGCTAAATTTAAATCAAAATGAATCATTTATTCATCAATAATCTGGGTAATAAATGCCAAAGGACACAAACAACAAAAAAATATTACGTACAATACAACAACCAGAATTTCCAAATTCTCCTACATCTAATGCTTAAAACTATATTGATTTAGAATATTTAAAAAGAAGAAAGGTAACTACTTATATCGATAATTATAATGCATTCAGACAAGAAGACCCTATAAACTTAAGATCAGTACTGTTTTTTCTTTTTAATTCTACTGTTTTATACGATGGGTTTAATGAAACCTTTCATGAAAAATAGATTTCCATCTATAATTAAACAACAGTCACTTTATAAAATGTTAAATTTTTCTCTTAAAAAAACCTCGTTATCATTTCTTCTATACTAGGTGTTAGTATTTACATTAATAATATTACTTTACTCAACTAAATAAGAGATAGCCCAATATTAATAATAACAAATTTTACGCACTTACTTTTCTCAAAATTAGAAGCATATGATTTGACTTTCTCAGATGCCTCTCTCCTTAATTTAAACAAAAATGACAATTTAACTAAATTTTATCCTTTAGTAATTCAGGAGATTATTTTAAAAAACTGTGTCTTTAAAAATAGTTCTTTAATATCTCTTTCTTCAAAGTTTTAATCAATTGAATAGATTATAATCAATAAAATAATTCTAGATAATTGTTCCTTTGAGAATTTTGAATTAATTAAACTGGAAGGTCAGTTCATAGTTGTTAATAATTTTGTATTAGAAAACCTAAAAATTGTTAGTTCTAATTTTACAAATAGTTAATTTTTATTAATTCAAAATACTAACTTTAGTTTGCTAGGTGGAATAATTTTACAAGGTTGCAAACTGAGTTAAACTACATTAATATCACTCAACCCATATAGCACATTAAAAAAAATATAATTTCTTAATACTTATTTGGATAATTCAGTTTTCTTATTTTATACTGAAACTATTAAGTTTGGATACATACATAAAATAGATGACATTTATATGGAGGATATCTTAATTTATGGTATGAATCCAATCAAAATTTCTCAGAACTTACATGAATCTTCCTCAATTGAATTGAATAAAATTACATTAAGTTAAATAAAATTTAATTATCCTCTTTAAAATTTCATGCAGGAAAATAGAGCAATTTGTATATTCGATTTATCGAGCAATAACATAGATATATCCCTACTAAGGAATGATTAGATCAATAATTTTTGGATTTTGTGTATTAACAACTCAAACGTAATTAATATAGATAATATTCAAATAAATTCAATTCAAGTATTTTCATCTGATTCAATTGAAAACACTTCAAAATCGAGTCTAAGTCCCTTAAACTCGGGATTACTTTATTTAAAATAAGTGCTAACAGCTACTTTTTCAAACATTATTATAAGATCTTAGAGTCTAATTGATTCATCTATGATTTATATCAATTCAAAGAATGAACAATAAATAAAAACTCAATCACTTTCATTTTCAAATATTGTATTTGAAAATAATATGTTGGTTAAAACCTAAAGCTTTTCAATAACTACTCTACTCTATCTAGAATTTGAAGGTAAATGTATTATATAGATTTCTGATATCACTTTTATTAGAAATTATGTATTACATAAAATTTTCGATTGCTTTACAATATCCCCAAGCCTTATTTGCATAATAGCCTAATCTTTGGCTTAATTAAAAAATGCTATATTTAAAGAAAATGAATATGTGAATTCTTGCTTTTCATCATTATATATCAAATCATCAGAAATTTAAATGGAATTTATTAAGGCGTAAGGTATTAATGTATTTGATTTTGATTTAACAAGATATTTGTCTTCAAATAATAATTTTAACTATGGAGGTTTCTCCTATTTATAAGGTTCCTAAATTACAATTTTCAATTCAAATTTTGAAAATGCATTGGTTTAAGAAACTGCCTATTTTAATGTTTATCTATAAAATGAAGGTAATATGATTATTAATAATACTACAATTAGTAGTATAATAGTTTCAACTACGTTAGATAATAATTATAATGAAGCATTATTTGTGATTGACAGTACGAATTCAAATCTAAATATTGACATCAATAATATGTAATTTTAGAATATTCTAAGTCGATATACATCTGGTATCTTAAAAATTAATCCCTCCAAAAGTAAAAACTAACTTAGGTTAAATAATATTGTTGTAGAAAATGTTTTATCTAAAGAACAATACTTTTTAGATTTGATTTGCACAAATAATGTTGATAATTCAGTAGAGATTTCTGACTTTTCTTTGACCTTAGAAAAAACCTTTTTTAAGAAGTACCATGAATTTGTTTATATTGATGATAATCCCAACTAATTATCTTAAATAGATATTTAAGGAATGATTGTAATTACTAATAGGTATGATTAAACTAATAAATATGTAGCTCAATAATATTGTCAAGGTTGCATTTTAGTGGTTTTGCTCCAATTACAATTTTATGTCTAGAAGATGCTCCAAAAGTTATTATCAATCTTCTAGTTTTTGAATAAATAGAAGTAGCAACACAAAAGCTTAATATTATAAATCACTAATATTCTGGAAACTAATCAAAAATAATCAACATGTACCTTTGTTAATTGGTAATAAAAGACACACATCAAAATCCTATGATTCATGTAGAATCTTTCTTTGAAATCTAATAAAATTTTCCTAAGAAATTAATTCTAAGAGACTTTCTAATTGTTAATAATACATGTTCGACTTGTCCAAGTGGGTTGATTTGCTTCAAATAGATTAAAAACCTTTTTCTTAATAATTTGATATTCTACTATAATCAATGTGGATTATTGTCTTGTTTGGTGCTTAATCATGTGAATCAGAGTGTTATCTTAAAAAAGAGTAGATTTATTAAGAATTCTGGAACTCATGGAGGAGCTATCAATGTATAAGTTAATAAAATAGAGATGACCAATATTTTGTTTATGTAAAATTCTGCTGAAAATGGTGGGGCTCTATATTCATAATCTTCTTTTACGAAATTAGAGACATTAATATCAGATTTATATCTAATTAAAAATACTGCTGATTTTGGAGGAGCTATTTATTTAGAAAATCGCAATTTTAAACAAGAGGAATTGTTGAAAGCTTATTTAATAGAAAATAAAGGGAAAACTTATGTAGACAATATCAAAGAAGACCCATCCCAACTCAAATTATCCATTTTTAACTAAGAATTGGATACCAAATCAATAGCTAATATGGGATAACCTGACTTTGAAAAATATAAACTTAAAACCAATACCATTTACATTCCAAGTGGACAATAAATTAGTAATTATAGTATTCAGGATTTAGAAAAGCAAGTTTTCTAAATCTACAATTTAAATCCAAAATTATATGCTATCAATAACTTAGGAGAAAAATAAATCAATTTATAGGGATATTAATGTGTATTAAAAAAATTAAATGAAGATGGAATATTATATTCAAATCAAGAATAAATAATACCTTTTGATTTGGAGAGCTAATCTTTTGATTTTTCAAATTTAATTATAAGTCTAGATCCTTATTTGAAATCTGAAACCATTTTTGTTTTTGATTGCAATTGCTTTAATGAGTCTTAATATAAGTTTTATTTAAGTGTTAAGTCTTTTCCTTGTTAAATAGGAGAATTTTATTATTTTACTCAATGTATGAAATGTGACGAATCTAAAGGATTTTATTCAGTTGAACCTAGAGCTACTTTTTGTTAAAAAATAGACCCAAATATCATTCAAGCTAATACAGCAAGTGATATCTAGTTATAACCAGGATTTTGGAGGTCTAATTATAGAAGCAAATTTATCAATAAATGCACAAGATAGAAGACCTTATGTCTTGGAGGTTGGAAGCCTGGCGATGAATCTTGTAGTCTAGGTTACATTGGAGCATTATGTGAGGAGTGTGATATATACAACATCAAAGGAGATGGCCAGTATTTTAAAAATAGGAACAGTAAATGTGTTTTTTGCAGTGAATTCGGATTATCTATATTCATATCACTGTTATTTGGATCATTGTATTAATGTTCATTATTTATTTAGAACCATAGGTTCAATGATACTTACTGTAAGCAGTGTAAACACCATTTTTAAAAGCTTTCTTAAATTTAAATTAACCTCTAAACATTATAAGATTTTATTTAATCATAGCTTAGGTAAAAATTAATTATATTTAGACTAATCTGCTGCCTTAATTAAAACAGTTGTCAATTACTTTTAGATTTTAGTCAGAATTAAATCATTTCATTTAGAACTCTATTTTAATATTATCGATGTACTTACTCCTCTAAGTAATCCTATTAGCACATAATCCTATACTTATGAATGCTTTTTAAGTCAACAAACAGAATTATAGATTATATACATTAGTCTCATTATTAACTTGTTGGCACCAATCTTTTTCTATTTTATATTTTTATCTATATACTTAATTTTGATATAGAAAAAGATGCTAAAATTGACACCAACTATTTATGCAACTGCCATATTTTATTTATTTTTTTATGCTCAACCAAACATCATTCTAGAATTAGGAGAATTGATTACTGCGAGAAATATATCTGAAATTTCATACATAAATCGAAATGTCTCTATACTTTACTTTACAAGCACTCATATTTCTTGGGTCTTATTTTTTATAACCCCAATTTTATTGATAACTGGTATCATAATCCCTATGATATTATTCCTCATATTATATAACAAAAGATACAATCTTAATCAAGAAAAAGTCAGGAAAATATGGGGATACATATTTAATGATTATAAGGAATCTTCATTTTATTGGGAAATTTTTAGAGTATCTGAAAGAGAAATTTTATTGTTATCTCTCATCATATTTGAGGAATAAATTGAAATTAAAGTTATTTTAACATTTTTGATATTGTTTTTGTATCACGTTATTGTTTTAAACAAAAAACCTTTTAATATGGAAACATTAAATCGATTTGAATAAAAGTGCATTACATTATCCAGTTTGATTTTTCTGATTTGTGGAATTAAATATCAAGTTTAGATATTATAAATACCATCAATTGATTTCATTTTGCAAACATTACTACTAATTGTATTCATCATATTTTTTTACATTTTAATAAAACAAACAATTTCAACATACTATCAGAAGTATACTGATAGATTAGATGGTATTAGGAAAAGTATATTATAAAGATTCCCAAAAATCTTAAAAATATGCCCTTTTTTGAGAGATTATCTTAAATTAAGAGGCTAAATATAGATCAAAATTAAGTCAAGAGTTAAATTAATTAAGGAATCTTTACTCATGAATAAAGGAGAAAATATAATGTCAAGTTAGCATCAAAATCTACTATCATGTTCCTTGTAAAAAAGCATTTATCCTGAAGAATAACCTTTAAATTTTTCAAATCTTTAGCCATATTAAAAAAAAAATAACGAAAAAGATAAATCACAGTTTGTAAAAGATTTAGTTCCTTTTATTTGATAGTATTAATTAATTTTAACATAAAGCAATTATTATTATAATAATATTAACCACTTATTCTAATTAATCATTTGTTTGTTCTTTAAAATTAGTTTTTAATTGTAAAATTGAATCATTTAATACTCAACCAAGAGTCTTGACCATCAAATATTACTATTTTTCTCATAATAATAAAACCAAGCCAAGTATATATTAGATGTGTTTAATTATAAAATTCATCTATAAAACTAAGTTAAGTCTGGATAATGAAATACTAAAGAAGTATTTATTAATAATAATAAATGATTTCTAATTTAAATTTATTTAAAAATATATTATATTTAAGTAATATCAGAAGAATTTAATTAGAATAACTTTGAGAAATCATGTTTTATCAAACTTTGATCAACAACTATCCAAAAGTAATGTTTTTTTAGTGTTTTTTTCTGGGAGCATTAAAAATATTTCTTTAATTAGTTTTTTTTGGACTTGGCTTATTTCTAGATAATGTTGTTGGGGAAATATTAGTGAGTGTGATTTGTGAAAATGGTTTAATTTCTAATGGTAGAAGCTTAATTTTAGGTTTTTTTCTTTTTTCTTCCAATAATTTAATTGATGGTATCGGTGAACATCTGCTAATAGTATTATTGACAGGAGACAGATTATTTGTAATTGATGTTTGAAAATGCTCTACATGATTTTAGTTCAGATATTTTGGACATGCTATCTTAATATCTTTAATTTTGCTCTATCCTAATTATGATTTATCAACCAAACTTTGAAGAGTTCTAGGATTGTATTTCAAAATATTTTTATATGCTTATTTTGGATTTGAAGTAGTTAATTATTTAATATTAACTATGTTTTCATCGTCTGATTAATCATCTTCTTCGTCATCTTCTTATTGCAAAGTAGGAAGATTAGCAATATTTTATGGAGATTAGTCATCATTCTTCTTATCGTCTTCTTCAAATTTATTGAGTCTGAGATTGATGTTGAAATCATCTTAGGAACCAATTTGCTTGATTAATTTGATTTTGCCATCTTCCACTAATTCTAATCTGAATATAAGTTGTGATTCAAAAGGTGCTGTAATTGGTAAATAGAATGTTTTAAGTCTCTAAGAGAACGACTAAACCTTCGAATTTTTTTTATCAGTAAGGTGTTTTCGAGGGGATAATGAATTGTACCGATGAAAAAAGACAGAAGATCTTGAAATGGGTTTTGAAGGTGTCTGAGCAGCCTCAATCGGATAAAGACTTTAAGGATTAGGTATACTAGCCTAATGATTGTAAAAGACTGTATTGTGATGTCTATTTTGTCGTTTCTTTGGTTGATGTTCTTATTGTTGCATAATATCAATGATAGTTTTTTTTTGAATGAGATGTCTTTTATTCCTCATCTTCATACGCTTTCTTTACTGCAATTTTTCATTTTGCTCCTTGAGTTTTGTTATAATATGTTGGTAGGGTTGAAATTATGGAAGTACTGTTGTTACATAGAGCATTTTTTTATTGTGTAATCCACAGTCCAAACATTCGCAAGAACGCTTCCTATTGAAAATAAGAGAGGATTGGAGAGGAAGTTGTTGGGCTTGGTTTTTGAATGAGCTTCCAGATAATCGATTTCGCATATTTATTAATTATTTTGGTAAAAGTAACTTTTTAATTAAAAATGAATATAAAAGTACATAATAATAATGAATTATTAATTGATTAAATAAATTTCTTTTATAGCAATCAAATTTCTCCGGGCAATTGAGAAGCAGTGATTAAATTTAAAAATATTTATTTAAAATATGAGTTTGGCATTTGATGACTATGGCAGACCTTACATAATTTTGAGAGACCAAGGATAAAAGAAAAGAATGAAGGGTTTGGAGGCTTATAAGAGCAATATTTTGGCTGCAAAGGCCGTAGCTAATACTTTACAGTCTTCACTTGGTCCTAAGGGCATGGATAAGATGCTGGTTTCACCTGATGGAGACGTGGCAGTCACCAATGACGGTGCAACTATAGTTGAAAAAATGGTAACAATAATTGAAGATTTAATTATTTAGGAAATCTAACACCCAACAGCAAAATTGTTAGTTGAGTTGTCATAATCATAAGATGCTGAAATAGGAGATGGAACAACAGGTGTAGTTGTTTTGGCTGGCAAATTATTGGAATAGGCATTAACATTGTTGGATAAGGGAATTCATCCATTGAAAATTAGTGATGGTTTCGATAGAGCTTGTGATGTTGCTATAAGTAAATATTGTTATCTTAAAATTAGAGCATTTGGAGTCAATAGCTGAGGAAATAGACATTTAAGCAAATGATCACGAGGCCTTAATCTAAGCAGCCTGCACTGCTCTAGGTTCAAAGGTTGTATCCAAAAGGAAAAGAGAATTAGGAAAAATAGCTGTGACTGCCGTTTTAGATGTTGCTGATCTCAAGAGAAAAGATGTCAATTTGGACTTAATTAAAATTCAAACAAAGACTGGTGGCAGTGTCGAAGATACCAGATTAATTTCAGGAATCCTTATTGACAAAGATATGAGTCATCCACAAATGTAGAAGGAAGTGACAGATGCTAAGATTTGTTTATTAACATGTCCATTTGAACCCCCTAAACCTAAAACTAAACACAATATCAATATTTCCAATGCTGAAGACTATAAAAAGCTTTACCAGTAAGAACAACAATACTTTATTGACATGGTGAAACTTGTTAAAGATAGTGGTGCTAATATTGCATTGTGCTAATGGGGATTTGATGATGAAGCCAACCATCTATTATTATAAAATGACCTCCCTGCTGTTAGATGGGTATCAGGTACAGATGTTGAATTAATTGCCATGGCAACTGGAGCTAGAATCATTCCAAGATTTTAAGAAATTACACCTGAAAAATTAGGAAAGGCAGGATCTATTAAAGAAGTCTAATTTGGAACTTCAAATGAAAGAATGTTAGTCATTGAAAATTGTCAATGCACTAAAGCTGTTACCATTCTCATAAGAGGAGGCAGTTAAATGATTGTTGATGAAGCTAAAAGATCCATTCATGATGCTATTTGTGTGATCAGAAATTTAATTAAAGATAACAGAATCGTTTATGGTGGTGGATCTGCTGAATTGGCTTGTGCTCTCTAAGTTTTACAATATGCTGATGAAGTATACATTATAATTACAATTTTAGGTCTCTTCAGTTGAATAATATGCAGTAAGATCTTTTGCTGATGCTTTAGAAGGAATTCCAAATTGTTTAGCAGATAATTGCGGTCTTAATCCAATTACTTCTGTAGCTTAGGCTAAGTCTAGGCAATTGACTGAAAAGAACCCTAGAATCGGAATTGATTGCATGGAGTTGGTATTTATTTCAACTTAATTCAAAGGGTACAAGTGATATGAAAGAGCAAAAGATTTACGAAACTTTGAGTTCAAAGAAATAGTAGATTTAATTGGCCACTTAAGTTGTGAAGATGATATTAAAAATAGATGATGTTATTGCTCCAGATGACTATTGAGTATTAATATTAATTTATGTTCAAAAAGTACAAATATGTAATACATCTATCAGATATCTAAAGACATAGAACCTCATCCAATAATTATAATCAATATTTTTTCTTGGATGGTGTTATTTTAGAAAGTACAAGATTATTTTGCATAATGACTTTGTCCATTTCATTTTTCCAATACTAATTATATTGAAACTGTACCATAACTTCTGATTATAATTCCTAATACTATTTATTCCATTCATCTTTAAGCCTTCTCTCTTTATCCTCTTTACGCTGCAATTGTTTCTCCAATTATTATATTTTAGTTTTTAGTGTTGTGTTTTCATATTCCATTGATTTGGATCTTTCCAAATTGTCATCCCACAATTACAACTTTGATTCTAAATCAATTAATTTTTATCTTAACTCCTATTATTTAAATTAATAAATACCTTCTCCTTAACAATAGACTTTTTTTAATTTAACTAGTTCTTCAAACTCTCTATTTCCTCTAAATACAATTCTTCTTTCTTTGCCATATCTTTTAATTTCTTTGAAAGCTCTTAAGTCGCTTTTGGTTCCGATATTCTTGAATGCTGATTCATATTTTCCAATTATTGTAATTGAAGCTCATATTTTAAGTTTAATTCTTTCTCCTTATCTTTAATCATTTCTAAATAATATGACTATTATTATACACTCATAATGCTTTCTCAATTCCTCATGCGAAATATTATATTCCTATTAAAATTGATATAATTTATTCAAAGCATCCCTTGCTATTTCACTCTGACCTTACAATTCTTCTAATAAATTAATTTCTGTTTATTTAAGTTGGTGAATTGTCTCTTCATAGGTTTCTATAAGTTTTTCATAATGCTCTCTAAAATAAATAATTTGAATTATTACTCTTTACTATTGAAATTATCAATATATTATTAATTTGCTTGATCATCTTATAATTATTATCTTAGTTCCGAGATCTATTTTTCATAATCTTTCATTTTTTTGGTGAGCTTATTTTCTTGTGATTTCAGACTTGATTAAGATTTCTTTTAAGTCTAGCTTTTGGGTTTCTCCTTTGGCTTTTATTATTGCTGAACCTTCCCAGATTTATTGTGAATAAGCCCCAAATTTTTATAGATCTCAGATTCTGAATGGGAAATATCGGTTTGCCTTCCTCTTTATTATTTCATAGAAAATGATCAAATTAAATAATTATTTAAAAATATCAATATTAAATCCTCTATTTTGATGATAATCAAATAAGCTCAACTTCAAATGATTATGTCTAGCCATTATACACTAATAATGCTGGAAAGACATCTGATTCATTCTCCTGTTATTAGATATCCCTAATTTAATAGCTTAATTCATTACTTCCTTGCCAATTTTAGTCCAATCAATTTACAAGTGATATTGTTCATAGATTTTTGTGTGGAATTAATTTTGATTGGTTGCATGTAACTATGATGATTCAAAACATTGACATTCATGGAGAGAGGATGGATTCTTTTAGTGTTGGGTAACCAACTGGAAATTGATAAAGTTTGGCATTTTTCATTTTTTAAATCTTATGTATTGAACAATACCATTTAATCCCCGAAAGTCAAAAAATTATCATATTTCAAATATGATTGCATTACTTCTTGAATGTTTTTGGGGTCTTACATGAATTTTGGTTTAGAGAGATCGTAACAAAAGTATAGTAGATTATTTTTATTGGTATCTTAAATCTCCTCCTAATTCACCATTAGAACTTATTTATTATTAATAAAATAATGAAATAATGTATTATGTAACAATCGATCCAAATTATGCTCTAAAATGCAGGTTTATTTAATTGAATAAAAGACTTTATCTAAAATATTTTATTACACAATACTTACTTCCAAGCATGATAAGATCGTTCATTTTACCCTAACCTTTAATGTCATGTTCGATTTCGATTAATCTGGCTGGGCCATCAATTCTTAAGTTAGAATGCTACTTTATTTGGAATTAGGTTTCCTAATTATTTTATGGTGTAAAAATTTATTAAAATTCTCCTTTGTAGAGTGATGAGACATTCTATCTTAAATATAGGAAATATATCTCTTTCTCAAAAAAGATAATCTATTGTAAAACTCCATGAGTATTAATCTAAATTTTTTATCTTATTTTAGTATTTGTTACATCCAACAAATTTAATTCTACCTTGAGTTTGTACAAATGATAAAATAGTACTAATTTGTTGTTTAAAACTGCCATTAAAATAGGTATTTGTTATTATTCTGAGAAATTTGAGAGGCAATTTATATATTTTTAATTTCTCTAATATATTCAATAAATTATACTTATAAAGCAAGTTCTTAAATACGCTCTAAGGTAATGGGTTTTTTTTCTATCATATTTTTATAAAAGTTTTATTATAATAAATGCACTTCATTTGTTGAACTTATAATGTCTTATGTATAATTCCTTCTTTTCATAAAATAAAGTGCTTTGTTCTTAGCCTCATAAACTATTTATCTCTCGTTTTTTAATTCAATTTAACTTAATAGATTGTCATCTTGTTGTATGATATCTTAACTTAAGTTTTCTATTTTTTGAGCTTTACAAATGGGACAAATGCCTTTAATCATTTGTTACTCTGATAGATCTTATTGATTAAATTGGCATCCTTTATCTATATGGAAATAAGGAACTCTTAATTCTTTTAATGTTGCTTGGGAAAAGTTTAATTTAATGTGATAATTCTTATCAAGCATTCTTAGATTTCTAATATTTTTATTTGATAATAGCACAACATAAAATCCTCAAATTCTATTATTAAAATTTAAATATTTTGATATATCTAAATGATAAACATACTTGATTAAATAAATTTCAAATAGTGAACTATATACACAGGATATAGAACAGTATTTATAATCAAATTTTTTTTGCTCTCATTACTCGACTTATCGAAAAAATTTGTGATTGTTCTACAAAAAAAGAATGCCTTGTTGCTAAATATCAAATATTTAATTGATTATTTATTTGCTATTTAAAGATTAAGTGTGTAGAATAGAATAAAATAAAAAAATCATTCAGAAACAGCAATCTTGTATTACTAATTGCTTTATAATCAAGTCTTACAAATTAAGGGTCCCTTCCATTTATACATCATTTTGCAACTTCAAATAAAGATTTCTAAATTTTTTGCTCTTTTTAATGTATTTCCATCTATTAAGCGGGTATTTAAATGCTTCAAATAAATGACAAGTTGTAGATTTAGTTTAATTCATTGTAATGTGGATTAATCTATTAAATGATTATTGTAAATCACACAGTAGGGATGAACTTGTCAACAATGAAAATTTATGTTTTTTCTTAAGTACATTTTTTCTATTAAGACTCTCCTTAAATAATTACTAAGAAGTGTAATTAATGATCCTTATTATGGGATTGAATAGAAAAATTACTACACAGGAGGTAATGATAAGAGATGAAAGCATATAAAGAATGAAACCTAAAATAGTTGCTATAAATATTTTGTTTAATTCTTCTTTGAAAGTTTTAAACATATTCTCAAATTCCATTTGATATTTACTTAATTTGCTCTACCTAATGTTTTTAAATATATTTTTACATAATTAAAATCAATCCTGCCTCTTTTATATTTTTTGTGCTTATAAGTTCTTCTTCTTATTCGGAATAGGTTTTTCTACATAAATAGCCATAATCCTTCCATACAGCAGAATTGCAATTACTTTAGGTTTCTTTGCCTTCTGCCTAATTCAATATTTACTAAAAGTCTTCATAATCCAAACTAGTGATGTTCTAGTCATATATATTTGAATTTTCGGTCACATTCAAAGAACTTAGTAATATTCTACCTTTTGGATTAATTATGGTAAAACTAACTTAATCGTCTGAATAATTAAATTAGCTGAAATTGACATGAGAAGCTATCACTCCATCCAAGGACTTGTTAATGTTTAATAAACTTTTGGTTTAAGCTATCATTAATAATTTCCAAGTCCAATGTATGTGAGGTTCGCTAAAATAAGTGTAATCATTATTATTATGCTAAGCAACTTGTTCTAAATGTTGCACATACCATATCCTCTCTTGAGGATTGTAATCTGGTGATAAAAAGAATCCAGGCCAAACTGTGAAAAAATGGATATCATTCGATGAGGCAGTCATAATATCAAAATCCTAATCTAACATGATCACAGACTAAGTCAAAAATGCACAAAGATCCTTGAGATTGTATAGGATTTAGTTGGATTTTGTTTCTTTATAGATCATATAACAAAAAGAAGCACTGTAAGCATAGTCATCCATTAACGTTAAATCATTAAGGCATGGTATGGGTTATTAAAAAGTGCTTTAATTGATTTACTGAGTCATTTAATACAGAGCGTTTACCTTGACAATCTATTATTGACTTCTAAATAAAGTTTATTTCACACGATGGATATTATGTGACATCATTACGTTTGTCCATTTTCCAAATTACTTTTGAAATACATGTTCTGATGTTTCCATATAAAACTCAGAAATGTAATACATAAAGGAATAAGTTGAAAGGGCAATTAAGCCAATAGTAAAAATGGAGATAACGAATTATATCATGCATATTTGAGTTCTTAAATGCCAATCTTTCCAAAATTATTTGATCATTGTATTAAAAAATTTATAAAAATTTCTTTACAAATAATTATGTTAGATTTGCAAATAATAACTAATTTACTTTACTCAATATTAACAAAGGGTGCATTCAAAATATCCGATTTTTTATAACTTTTAATTTACTATTATGCTAATCTTTAGAAAATTCTGGATGATTTTTATATTTATAATTTATAAATAATCGTAATAAGTAATGCAAACACAAATATTCAATTTTCAAAAAAAGTCCAATCCTCTAATTTATTTTTTGTACTAATCTTGCTAAAAGTAATTTTTCTTGGGCCTTGTGGCTTATGAAAAATGAGAGGTTTAGGAGGTTGTAATTTTTTATTATAACAATCCTGCCAATCAATATCATTGAACCATGGATGATTCTTAATTTCCTTAGCATCCTCCTTACATCCTAAGCGTTTCTTAGGATCTCTAATTAGTAATTTAATTATAATATCCTTTGCTTCTTAACTTAAAAATTTTGGTATTCTTAAAGGAGCTTTCCTAATATTTTCTTTGAGCACTTCCTTCTCAGAATCATAGTAAGGAGGAGCTCCAACGAGTAATTCATAAATTAGTATCCCCAACATGTACCAATCAACTTATCTGCCATGACCCTTTTTCATTAGCATTTCTGGAGCTAAATAGGCTAAAGTCCCACAAAAAGATTGATTCAAAATTTCCTCATCTATGCCTGATTTGGAAAGTCCAAAATCAGTCAATAAAGCGTGGCCATCAGAGTCTAAAACAACATTTTCAGGTTTCAGGTCTCTGAATATAATTCCTTAAGAATGTAATGCTTCAAGAGCCAAAGTAATTTCTGCAGCAAATATCTTAACAACTGCTTCAGGAAATGAGCTCAATAACTCCAGATGAGTTGCTAAATCTCCTCCTGAACATAGGTCCATTACAAGGTATAAATGATCGGAAGTTTAAAAAGCCCAATTTAACTTTACTATAAACGGATGGTTCATCATTTTTAATACATCTTTTTCAATTTAAGCCGACTTCATAATATTAGATGTATTAATATCTTCCTTTTTTAAAATCTTCATAGCATACTATTTTTTTGGCAATTATCCAATTTTTTCAACTAAATAGACTTCACCAAACCCCCCTTCACCTAATTTTTAATAAAATTAGAATGATTGTGGTCCTATCCTATTTTATTCCATTTCTGAAAGGGCACTTAAGTTGTTTCCCTTGATTGGAACTCTATAAAATGAAGCAGCAAGATTAACAATCTTATTCCAGGTAGATCTAGCGTCACTTACAATAATCGAGACTCTTTAATCATTATTAGGTTCTGCAATGTTAACTGATGGTTTCTTAGATCGTTTCTAAGTTAGCTTTAATATTCTTTCAACGTGATCCCTCCTGCTATTCTGCAATATTAAATTTTATTCCTTTATTACTGTTCGAGTATAAGTAAAGTTGTTTAAAGATATTCCATATCTGTTGAAAACCTCAACTATGTTAATATCTGAAGCCAACTCTATAGGAGATAAGTTTTGGTTATTTTTTGATTCATGATTGGCATTTTTCTCTAATAAAATTTAACAAACTTTTTCATTTCCATATTTTGAAGCTATGTGTAAAGGAGTATTTAAGTCTGAGTCTTGCTCATCTAAATTAGCCCCATAATTTATCAACATTTCGCAAATTTCATAGTTATTCTTTATAGACGCTATATGCAATGGAGATTTTTTATCTAAAGATAACTACCTTGGGTTTGCCTCTTTATTTAGTAAGAATTCCACTATCTCTAAATTGTTTTACTAACAAGCAAAGTGCAGTGGAGTCCAATCATCATAATCTCTACATATGTAATCAATATATACTTAATGTTAATATCAATGTAGACATCAGATTATCTAAGTAATTCAAAGACTTTATCCTTGTCATTATGCTGCACATACTAGAGTAATTAATCACTAATCTCCCTACTTTACTTCCAATAATTTTTCCAAGCCACTTCCTTTAAATCGAAAACTGGAACTTCCAAATTTTCCAAATTCCTACAATCAATCTAAAGTCCAGTGTCTTTATTTAAAATCAAGAACTAGCGATTATCTTCACTAATTTTATCCGCTGGCCATGGTATATCTTTTGAGTATGCTTTTTAAAATGCATCATAACATTCTTGTGAAAATCTAATTAGAATTCAATATTACTATTAGATATTTGGAATAGCAAATTCATTCTATTCAACTAAATCGAACTCATCTAATGATTCCGATACTTGATGAAACCTTTTTAATTTTTGCTAGAGTTAATTTCACATCATTACTTCTTTAGACATTATGATAATATATTAAATTTCAAGAGAAATAAAGTTATTTAATTTTAATTTGTTATTCAAATTCGAAACTTATGAATTACCAAATTTATATTTTCATGAATATTTGCTCATAATTAAGGGACAATTGTTGAAAGTGAAAACAATATATAAATAACTAGATGAATTTTGCAATAAAACATATATAATTCAATTTTATTAATCCTATATTTTAGTAGTTAATCCTTTGGCAGTAGAGCGAGCAGCCATCTAATTAAAATTAAATTGATACATTTTATGAAGCCATCATTACAGATTTCTAAGATGGACTTGTAGTCATCCTACCAAGGGCATCTTATTGGGACTTTCTCTTCAAATCCTCAATTTCTCTTTATTTAGATGCTACCTCATCAAACTTTTTATTTAATTATTATTCCATATTGCTTAATTGTCTATTTTTAGTTTCCATATCATCATTCCTAATAATTAAATATCAATTTTTACAATCTCTAAATTTCCCTCTTCTATTTAATGACTAACTCGCTGTTCTAAGTATCTCTTTGCTCAATTTCCTTTAATTAATTCAATGTTCTTTGTTACTCTCTTTTCAAGTTCTCTAATTCTGTGCTCATATTATCATTTTCTTTTTTCTTGCTGACTAACTATTATTGAATGTCTTAGAAATTTGATTTGTATGATGATAATTCATCTTACAAGTGATATATTTCCTTACTATTTGCTTATTATTAAGTTTCCAATTTATTGATTAATTATTCTTGATCCATCGATTTATTTTTATATTGTTCTGCTTCCTTTTTCATTTAATCATAGTCAGACAAAGGAACATTATTTTATTTAAATTACCTTTTCCACTAGTCCATCTCTTAAATCTTAGCCTCTCTATCTTATCTAGTTTCCTCTAATTCATCATTTAGTTCGTTTACATCTTTGGTTAATTTTTAATTTTAAGCATATTGATCTTCAAGTTAATTTTAAAGTTCTGCAATCTATGTTTCACTGTTCATTAATTATTCTTCATTTTGAAGAATAGTTTATTAGTTCTCTTCAATTTATTTATTAAAGCTAACAATTTGTTCCTATTGTTTTCTTATTTATTCAGTAGTTGTAATAGTTAATGATTTTAAATCCTTCTCTAGTTTTTCTCTCTCTACAGACAGTTTCTGAATTTAACATTATTATTAATAATTTTGTTCATCAAGTTCTTAGATTCGAGATCTTTACTATGACAACTTTTCAAAGATAATTTTGATTTATTATTCTAATTCATTTTTCTCATTGACAAATTAAACTCTTTAGCTTTCTAAAATATCATCTCTCTCTCTGACATCACTTGATAATCTATCAACTTCCACTTAATATTCTTTTAATTTTTGTTACAAATCAGACATCTAATTCTTTTATATTCTAAGAGTAGTTTAGTTATAGGTTTTTTCTTTGTTCAATTGAATACTTAAATTTTCAGACATCGTTGATTTTTGTAACAATTCTTATCTTGTTTCTTCTAGTTATTATGATAAGGTATAATTCTACTCTTCAATTCCAGCAATTTTTACCTATAAGGATTTAACATTAGATTCACTCATAAGTTTTTCTTATAACTATTTGAAACTTTAATTTTAATGCTCGTTCTCCATTCTTTCAATTTCTTAAGTCAATTCAGCGATCCTTTATTCATTCAATTATTGCACTTATTGGAATTCTTGTTCTTTTTATCTCAATATTCCTTTGCTCCTTTCCATCATTCTTTATTCAAAATCACCTCTTGTTTATTTGAAATCATCTAATTGAGACTTATATAATTGCAATGCCTACTCAGTCTGAAGCAAGCGTTGTTGGAGGATAATACATTATTCAGATGATTAATTTGTATTAAATGATAAGTCTTTTATTTTTTTGTCCTTTTCAGTCAAGTCTTATTCTTGCTATTGATTTGTATGGGACAACCGTGCAATTTCTTTCTATTAGACTTGGTTAATTGATTTTAATTCTTATAGCTATTTCCAAATATCCTGATTTTGTTATGTTAAGTTTTGAATGGATTACTCATGTTGTTAATACAATTTGGTCGTTTGTTCCTCAGCCTATTGATCTTTGCTTTGAACTATATTGGTAATACTCTCCTCATATTGTTTTTCCAATCTAATGTATTTCTCTTTTGAAATATCTAAATCAGTAGTCACTCTGCTGAGTTCGATTTGAAGTTATTCTATTTTTTTCAAGAGGAGCTATTCTTATAATTCTTTGTCAGCTATAATCTACTTTTCAATGTTGGATTATTTCTGTAGTAATTCGATCTATTGTTTCTACTCACTTATTTTAATTAACAATTCTTAAATTTGTTATTTACAATCTAAAAGTTATTCCTATGTCTATTTTTCCAAATGTTCATTTTCTTTCAATCTCTCGGTCTGCAATCTAGTAAAGCTATCATATTGTTGCTTTTGATCTTGTAATTTTTAATTCATTTCTATTATGTACTTATTCATTAATGACTGTTAGAGCTATTCATATTATTCTCTAAATTTAAACGCAAATGTATTACTTGAGGTTTTCAAGGGAAGATTGATATTATTTATTCTATTGGGTTAACTTCTACTTGTTGAGTTCGTTCTCTTGGAGTTTAAATTATAGATCTCCCTTTAGCAATTCATTCTCTTTCAAAAGTCTAAGATACTCATTGTCTTGTGTTTCCTTCATCTGATTCTGAAGGTGTAGGTTCTTATTTGCCTTTTCTAGTTCCAAGAGGGTCTCATCCAGTTAGGACTACAATTCTACGATTACGATCAGGATTGTTACTTGCGTTTATCTTATCCATTTGCAATAGTTTCTCCTTATACTTTAGATCTTGTAATTTGAGGGTCTATTCAGATTGCATACGAGTTCTTGACAAAGGAGACACAGAAGGTCTATTTGGTGAATGATCCATACGGTTAAAATATTTTGAAAATTATCGTAAAAAATGTATATGGAAAATTGATATAAGTCTTATACACAATTACTTAATAAGTGGAATTAGACATCATCATAAGTAGATATTAATTAATCTAATTTTAGATAATAACTCAATTATTGGTTAGGAATATCCAAATATCCACGAGCATTTTACTCGAGATTTGTCAATTTATTTTAATAATAATAAGCTTTTCACTTATGTAATTATAATCAATATAGAATAAAATCGAATGGGGCCTATCACATCGAATTCAACAACTTCTATTCAAGTAATTTGATTGTCTCGATCTATAAATAATTTATTGATATAAATACATATTATTTAATTTATTGCTCTTGACTTTAAATTATTTTACTAGTTTGTTCTTCTACTAAGAGTCTATTTTTTTTCTCTTCGGCCAACTATTTCTGCAATTAGGCATCAACATGGATGGAAGGGTGATAATAATTAGAGGAGGAGTTTAGTTCTGAGGATAAGATTTTGATTAGGTTATCGCAATTATCGTTCAGTTGATTTTGCCATTGTTGGAGAAGGCCAGAGTTTATTTATGTTAATTTTTTATGGGTCATTTGTTCTCCAATGAATCTTAGATTTTTGAGAATTTTGTTGATTTAATCATCTCTAGGACTTCTCAATGTAATACTCACATCTCCAAGATCATCACTAGTGTCTGGATTCTTTTATTTGGCTTACTGAATATTTTGAGAAACATTGTTGCTTTCTAATTTAGACAATTAGGAGAGAGTATTAAAATGATATTTGGTTTTAAATGGAGTTGCTTTATTAGGAGAGTTTGGAGTTTCTGCTCTAAATGTTTGGAATTCACAGGTTGTTTTAGATATCTTGTGTTGTTGAAATTTCTATTTTGCTTTTGTTGAAAGCAGTTAAGAAATGATGGAGCTCTGTTTAGAGAACATTCCAATGGACACTTTCTGATTGTAGATACAGCCAGATTTGGATGTTTTGCTTGAGGTTTTGCTGCTTAACATATTAATATTTATATTTTGTTGTTTTAATTGTTGTAAAATGTCATAAGTATTTGTTGATTTCTACATTCTCCCATTTTGAACATGGATAAATATGTTTGATTTTTTCATATCTGAATTTCTCAATGATTTTGCATATGGTGGAATTCTCAACCTCTACTTCGTATTCCTATCCTTTTGCTTAAACCTAATTAAATCCAATTTAAGCTTAAAAGTAATACCTTTCTGCGATCAAATGAAAAGATTAGAGTACCAGATCTGTTCTTGACTTTATGGGCAATTAGATCATAAAAGCTGAGTTTATGAGGCAATATCATTCCATTGGCAACTATGATCAAATCTTCTGGACTAAACTCAGTTAGCTAATATTCCATAATGACAACACACATACAAAGCCAAAATCTCTAATGATCTCTCTTCTAGCCATTTCTAGGAATTCCAAGATCGTCATCTTCTTTTTGATTCTCAAAGATTTGGAACCTGTTGAAGCATCCCAGTATTGAAATTGAATATCAATGAGAGAATCCTTTTACGATTCGACTTCCTTCTGGTATTACTCTAAACATAAGGTATCCAATACATACCTGCCAATTGTCTGGTCATCTCTTCGATTTTTCGTTCTCTGTTCATATCTGGTAAATAAGTGGTATCTACGTGTTCGTTTTTCCCATAACTCTTCTAGAGACTACCCTCATCATCTAAATCAAAGGACAATAATGTAGTCTTCTTCTGATATTCTTCTTTTCGCTTTTATTTGAGTTCCAATTTTCTTTTCGTTTCCTCCTCCTGTTTTTGTTTCATGTCCTACATCACAAGATTATCAATATTCTCCCTCTTTCTCTTGAATTCCTCACGAGTAACCAGACCAACTGTTTTTTGTTTAAATTCATCTTCCAAAAAGTCTTTATTTGATTAACCAAAACGCTCCTAATCACAGAGATTTCAATTCTCCTTACTTTCATGTTGGTTGGGGCTCTCTTCAACGACATCATTTCTTAGTCCTTTTTCAACTTCTCAATTTCATTAATGTCAATGTCTTTATACATTTAATATTTATATATAAATCAGTGATTAATACAATGTTTAGTAGGCAACCCCATAGATAATAATTGAATACATTATTAACATTTAGATTTGCCTCCCTTATTCTCCTTTTGCAAAGTGTTTTTTACTACTCTAACGGGTGAACCTTTCTTCTTCTTAGTGCCCAATTACTATCTCACTTCAGCCTTTATCTGATGAATGTTGACTCTAGTTAATGGTTATGAAATTACATTTCAAGTGCCTTATGACTAGGCTTCAATTTGGCATTCTTCTCAATTTCCTTGGTCTTTTATTCAAATCGTATTCTTGCCTTTACTTCATTCAGATCCTCTTGAGTGAACAATTGCGATTGCACTTTGATATTCTCCGTTTGCTGTTTGTTATCTTCTATTTATGAAAATCTTCTTGTCATTAGTGATCGTTTACTAGACTATGTGTATCGAGCCCAACGATCAATGGTCTTGCATTCTTCCATGCTGTTATCCTATGGTTATTGCTTCTACAGTAGTTCATCAAAATCATTGAGAATAGCATTCAAGGAGAGCATACTTTGTTTCTCCGTTATAATTTTCTTATTCATTAATTAAATGCACAATAATACACAAGCTCAAATAGTAACCACAGCACAGAATGCTCGTTTATTAGAATTGGTGTAGAATAACAGAAAACTGGTTCATGAAGGATAAATCTAAATTTGTTATATGCCTGATGCTCGAATCTATTTTGTGATGATCAACACCTATTGTCAAACAATCTTTCCTAGTACTCCTTGGGTTATACTTAAGTCTGATAAAGGGTATTCCCTTCTGTACCCAAATGCCACTGCTGGTATTGATTTCAGTACTATTTAGGATTGAATGGTATTTTCATCCAAAAAGGACAAGATGGGGATTTCTTTTTAAATACACTCCAACAATTAGTACAAATAATTCCGTTTGAAAATGCCATCCAAATACCTTAATTCAAACAAAGCATTCAGCTTCATTGCAAAGATATTGATATCAACCCATTGGAGAATAGTACTGTGGCTGTGGGCTATATAAAGGCTGGAGGAGAGTAAGATTTGTACCTGATTTATTCTTAAGGGCTTTGAAAGAAGGTTTCAATTGGTTAGGGGATAAGATAGCCAAAGGAGTGGCAGCAGGAGGAGAATATATCAATTCTAAAGTTGAGAAAAAGGAAGATGTTGAAGTCAAACCAGAAACAAAAATTAAAGTGGAGATAGCTAAATCTAAGTTCTCAGAGACAGTTGATGTTACTGGGGCATATCTGAAATAGTTATTCACTCCAGTTGTTTAAAAAGGGTCAGAAATTAAGCAGGATATTAACAAATAGATTGATACATCGGATAGTTAAGGTAAGCAATAGTCCTATCAATATTTAAGGATTGAAGGAGGGTCGAGAAATATTTGTGGCTAGTTGGGATGCTATGGGAACTGCTTTGACTGGTCTAGGCTCTGCATTGTCAAAGATTGGTGATTAGATTGGAACAAACACTAGAGTTATAGTTGAAAAGAAGTATGGATAAGATGTCTCGGAAACATATTTGGGTCCGAAACAATAATAATAATAATAATAATGATTTGCACAATAAATTTATTACTTTCATTCTTCTGCTGCTGCCTATTTGGCTTTCCACTCCTTCTCTTATTGTAAGGCATAATCAATAGTTCTCTAATTTACTTATTAACATCATTACCTTCTTATTGTTGAATTAGTAAACCCAAAGCCATGGATAATAACAAAGGCCAAAAATCACAAAGGAATCTAGATCTTTAATTGGATTATTTACTTGCAAAAATGTAAACCTACCAGGCCCAAGGATTGTCAGCCACATTTCTACCTAGAAATCTCCATAATGCCTTCACTTTTGGATCACTATTCAAACGAGACACCACCTAAGGTTTTCTTACTGCTATAATTCTCATTATATACCGAATGATGGCTTCACTGTTTATTAGTAGGGTATAGTCTTGAACCATTGAGGAGTGTAATCCTTAACATTGTTGTAGATGAGACGACCGTACACCATATCTAATTAATATTAATTTAATTTATATGATTGACATCCAAATAATCAAAGAAGGCATCGGAGACACTCCTAGGTTGCATGAGGAAGTTTACTGTAATTTACACATCCCTAAATCTTAGTCTTTTTTATTGCTCATAATCATAAAGGAGAATTACTCACCAACTCACAACACACTGCTACTAAAACCATCATTGGAAGAGGATGGTTGTAACCTGAAGTTGAAGAAGCTCTTAGTAAAATGAAGTAAGGGGAACGCAGTCTCATTAAGATTTATCATTCACCTGCTACCAAAGTAATTCTATTGTTATTTAAGGAATTTTATGATCAATATGAAATCGAGATTATAAGAATAGGCAGAAAGAAGAATAACCCATGGCATCTAGAAGGAGAAGAAGTCTATGATAGAGCCTTAGAATTAAAAGGATTAGGAAATGCTGATATCAAATAATAAAAATATCTAGAAGCCCAAAATAAATATTTAGAATCATTAAATTTAATAAAAACAGAGTATTGCGATAGAGAATTAGAATTATCAGGATAATTGAGATCTAATCTTTCCCTTACTCATTTGAAAAATAAATAATTCGAATTATGCATCAAATAGGCTTCTACGGTTTTATAAGCATAACCAGAAAATGTTAAATTGCTCCACAGAAGAGCTGTGGCCTCAATTTAAGTAGATGAGTTTGATAGGGCTAAGTAATTCATATTAAAATTCTAGATCTGACTTGAAATTGGCCAATCAATTAGATCCTTAAAATGAGGAAGTGATCAAAGAATTACAGAGTATAGGTGAAAAGGAGAAGTAGATTAAGAAGAAATAGTAGGAGAGAGCAAAGAAAATGCTTTTTGGAGAATGAATCATTAATAATAATATGTTGATATTAATACTTTTTACAATATTGCTATAATCATAGTGATTTTGGATAAACTTAATGTAGTTCATTTATATTGACTCTAAAAGTATTCAATTATTATGATCATCTAATTTAAGTGGCTTTTTTTATTAAACAATTAAATCCATCTAGAATATTAGTAGAATTAAAGAATAAAATGTATAATATGAGTTATTATTATTACCTAATTAAATAATAAATTTTATATTCTATTAATTATTAGCTTAGCTTAGATATTTATGTCAAAATGAATAAAATATACATGTTAGATAAAATCATTATTTTGCAAATAGTTATCTTAGAATAATAAATATACAATGGAATGATCCAATCTCAATTGTCCTTCAAAATTTTTGTTGATGTACTTAAAACTTTGGTTTTATCTGACAATTAATTGGCGCAATTTCTAGAATTAATGTATTGAATTATTTTAATTACACAAATAAATGAATAATCAAGCATCTGATCAAAAAATTATCGAAATTCGGACTCCAGTTTTATCAGACTAAGAGGAAGACAACTAGAATAACAAACCATAATAGCATCCTTTGTAAATAATTTATGTTATAAGAATAGATAATTTTTATACATCTCTCCTAATTTGTTTGTTAAATTATGGCCTGAAATTAAGAAGTAGCTTGCGTTATTAAAGACAACTTAAAATAATTTGACACCGTTTAATGTGTAATAGAGCTTGGAAGAAATTTATTGTTTGCATTTCCCAAATGTACAAATTTTAATTAAGTTAGCCTTAACAAATCAAATCAAAAATCAATTTCAGAAACTTTTATTTGGCTTTGGATGGTTTTCCATAAAAAAAAGAATTCTTAGCTAAAGTCCCATAGATAGCTGATTTGGCTCTAAAAATGGATTCAGAATTTACAGATTATTTAAGCATGCTCTAAGAAAGAGTGGAATTAAAAAGAATACAAGTGGCAATTTTATTGGCAAATATGTTTTTATGTGTTATGCACTTATAACCTGATTTTAAATTATTGCCTCCAGTTTTCATAATGGGAAAATTATTCAACAGATAAAATGAGGATAATGCACAAAATAATATTAAGATCTAGAAGATAAGATGTCTATTATATTACTTCCTTCATGTATTTTCACCTGAATTCAAGCCCTAAGACAGAATTACCTTTACAAGAAAAAAGCAAAATTTAACAATACATAGTAATCCCTTATGCGAATTTATATATTGCGAATATGGCTAAATGGAGAATGTGTCAGATTGTTATATAGTTGACTTTGCAAATAAGAGAATTGGAGGAGGAGTACTTAATCTGGGGTGTGTGCAAGAGGAAATATTGTTTTTGACTCATCCAGAAGCTCTGGCATCATTACTAATAACCACAGAGATCAAACCAGACGAATCGATTATTATTGAAAATGTCAACAGACTTATAATGTATGATGGGTATAGAGATAAATTTGAATGCAAAGGAACTGTTAAGTAAATCCGAAGTGTCAATTTAATAGTAAGAAATTTAATCACATTTTATATAGTGTATAGATGCAGGAGAATACTCTGGCAGTTACCATTATCAATACAAGGATTACAAGAGGGAATTGATCAAATCTTATAGTGGATTCTATGGAATTTCTCGTATATGCACAGGCAAATGGGGTTGTGGAGCATTTGGAGGTGAATGGCAATTAAAAGCTTTGATTTAATGGGTTGCTGCATCTTTAGGAGGATGCCAATAATTAGTGTTCGTCAATGATGAGCCTTATCCATATAATTAAGCATTCAATTTACTTAAAGTTCTAAATTCAAATTAATTGTGGGAATAAATATAAAAATATTGTTAAAAAAAGTCCAAGGAAGAAATGAGTAAAATTAATGCTATTGATTTTATATTATCTTAAAAATAATTTTGAGCTTAAAGTTATATATATCTAATTACTAAATGGGATAAATTAATGCGTCATTCAAAATCAAACCGTACGTGTATAAAAATTGGATGCATTTAGCTGTTGATTTTCAATTAATTAATGAAATTTGTCTTCATCCTAATCAGCTTGAGCATTCAAATACATGCCATAAGTCTCCAATTGAATTAAGTTGGTGGTTGTACTTGTGAGATGTCCTCAGTTTAAACAGAATGCATACCTACAACTTGTGATTGGGATGCTACAACTTCAAAATGCACTCGCAAAACTTGTGATAAATTTACAGTTTAAATGTGTGATCAATTACAAGACTATCTAAAATGTGCTTGGAAGGATAGTTCATGTTAGACCTTTACAAAATGCTCAGATTATGCATATGCTGATGGATTCAAATGTTTCAGAGTAGGTCCTTGTTAAGCTGTTTTTAAGAAGAATACAGCTGGACTTTATCCATGCACAGATAAAACTAATGATTCAATGCACAGTATTGACATATGTGCTGGAATCGATAAAGAAGGTTGTGTAGAAACAGTATAAAATGATGGAAAAGTTTGCTATTGGAATCCAAGTTCATCAACTTGTGAAGCTTGGAGCAGTAGTGCCTGTAGTAATTTTGATAATACCAGCCAAACTGCATGTCCAAAGTTTTCTTGTGATTACAATGCTACAACAGGCAAATGTACAACAAGGACTTGTGATACTATTGCTGTTGAAACTGATTGTACTATGGTTTGGGATATCACACAATAAGTAGCTACTTAATGCAAATGGGTTAACTCAAAATGCACGGAATTTGATTATGGAACTTTGACATAGCCTACATGTTTGATGGGATCAAGTTTATCATACAAGTGGAATTCAACCACATCTAAGTGTGAAGTGTGTGTGTAACCAAAAAGTGATGACAATACAGATGATACATCATATTCCTAGTTGGTTTAAGCTGTGTTTGCCATATTGATATTTATAATGATATGAAATTATTAGAATATTGAAAATTCTGTTTGTCTTAAATTTTATTATATTTTATTTTTGTTAATAAATATGAATTTTTATTTTAACTGTTATAAATAAGAGTAAATAAATATTTAATCATTTTAACTTTAATTTATTCAAACTTCCATTCTTCATCATCTCATAAATCTAATTCTTTAATGGCTGTTGAGTTTAAACCAATTTATTATAACTTAATATTATGCCAGTTAATAAGGTCACTGAATCTTATAGAGCTAAAACAGAGGCTTTGCATTAAAACTATCCCATTTGAAACTCTGAACACTATGATAAGAATTTTTCATATAATGATTGATCTGCATTATAATCATCATTTTTTAAATCATTTTCTTTTAATTTGCTAATTCTTTTAGCCACTTCAATGATATCTGTAATAATTTAGTTTTACGATTCAAATTTGCTTTTAAATAATATACCAAATATTCTTCTCATTTCTTTTGGGCTATTTATTAAATTATATTCAAATTTATTCGTCATCAAAGATCTTATAATTTCAAACATATTGGGTATATTTGGAAACACATTCCTCAATTTTTCTTAAACTATCCTAAGTGATTCTTGTCTAGCTACATCAATTGATCTATTCTCATTAACCATTCCTTCAGAAAACATTGAAACCATAATGTAAGTAAATGTATTAGAATATTCTCTCAAATAAGCAGGATTTGAATTCACATTCTCCAACAGGTTCTTACAATTATCGAAATCAGAGTGCTTAGCAATAGTGTCCTTAAGATGATCAATTGCCTCTTTGTCGAAATCTTGCATTTGCAACACTTATGCATATTTTAAGTGGTATTTCTCAATATTCTCATCCAAATGAATTGCTTTCGAGAAGTAAATAATGGATTGATCAAAGTTTTGCTTCATATATAACAATTGTCCAAGCTCAAAAAATAATTCAGGATCTTTGTCATTAATCTTAGTTGCTTATTACAAATCTGTAATGGCTTCATCAAATTCTTAAATCAATGTTCTGATTTTAGCTAATAATATGGTTATGTATATTTACATCTTTAAATATAGTACTATGCATTGTCACCTTGTAACGATATGGCTTAATCGTACATTAGTTTTGCTTCCTTATAATTTTATTATTTGCTTAATAGCTCTGCCTTTTCTGTATAATAAATAGGATTATTAGGTTTCATCTTAATCAATCGATCATACATATGAGTGGCAGGCTAAAAATTACCATTATCTCGATAGGCATTAGCGATTTTTAATATTAAATCTTCATTTTTTGGCTTTAGTTGCATGGCAGAATCAAAATTTGTTTTAGCAGAAAAGAATTATTATCCTAGTAAATGGCAATAACCTATTGTATTATTTATAATAAGTACCTTTTTCATAAAACAAATCAGATTTTTCTGAAGCATCTTTTAACTATTTCATAATTATATCATAGCACAAAACTGCTTAATCAAAATCTTTAATTTAAGTTGAACAAAAAGCTATTTCTTAATATATTTTAATACCTTTATTTTTAAGGGCAATAATATTCTTAGAATCAAAACTGAGAGTTTTGTTAAAATCTTCAATTGCCTTTGAATACTACTTTTGATTCATCAAGGCTAACCCTCTATAATAATGAATTGATTGATCTCCTAATCCTAATTCAATGATCTTATCACAACAATCGCTCAGTTAGTAATAAAGCTATAAAGTTGAACTGATCTTTGCCATAATCTTTAATGTTCTAATATCCAAAGGATTTTCATGGATAATCTAATTAAAATATGTCATAGCTTTGTGTAATTGGTTGCTATGATAAAGACACATACCAATCCCATAGAGAGAATCAATATTTTATGGATCATACTCTAGAACTTCTTGACAAAATTACATTGATTTGTCAAATTGCTTCAATCCATAATAAGCTTAACCTAAAGTTATAACAATTGTTAATTACTTTTACAATTTAGGATAACTGACTTAACTTTAGTGATTTTTTGATCTCCAGCGTTCTCCAAAAATTCAAAAAGTTATTCATACTTCTTTTGTCGTAAATATACATTAGTAATAGCACTTATAGCATCTGTATACTTAGGATCTGCTTTTAAAGCTTCTTCATAATAGTGTAGGCCTTAGTCTAATTTTTGTTGTTTTATGAGTAGATGACCTATGATTACATTAACCAGTTACCATAGTTGAGTAGAGCTACTTTATCTCGCCCTTTAATTTTTAAAGCATTTTAGAAATATGGATCCGCAATTTCAAAATTATTTAACATTAAATTGATAAAGCCCATTCCAAAATTTCCTTCAAATGATTTCTCATTATAATCAATAAGTTTCTGAAATATGCTCATAGCTTCATCATACTTTTTCTCTAAAGTATAAATGTTTCCTATTTTATTATAGGATATAAGCATACCTATCTCTGCAAGAGCATGGGTGTGTTTTGTATCTATGTCGGTTGCAGCTTGGCAATAAATCAAGGCATTTTTTAAATCGTTGAGTCCAAGATACGCTAAACCTACATACTTAATAAAATTATATACCTTTTAAGTACTAAGCGTCTGCCAAATTAGGTTGTATTTCTATTAATTTGTCCAATGTCTCAAGTGCTTCATTATATTATTGTTTCTTTAAGAGTCCAAAGGCTATTTTATAAGGGGGAATGTACCTTTGCTTAATTAGGAGTTATTTTTAAAGGTAAACATTTGTGGAGAACCTTCAGCTTTTCCAATTGCTAAGAAAATCAATAAACCAAAATACATGTTAACGATGATTAATGTTGTTCTGTCTAATTTATTTCATCTTATTTCTCTTTTGTAGCCCCACTTCCCATTTTATAATTATTAATAAGTAATTAACATCATTATGAAATCAAACTTTATAGCGTTAAAATTTGGAAAAAAACGCAAAGAATAATATAAATTAATATGATGATTAAGAAAGCTTCAATTCAAAATATACAGAAGCAATAATGTTGTTAGGATAAGTTAAATTATTTTTAAAAATATCCATAATTTATTAAGTACTAATGTCATAATATAATGATATCAAGCAATCAAGAGGATGTATTAAATTACAATAAGTACTTTATAATGCTCTCTCTTACATATTCAATATTTCCAATACTAACGTCATCGTGTGATTCATATAAAAGAGGCCAACTATGTATTTTATATAATATTCTTAATAAATGGTACTATTTTATGAATAATAAATAAATAAAGTTTTTCTTAAATATTGATTGTCAGTTAGATTAACCCTCAAATATTATCAGAAGATGAATTAAAATGAAATTTTATAGTAGCCATCTGAAATCCAAAACTATTTTATAACGATCACTCTATTTTAGTAGTTTCTTAATTGTCGATTGTTGTAAGAACAAATAAACTGAAATGTAATTAGAAATGTCATTAAATGCTGATTCTGATTATCCAAAATTCCACTTATTATACATCTTAATTATATTCATTGTTTCTAAATTATTTGTTGTTAATAAATTGAATAACAACTAATAATAATGTTTACTATATGGTTGTATTATATTCAATACAATTTATTAATATTTTTTACGACATTTCACTTAAATACATTCTAAGAAACACATTTTTTTGAACATATTCTTTTACCTCTAATTAAATTGAATAATGGAAGTTGGATTAATACAATAATAGATTAGAGTAATTATGTTAAAAAAATTATATTGCTAAAGGAGAGGAGCATCTAATATTGAGGAATTAGAAGAATATATTAGAATAAATACAATTTATAATTAATATGTCAAAAAATAATAAATTAATAGATGTGGCTAAATATTTAAGAAGGTTCTTTTACAGAGTTCAGAATTTCGTAGAATATAGAATGTTAGTGAATTAGAAGCATATCTTATTTGTTGGAGGGAATCAAAATCCATTAACACCAATGCTATATTAGTAATTTTATCAAAATTGGCAAATTGGGCATTTGGATTTATAATCTGAATTGCCCATCCAACCTAATTTCTTGCTTAATTAGGATGAAGGATTACAGAAATTGGTTGAAGAAGCAAAAAAACGTAGTAATCACTATGATGCAATTATAATATTGGAAGACAATAATCAAATAAAACAGGGAGATGATTTTGAGACATACAATGTGTATAAAAGTGAAGTGACCAGAGCTTTAATAGCGTCTCATTTAGCGACAAAAATACTTGCCTCGAATGGGATGCTCTGTTTTACTGTAGATTCCAAAAGTTATTTTGAATCAAAATTACCATCACAGATGCCAACTGCTAAGGTGATGAAGGATTGTCAAATTGCACATTTATGCACTAATTTAGGAGAGCGAGATGATTTAGAAACTGACACACTTGTTGTTGGAGCATTGATTGATGAGGATAAACTTCATGATATTGTTAAGTACTTGAAATTGTGGGCTGATGGAATAAAGAGACCAGCCAGTGGAACATTTGCCCATTTCAAATACAGCACACACTCTACGCCTATTGTTTATCCTGAGTTATTGTGATCATAAAATATATATCATAAATATATATGGTAATCGAATAGAAAGAACAGAGATGCCCTTGTAGCTCAGTTGGTTAGAGCGCGAGTCTCATAATCTCGAGGTCGTGGGATCGACCCCCACCAAAGGCATATATTTTTTATTATTAAGAAACACCGAAGGTAAGAGTGCTCATTTTTAAATTATTTATATATTAATAATAATAAATGCAAAAGGTTTTAAGATTTCACTTTGGTGTCTTGTCTAGACCTAAATTGCACATTTTTGATAAGGGTGCCAAACACACTCCATCAGGAATCAGAGCAACCATACATGGAGGTACTAGTTTCTCAGGAATATACATGGGTGGCATGCTTGGCAATATTGGTTCTGAATTGATATACCCTCATAATCATCAGTAAGAATTCAAATGGATCAATTTAGATACAATTATGAAGATCATGTTAGAGAATTAAAAACTACATCAGGACCAGGACAAAATTGGCTTTTACATGATATGAATTATGATAACAAAGAAATGATAGAGTGGACTATGAAAAACTCAAATGTGGTTGTAAATTTGCTTGGTCCAAGAAAACATTTGAAAAACAGAAAGGATTTCGAGTGGATTAATATCACAGTGCCAAAAAGAATAGCTGAAGCATGCGCTAAAAATCCAGGAGTGATCAGATTAATTCATTTTTCTGCTTGTGGAGCAAATCCTCATGCAGAATCCCTAGATCTCTAAACCAAGTATATTGGTGAATAGGAAGTAATAAGCCTTGCAATATGTAGGTCCTTAATGCTTTCCCAAATGCCACAATCTTTAGACCAAGTGTTATGGTTGGAGACAATGATGACTTTGCTTATCACTGGCAAGTGTAGAAGAGATACTTCCACAACTTTAACATTGTTCCAGACAATTGCCAAGCCAAAAGATAACCTGTACACTAATATTTTAGATATTTAGATCTTTGTCTAAGATGTAGCTTAAGCCATGTTGAATGCTTTGAAGATGCCAGAAACAATAGGTTAGACATACGAATTGGGAGGACCTCATGTGTATACATTGTTAGAATGTTATGAGATGTTCCACAACATCGTGTAAAGACCTCCTAAATTGGCTCATATTGATAAATAATTATTATTGAAAATCGGTATGGCAGTATATATATTTGTAGCCTAATATATTCCCAATTGGAAGTATTTCAATATTGATTATATATTGAAACATGGTGATGACATGATAGTCCAACAAGGATCCAAAACTATTGATGATTTGTGTGTCAGACCTTTATCACTAACTTAAGCTCTTCAAAATATCTTTTGGGACATCCAAGCTCGTTACGGAGGCTCAAGTGAATTGTATGAAAGATGAATTCATATCTAATAAGTTATCGAAAATAATCATAATAATATCATTAATATTTCTCTAGTATTTTAATGAGAGCTAATTCTGTCACTGGTTTTGTGAGATAATCAACCATGCCAGCTTCTAGGCATTTCTGCTTCTCTTGTAAATCTGAATATCCACTGCAACCAACAATCATCTAATTTTGGTTGATATTCAATATTTATTTTGTTGTTTGAATCCCATTCATAACTGGCATTTCTACATCCATAAAAATCAATTTGTAACCCTAACAAGTCTTATTACACTTCTTCTCCTAGATCTTTAAAATAGAGTCCTTCCCAGATGAAACGTATTCTACATCAAATTATAATATGGATAAAACCTACTTATTCTGCAATCCCATCAAAATTCTTTTAAAAGCATATCCATTAAAACAATCATCATCAACAATCAAATAATGGCAGCATTATGGTATTGCATCTACTGTGATCTTCTAACAATCTTAGTTGAATGTTGTGGCTTCGTCTACCTCCTGATATCGAGGACTGATCTATGGAATTTTAAAGCTTGGCACTTTTTTTTTATTTGTTACTTCTTCCATCATTAGATCAAAGTAAAAGAAAGAAAAATGATTATTTTGATCCTTGTTAGATTCTATATTCAATCCTGAACACCCAATGTTTTGAGCTATTTAATTACTTATAACCAAACCTAATCCTACGCCTTGTTCATTGAGTTTCTTGCTCTCTTCAGAATTTATCTTTGAAAATGCTTTGAATAACACCTTCTGTTCCTCTTCGCTGATTCCTATTCCATCATCCTTTACTCCTATTCTCAACTTTTAGTTGGCCAGTAGATCGACAATGACTTATATTCTAGTACAAGTGAATTTAAATGCATTGCTTATGAGATTAACAATTATTTGCTTGATTCTATTTTTATCGGAGACTATGAATTTGGGAAGAGTCACTTAGTAATCACAAAATAGATGTAAATCCTTTATTTTAGCCTTAAGAGAAAACATTTTAATGGATTCAGCTATCAGTTTTTCCAAATTGATAGGTACCTTTTGAATTTTGAATTTTCCATTCTTTATTTGAGCCAAATCCAATAAATCATTAGATAAATTTAGCATATATTTTGAATTATCCAATGCTGCTTGCAAATCTTCAGCAATTTCTAAATTTTTTTATATTACTTTTTATTGTAAGGCACATTCAATCATCTATACGATGCATCCCAGAGGTTATCTATATTCATGACTAACAAATGAAAGCATTTTCGATTTTTAAATGTCATATTCCTTTAAGTATCGGATCTTTTAACGATGAGTTACATCTCTACAAATTATTAAGACATTTTTGTCTGTTTTAAGAGTGAGTTTGAATTCCATCAATCTATCACTATCTTACCTTGAATAAGCAAGATTCTGAGATACTTTGATTGCTTTCTAATTCTCAAATAGGTTGGTATCGATGTGTGTATTCACAGTAATTTAGTCCTACCTCTTAGTTTTTATCATCCTCTCTAATAGGTCCTTCATGCTAATAGTTTATTGTCTTTCTAAGTATTAAATATCAGCCAAAGGCTATTTTAATGAGCAGAACATCAAATCTCTTAGTGGAAACAAAGATTTGCATAATTTTGAATTTGAGAGATTGCCAAGTTTTTACTGGACAGAATCACTTCTTGAATTATAATCTTCAAAACATTCCTGGTTTTACAGGTGCAAAGAATTTAAGTTTTCTAAGATGAAGAGAATATCTGCATCTTAATCTTTTCCAAAGAGAATCCTTGTAGCATTATTCATGTATGATATTTTATATGTGTGATTTAATTCGTCTAGAACATTTAATACTATTAAGCCTTCTGAAAAATATTCCAAAGAATTATAAATTATTTCAGGATTGATATAATGTTATTAGATGTTACTAAAAACGTCATACTCTCTTTAAAAGCTATCTTTGGATTGATCCTAAGAAGGTTGATCCAAAATTGAAAGCACTCTTTTGGCAACTCCATCTAGTTTGTTTACTGTTCCAGTATCGAGTGGCATGGTTGTTAATTGTTACAATCTGTATCTTTTTTTCTTGCGAATGATAAAGTTATCGACGAGTGACATTAATAAACACATGATTAACTGTGGGGACTCAGCAGTGAAATTAGTTTAGATGTGGGTGTACACTTGCTAAAATAAACTCACAGTCAAAATAGTGCCGTAGTATAGAGACCGAGGGTTAATTAAATAATATTATTATGATCCCATTTATCTATATAATTCCTTAGAGATGTGCTGACACCATATTAATTGTGCGTATGATGTAACATTGAGATTTACAACATTCAAAATTATCAAGCAAATCACATCTATTTAGATGCAAAGTATAGTTCCTATAAGCTTCACCTATAAATTTTTATAGCGCAAAATAAACAGAGTTATTGATATAATGCTTGCTATGATCATGCAAAACAAATTAGTAGCTTCACTTCGAACCGAGTAAAAATAGATCGAATAACAAAATGTTATACTATGAAATAATAACCCTCTCAAGAATTATCTGTCTTTCATTAATTATATTCCTTATATAACAATTCAATAAATTATTAATATTAAAAGCCAAGCATTGTTGTAAAAATAAATTGTTTTATTTTAATTATTTTCCACGAATTCCACCCATCAGGTTTAAATTAGATATTTTTGTACAATTATTCATAAATAATTTTGATCAAATCTACTAACTAAAGGTATAATTAAATATAAATTATAAAAATATTCAATTTCTTAGAACACTTTGAATTCGCTCGTTCTTCTCTATACTCCATCACATACTTATATCATTTCTGATGTTAAACTGATGAATTAGATTCCTCTTAGAATTAAACCCCAGTCTATACTTTTACAAAATAGATATTAAAATTAATTTCCTTAAGAAAAAATGATAATTATTAATTTGAAATATTGATAGTAAATATATTCTTATTGTATTTTAAATTGTCAATTCCAATTAGAGTCTGAATGCTGATTAGGAATGAAATCGAACTTTTTCTATGAACCAGATAAAAAGAAATTTGAATTAGAGTTAGTTTTGAAAAGCTACTTTTATATAAATTGATTACATCCATCTCTTTTTTGTAAATTTCATTTTACTATCTAAATTATTCAATTTAATCATTCTACAACTCTAGAGTCTATAAATGATGATTTATTTCATTGTTTTGTGTTTTAACTAATTAATTTAATCTATCTATTTCTCCTTACAAAACAATGATTCGATTTTCTAATCCCAGTTTAGTCTATGTTAATTAAGAACAAGCCATTTATAATTGTTCCCTATCTTTTTTGATCATATTCAATTCCTCACATAATTGTTGGATTCTTTGATCTATCATTTCTTTATTCTCCATATCCTATCTGTTTCTATTCAAATTTAATGTATCAATGTCACGTTCACTATATTATATGTATTATTTGATTACAATAAAGACCTAAAGGAATTCATTTGTTAAGTCATTTGAGCCATATTTTTTTTGTATTCAATTTACACTTTATTGATTTCTTCATCCTTGACTCTTATTAGATCATTCAATCTATTAATTTCAGCTTGTTGTCTATATTCATTCCTTCTCAAATCATTAACACAATTCTCTAATCTAATTTATTTATTGCGTAATTCATCCAATTCAATGAGTTAAGATGCGTATTGATGTTTGAATCTGTCAGATTCCTACAATTAACTTTCAAATGATTAATTCTATTATTTAATGGTACATCATTACTCTCTGCTTAATAATTTCCATTTGAATTTCATGATCCTTTAACTTAAGTACATTCTACTCAATTTCATTGTTCCTTTTCTTTAAGTCTTCTATTTCCCTTTATCTAAAGTCTAATTGTTCTTTGAGTCTCTTGACTTCACTATCTAAGCCTTAGGATGAAATTTGTTGATAATTGAATTCTAAGTAATTGATTTTCTATTGAAAAGAATCGTTTTCTTATTATTTCATTGCAATTTATTATTACAATCTTTCAATCTCTTTAATCTAATGAAAACTGCTCAATTCCAACTCGTTAATACGTTTATTATGATTCATTTGATTCAGCTCTTCTTTATGATATTTTTATCGCCAAACTTCAGCTTCATTTATTGCATTGTCCAATTCCTCTTATAATTTCATAATCTAATCATCAAATTATTTACTTCTTATTTCAGAACTATGGAATAATAAGGATATTTAACTTTTATTTAATTTAAGAGAAATGTTAATTGTAAATTCTGTCATATTCATTTTTTTATTGATCTATCTATTATTGTGATTAAGTTTCAAGAATTTGATACTTCTGTTTTAATTATTCGTACTCACTGAGTAATTAATTGTACTTTGTATCCTTATCGTTATTATGAAATTACTATTGCTAGATCTTTTGCATCTGCTATTCATTTTATTTGAGTCTAAGTATCAACTCCTAAATGATATCAATGAATATATGATAATTACATTTTTCTCCAACTCAGCCTATTGTGATTGATTAAAATAATAATCGCATTATTCTTTCAGCAGTCTGAGGTTTGGATCATTGGTTGATTTGAGTCTTTCAATTTCTTATTGCTGTTGTCTGATTTTTTCATTAAGCTGTTAAAATTTATCATTTTTTTGATCCTACTCAATTTTCTATCTACAAATAAAGGATTCCTATTCCAATTGTCTAATCTTCCTTTGTAACTCCTGATCGTATTGCAATTATTGAGGCGTCTGGAAAGTTGGCACCGAAGTGTAATGATTAAGAGGCACTTCAACTACTTCATAGATTTTTGGTTTGAGGACTGTTTTCATCCCGGGAGGAGGTTAAAGATTTCCCATGACTTGAAACTTTGACACTGGAGATACTGACTTATTTGGAGGGCCTTGTATGACCTAATGTCTCATTGGACTTGTATTATTATACATTATTTTAATGTTAATATTATTTTATGTATGCATTTCTCTATCTATAGGAGGATCTACGCTAATGTTAACTCATCTATTCTTTTTTGATAACCTTAAAGTATTTGCTTAAAGGATCGTTGCATGTCTATCAATATCGGATTTGTTTTATGCTCTCGGATTGCTTTTGTATGTGGAGCCAACATTTGATGGTTATGATATCACCAGGTGAATTTACTCAAATAATATATAGATGCACAATACAGGGAACTGTGACTCAATTTGCAAGGATTTGTGCCTTCCTTTGGAGCACCTCGATCTCATATTTTCTTTATGTTTCAATTACGAGTGGGCAAAAGAAGTTGATTTATTTTGAAAGATATTAAAAATTCATTTTAGCCATAGGTAACTCTTATACTTTACTTTAACTAGGTTTTGCTATCCCCCTAATCATGGCAACAATTCCTTTGTTTTTTCATTCTTATGCACCTACTCCTGCAAAAGTTCCTGCTGTTTGTTCTATTACTTCAAATGACGAAAATAAATCAATTGAAAAGAATAGGAGTTTAAGTTTATATCTTAATCTCACATTGTTCTATTTACCACTGCTTTGCTCTGTTATAATATCGGTCTATTTCATTTTGAGATCGTACTTTAAGATAAAAAGAATAAAAAGCTAATACGAATTATTAAATAAACAAATAAATATTCAATTGATGTTTGCACGCAATTTAATACTCTACCCATCAGTTATATTTATTTGCTGGCTGCCATCTCAAATAATATTTCTGATATTTGTATTCAACAATAGTTGGATAGAGTAAATACAATAGGATTACTTTATTTATTAAACTGGACCCTATCAATACATTAGAATTGTTTAATATGGTGCTAGTTTCTTATAAGGATTCTTTAACAGCCTTGTGTACTGGTTCAATAGTTATCAGATGAGAAAGAGATTGAACAAGTTGGAGAGGGCTGACTTAGATTTTCAAAAGACTAAAACCTTTTTCTCAAACAACTATGAATAAGATGAAAACAGAAGTAGCTAATTAACTAATAGTTTCCAAAATCTTTAAGAAATTTGATAATTTTTAATTTTTATTTATATTTATCATACTCCATGTAAACAAATCAATCACCCATCGAATATTTGAGTTCAATCGAAAAGCAAATCCAATTTCTGGAAGAATATTATCTAAAATTTGCAGATGAGACTGACGCTTAAATCATATAGAAATTTATTAAAGTCTACAAATACATCGACGAAGCATATAAAGTAATTGATATTCCTAAAATAAAAGAGTAGCTTCATTACAGAAGAAGCCCTATTTTAGACCTATGGCTACTTCTACCAGACCACCAAGAAATTCACAAGGAAATTGGAGAACAAAATATATTATGATAAAACAGATTACGAAGCTACTCTTGAGAAATTTGAAAGATTATAAATCAAATTAATTCCTCTATATACAGAACTTATTCTTGATGCTCAAAAGCTTTAGAGGATGGATTTAGACACCCTCTTGGATTCCAATATGGCTCATCACATTTACACCAAAAAAGAATTGGGGTAATTTTCCCTTTAATTGTTTGATTTCTTAAATTTGGATTTTATCAAAGTACCTAAAAATGTGCTGAGCGATTTGATAACAGAAATCATAATGAATTATAATGTAGTACCATATCATAATTTCACCCATGCATTCTAATTATCGCAACTATTATTTTCTTGTTACATGAAATCAGATTTGAAGAAGTTTTGTAATCAATTAGAAATATTTTCTGCTATTTTAGCCGGATTAGGACATGATCTTAATCATAGTAATGTTATTCATTTAATTATTTTTAGAGGGGGTCAACAATTTGTACAAGATAAAGAAATCTAAAAAATTCAATGTGTTAACTTCAGAGATTGCAGTTTTAGAAAATATGCATTGTGCAACCTTTTTTAACATCATTTAATTAAATAGATAACATGACTTTTTTTAATATATGACTAATGATGAAGAAAGAAACCTAGCCAAAAGATTAATTATAACCTCCATTCTAGCAACTGATATGGTAATTATCTATGTAGTTATATCTTTAGAGTAAACATAATAAATTGCTTGCAAAGTTTTAGAAGAGAGTCGAATCCACAAAATAATTTGAATAAGGAGAAAAGAATGAATTAATAGATATGTAAAGATTCTCAAATGAAAGACTCGAGGATCGTATATTCATTCTAAATATTATGGTTCATGCTTGTGATATATCAAATCCAACGATGAAATTCAATAATTATATGAATTGGTCGTACTTATTAACCTAAGAATTCAATGATTAAGTACAATATTTTAATAATCTTCTTTAGACTATCAAGGAAGCCAAAGTTGGAGTGGATGTTACAGGATTCTTAGTTTACAAAGACAAACCCACTTATTATGGAGGCTAAGTCTTTTTTTCAAGTAATTATTGAATTGTTACATTTTAGAAACTTTTGTTTTCCCTTTGTGGTTCTAAATTGGAGAGATGTACCCAGAACTCAAATATTTATCAGAAGAAATCAATAAAAATTTAGAAATTTTATATTAAAAACTCAAATAATAATGATTTTTAATATTCATAAAGTTCTGGCTAAATTCTGTACTATCAATCCCATCTAGCAATTGAATGCTAAATTCTAAAATTCCCAATACTAATAAATATGTGAATAAATGAAATAGCATAATAAATCAACAGGTATCAAGTATATGGCCAAAACAATCTTCTCATTGAAAAGAGAATTAGATTCTTAATCGAATAATATACAATTAATACAATAAGTGACTCAAGAAATTAAAGTAATTCTCTGCATTACAAAAGTTAGGGTTTTATGATTAGCAAAAAATATGATATTCGTTCATATAAGCAATTGACTCAAATCTACAAATATGTGTAGGATTAGGAATTTGCCTTAACAATATTCCCAAGAAGTAAGCCATTAAGAGAGAAATAAAAAAAAGTGCTTGCTTTGCATGAACTAGATAGATTTGATGAATATTTCAATTATAAAAAATTAGATGATCCTGCTTTAAGTTTTATTATTTTTAAACTCAATTAGAACACGAAGAAGAAGCTAGAAGGGAAGATATAATTAATTCAAGACTTGATACATTGAATCCCTTGGGCTTAGATTTATTTGCATAATCTCCTGTTTAAGTTGTTCTTACAATCTAAACACCGTAATTAGATTAAGTGATGCTTCTGACGATTCTGATTAGTTATGGAGGCATAGAATTTAAGGATCTTTCAGTTTTTGATAATGTAAATTTGAGACAAGAATGGCATACAAAATTATTAGACATTGTGGAGGAGTATACAGATGCTTATAGAGCAGATGTGTTAGACTTATCAGATGTATTTAGTTATTGTATATTAGCCATTTCAAAGTAATATTGTTAAATATTTAAATTCTTTTGGATTTGAGGCACAGGACGCTTATTATTTAGAGTTACTAGCCATTCTTTCAGAGTAAAATAACTATATGAACTGGTTGAATGATTTGCACAACATAGTATTAGCCAATTAAATGCATTCTGCATGAAGATGAATATTTAGATTAAATAAAATTGAATGGTTAATTTATATAAAACCAAATTTAATGTTTTTTTTATTATTAAAGCAATATATAAGTGGAGAGTCAATATAAATTTTAATGAGCTTCAAATTTTTAATAGGGCTTTCTTGATGATGACTTTATGCTTCAAATGACTAGTTTTTTGTTGAATTTTGGAATTGTAGATATAAGGAACCGACTCTTTTTTGTGGAAAATAAGTCTAAATATAATTAAACAAATAATACCCCAAAGTCCTAAAAGCTTTTAGGAATTCATCGTTTTTAGTCATTTAGAGAATGTGAGTGAGGTTACAGAGCTTATTCTTGACAGTGTGCATCAATTCAAGAAATTCTTGTCCTTTGGTTTCTCCCAATATTTTATATATTAAGAATTGCTATCTGATTGCGTAGGCTATAAGAGCTTTTGTAAAATTCTTATGGAGATTAGTTGAGTCTAAGACTTAGGGAGTTTTAGTATTTTTTGTCTTTTTCTTATTTATTATTTCTCTTTCTTTTTTAGACTCATTTTTTGTGTCTGAACTCTTAGCATCCTATTCAATTATCAATTCCTCTGTATCGTGATTAGATTATTGAATATGGTTTGGATGGTTATCATTGTTTGTAATCAAGGATGGTTCGATTAAAGGTTCTTATTGATTTGAGGCTTAGACTGAGAAAAAAAACACTGGATATACTACTTAAGGCTGATAGAAGGGAAAGTAGTAATAAGGATGTTAAGAATATAACATTGTTTTGGTTAATAATAACATATAGGATTGGGATATAATATTTGAATGGCACCTTTGTGATGGATTTTGCGTTAATTTTTATAATCACAAAAATTATTATTAAACTAAAAGTATTACTAAATGATAATTTCTGAATAAAATGAAAAAAGCAACATAGAACAGAATATAAATTACTATGTCAAAGGATAAACTCAGAATTTAAGGGGAATATATTGAAATTATTTTCATATTGTTTGTTGATTAGAAAATCAGTTTATATTATTTATTAGTATGTATTAAAATGTTAAATTTGATCTGTAATTTCACAAACTGCAAAAAACGAATTTTATATGGTGCAAAAAGATATATGATAATTGATATATATATTCATTAAATGTTTCACTCAGCTCCTTCATTAGCATTCTCTCCTTCCTTAGCCCCCTCTCCTTCTTTAGCTCCTTCTGCTTAACGAGCCTCTTCAGCTAATTTTGCCTCTTCTGCTAATCTCGCTTCTTCTGCCAATCTAGCTTCCTCTCTTGCTTATTCTTCTTCAATTCTTTTCCTTTCTTCTTCATCTCTTCTTTCTTAAAGCACTCTCGCAGCTTCATCATAATCTTCTTTAGTAATGTCTACTTTATTTATTCTCACTAAATGGAAATAAAACATTAAAATTTCTTATTTGAAATTATCTGCACCCATCTCATCAACAATAGGATTGGCTAACATGTTGAGAGTTGTAATGGTTCTGATTTTTGCAATCTTTTTAAAATCATCAAATTTAGCTAATTAATTCTCTCTTAGATTAAGATAATATAATTGTGGGAATTCTATGACAGGAGTTTTAATTTTTGTAATTTTATTTGCTCTTATATTTAATTTTAATAAAGATGGCAGATTATTTAGAGATCTGAAATCCTTGAGTTCATTGCCTTATAAATAAAGTTCCTAAAAGGATAATGAATAAGTAAGATACTTTTAATTAAGGCATGTTTGCCAATCCATCTGTAGTTTTTAGTTTGTTTTTTCCTAACTCGAGGATTTCAACATTTTCATGTCCTTCAAATTCATTTGCAGTAGTAATTTCATTCTCAATTAAATTCAATCTCCTCAATCTCTTTAATTAGACGGTGACAAGTGTTTTGATCTTGTTTGTAGAGAGATTCAAATATTGTAAGTATGGGAATGCTTCAGGATCCTGAAAATATGAAAGTGAATTAATTTCATTCTTAGAAGCATTTAGTGAAACCAAATATCTAAGTAATTAAGATAGAGAATTACTTCAAAGGCAATAGATGTGTAATATCGACAATTCTATTTTGTGAGATATCAATATATCTTAGATTCAAATGATTAATCTAAAACAACCTGTCGATGTCCTTTTCAGCAAGATTTAATTTCACATAAGCATAAGCAATTTGAGTTTTGCTCAATCCTGAAATTCCTTATAAAACTAATTCATTAAATTTTGCAGTGTCTTCTTTCAATTTGGCCTCATATTCTTCTCTAGCAATTCTTTCTTATTCCGCCCTTTCTTCTCTTTCTTTTCTTTCCTGCTCCTCTCTTTCCTCCCTCTCCTTTCTTTCCTATTCTTCTCTCTCTAATCGTAACCGTCTGGTTTCTTCATCTTCCTCTATAGGCTCTGGAGGCTTTTCTGCTTCCTCTTCTGGTGGCTACTCAGCTTATTCTGTTTATTCAGGATCTCCGACCTATCCCTCATTCTATTCTGGCAAAGGGTCTTGATCATTTTATTATTCTTGATTTTCATCATTTGGTTATTCAATTTATTCTTCACTCATATAAATAAATAATTATTATTCCGGAAACGAAGCTAAAGTAAATTTATAAGGTATGTTGATTATACATATATTAATTAAATCATCTAATTTCACACATGGAAAATAGTGAGGACATATTGTTTGAAACTTAAGTAGGAAAGATCTTCCAGAATTTAAGAGTCTCATCTCCTGAACCTGTTAGTATCGTTGATTCATCTATAAATAGTTTAAGAAAATCAATTACCTGGACTTGCAGACAAATAAAGTACTCTTTCAGAATGACCTTCTAATTAGTGAATTCTTTTCATTGTAGGATATTGCCAAAGACATACTAAATTCTTCTCGTAACCATGTGTCGAAACCAATTCATTAACAATTTTAGAAAATCTCAATTTGCAAACTTACGAATCACAGTTAATGCTTGCAATTTACTAATTCGTGAGTGAACTGTGAATTTTAATAGTCTTATCTTGATTTCCACCTCCAGTAGCCAATATACCACATGAATGAGGATTCCACGCCAAAGCCCTTATTGCTGCCTTGTGAGATTTGATCTCCCAAGATATATATTAATTATTGCTGTTGTTGTTGCCTCCTCTCATTTGCCAAACAAACACTTTATTATCATTTCCCCCTGAAGCCAATTAGAGCTCACTTCCATCAAATGTGACGCCACAAACTTCTTATGTGTGTCCTAGTAATTAAAATATTGAATAGTTTGGAACTCTGACATCACATATGTTGATTGTTTTATCCTTACTTCCATAAGCAAATATATTGGGATTAGCCCAACTTATTGTACTGATTCTTTTATTGGACAGATTCATAGAACCAGTGAATGAATTTTTATTGTAATCCCATAATTTTAAGAAACCATCGCAACATCCTATTGCCAACATCTATCCATTTGTATTCCATTACAAAGATGTATAATATGCGGATAGTTCATTATTATTGATAGGTTCTGCTAATTAAAATACTTTTGAATTGTCAACATTATACAAATAGACAGACCTCTGTAAACCAACTGCAATAAGATTATTTTTCCCCCAATGGAGTGTGTCTTGATAGAAATCATCCTCTAATCCAGGTGCATCTAACACTTTTATGGGAAGAGTATCTATTTTTCTTTTTGGTGTTTCAAGTTGTTTGGCAGATTGAACTTTGTCGTGTTTTTATTTATTGAAATTCAAAATACTCACATGTTTATTTTCATCAATTTCCAAGACATTTTCACTCAGAAGTTCTTCATACTAATTCTCTTCCTCAATTTCAAATGGCTATATTTGTTTATTAAATAGATTTCTTGAAACATTTAATGGGATATATCTGTCACTGTAAGGAGATGTTTGAAAACCATGATCAGGAGTGCTTTATTTGTGATTGCTTTTTAATAAGGATTTAGGGGTTTTCCAAGGGTTCATATTTTTTGGTGAATAAAAATCGTTATTCTAAGGGGATTGTATTGTAGTAGACTAATTAGTTTTATTTTACTTCTTGTCTTTGGTTGGAGTCGTTAATTAGTACTTTTTTGGTGTGACATTCTATTATTGCGGTATCTATTCTTACTACATTTGAATTTAAATAATATAATATATTAACAATAATAAATTGCCACACTAAAATTGAGCTAAAAAAACAATAATATTAATCATAATGAATCAATTCTCATTTTTATCTGCTCTATAACTTTTGCGTCATACAATTCATCATCCCTCAGGTTTCTATAATCATTCTATTAATATTAATGATTTGAGTACTTCAAACGCCTATCTAAACTGATTTATTAATGAGCTGGTAGATTATTAATCATACTTCAACTTTTTGAGAGCATCAAACAAAATTAAAATCTATTGTATTAATTGCAATTTATAAGTCTGAATTTATTCGATTTACAAATGTTTATAAAAGGGATTATTTACAATTTAGAAGTGCTCCAAATAATGTTTGACATAGATCTTGGCCAAATCAATCTCTCTGATGTCATGACTCAACAAAATCTCAAAGAATAACCAAGTTGACAGTTGAGTAATCTTTTACTCCTGACACTCCTTTGTATTAATCAACTCTATCGTCTAAGTCATTTTCGGCAATTAAATGTATTTATTGCTATTGATTAGATTCTCAAAAAGCAATTTCATCTAAATATCTCAATTAAATATTCATACTTATCTTTTGAGCATGTCAGTGGGCCATTCTTCAGATTCCTCATAAGAACTTTTCAGAAAATTTATCCATAATTATTCAACAGTCTCTTGTGTGCATATTTAATCCCCTTAAGAGTGCTCCAAGTAATCTAGACATAGTAATTAACCAAAGTAGACGTTGTTGTCTTCAAAGAATTGCAGAATAATCTTGCAGTCTAAAATTTCTATAAGTATTTTCCTCTTTTCTGTATGATAACCTATGATGAATAATGTAACATATTTTTACTTTAATTTTCATCCTCATTAGATATAACGAAATCATACATGATGTCTTACAGAAATAGTTATTTGCTAAGATCTTATGCTTGTTTTTCGATTTCATTAATATCAATACCTAAAGTATTCCTATGAAAAGTTCTGATGAATTCTTATGCCTTGTTTACATACCTTAATCTCTTATTAATGGGCAATTTAACTTGTATGTCCTCTAAATTCATTTCTGGACATTAACTTAACGAAAATTGTGCTAGTTTAAGCAGGATTTGAATCAATTATGGATACACTTCATGATTGCCTTTCACAGCTTTGGCTAAGAATTGTTTCTTCTAGAGTTATAATTTCTCCAAGTCATTGTTGCATTATAAATCCATTTCTGGATTGTAATCGATGTATTAAATGAATTCTTTCAATTAATATTTTATTATATTGTTAGCAATTGCTTCAGTTGCTTTGATGAGTTTAAACTGGTTTAAGAGTTGAAGAGATTCGATTAGAATTTCCTTTACTTAAGCCTTACTCAACCCCTTGGGAGGATTCAAATAGTATAAAATTAGATTGGTGAATTGCTGGATTAAATCCATAATGCAATTACAATATTCATTGTTTGATTGATCCTTTTCTTATTATTGACATTTCTAAGCGAGAAATTGTACATAGAATTTGAAAGTGGCAAAAGGATACATGTAATTTTTAAAGCATTGAGTCAAGTAGGAGTGATCTATGAGGATGGTTACTTCTTCTATCAATTTCAATGCCTCCAGTAATTAGTCTTGCAATTCTGGTTACAAATCCTTATAATAGAGGAAGATTTCTTTCTTCTCAAGCACTTTATCAATAGTAATTTAAGGAGTCTTGGACAATTTTAGGATCCTCTTAATTTTTTCATGTATCTACTCATTTGGATTAAGTTTGATCAAATCTAATTAGTCAATGAGAACTCTTACTTTTTTAGGCAGCAAATGTCAATATTTCATCGAATAGGTTTTACACAAGACTGATCTTAAAATCTGAATCTTTAAAGAAATCAGGAAAATGATAATTCATATATTAAGCAGTCTCTCTGAATTTTGTTTTATCGCTTTTAATAATATGTATCATTAATTATTTTAATGTCAAATTTCCAACAGTGTCACCACTTAGAACACTTTTAATTGATAATTCGAATAATTAAGTTTTGTTTTGAAAGCTGTTAATAATATTCCTGATGCCTTACAATTCTCCAAAGAAATAAATCAAAAATTATAGCAGTTATTTAATTTGTTTGCAATAGAAGTAAAGCACTTTCATTTAATTCTAATTTAGATATAATATTTACATATTCTACATCCACATTCACACTAACAGCCAATGATTGATCTGAATAGTTTGTGCTTCTTGAAATGTCTAATCTAGTGCTTTATTCGAATGTTTCATAGATGTACTTACTGAATCCATTCTTATAATTCTAAAATTGGTTTTATTCTTCAATCTATAGGTCGTGTCTTTGATTCTTAACTTGTTGATAGTAATTAGGTTCATTCTCAAATAATTTAATTAATTTTTCAATCTATTTGAATACAGTTTGTAATTATAAGAGTGAGTAACTCTCAATAGGTTTATTGCATTCTAAGTTATAGACTTTTTCATTGATGAATTTCTTGGTTGTAAGGGGAGCAATGATTTTCCAAATTAAAGAAGTTGTGCTTGATACTTTCTTAGATTTTTGATTTCTATCTTCACTAAGTAATGAACGCTTAATCAAGGCATAATACGCTTTGAGTGCTTTCTCTTTGATTATAGACCCTTTGCGAACATAAACTAGACCAGTAACCCAGATTGGAATCTTTTCATTGTCATCGAAAAACTTTTGAATGTTTTCTGAATAGTGTATTCTTTGATATGCCTTCTGTAAGTCTAATTAAAATTGATGTTGAAGTTCAACATTGATATAAAAATTCTATTCTTCTTGAATTACGATTTGCAATATTTAGGCACAACTCTCTTCAATTCCAAATGCTCTGACCAATTTTTCAAGTGGGAAATCAGCATCTACTTAATCGATAAAATCGTAATGTGTCACTTTGATGGCAGTGAAGAAACAATCAATTGGTCTCATTCTGACAATGAATTCAATAGTGTGATCAGCAATGCAGATGAAATGTTCAGGTAGATTATAAAGTTAAGATTCATTAATATCAAAATGATTGAACAATCGATTCACAGTCATCTTCCCAATATTATAAGTGCTTTTTGGAATTCCATGACCATTTTGACCATGAAGATCGATTTTTTCAATTGCATCCTTTGAAGTATCTCTATATATGGAATACTATATCTAATTATATTAATTGTATTTTGCGATCTGCTGTTCTAGATTTCTAAAGTATTGGATATGTGCCATATCAAGAAATTGTGCAATGATATAGTTGTCTAAATGAAATAGTGAAAGTTATTCCTCTTTGTATACTGATTTGAGAATTTGGTTTTATTGGATTGTCAACATTTCCTTCTATTTGTATTGTGTTCTACTCTCATCCAAACATACTCCATAAGGAATTACTGTGTCTATTTTCATATAGGGATTTTTGATCTGGATAACCTAGAATTCTGGTTTTAATTTGATATATTATTATTATTAAGCAACATTAGAATTTGAAATCCTTTATTTGTATTCATTGATCTCATTGATAGTTCTGTCTTATAATTCAAACTATAAATAAAGTTATAGTTAGTCTTTGGTTGTTATGATCAAGAGGATTTTGTTTGTTTAGTATTGTTTTTCGAAAAACACATGATAAAATTGGAGATTGTGATAATCAAATGAATTTTTAAAATCTAGATTAGAATTAAATAGAGAGGATTGTTTAATTGTTATTATTTCTTAAAAGAGTTCTCCTTGAAGTCCAATATCGTAGATGATGATGAATGTGTCTTCAACGTTCTCATCTTTATCAAGTTTTTCGAATAAACCATAGCAAATGTTAAATTCTTCTTGTACTTCCAATTGGATCAATCCTTGTTGAGATGACCAAGGAGTCAAGTCCTTGAATATCCGATTAAATTATTTTTTTATTTTTTCTTTCAATTAAGTAGTGTAGTTTTAGGCTGAATCAATTGATTTACAAGTTAGAGTGCCTGAACTGCCTCCGTATATTAAATTATCTTAATAAAAGATGACTTAATTGATTATTTCTCCATTAACGTTGAAGCCCTATTTTAGCATTTAAAAATTGTCCAAATCTCCTGTAAAAGTGTAAAAAAATATATAGAATTCGGAAGCGATTGCCATGGTCCATACATCATCTACCAATTGAAATCCAACGGCTGTGATATACTCTAAGTGATTAATTTATTGTTCTTTGAGTCTGATTGGAAATTTGTACTTCTTATCATCCTACAATAAAATAGAAATGTTTACAGTATTGTAGTAGTAATTTAGATCGTCATGTTGAGGCGAAAAGAAATAGAATTGCATGGTTTTTTCTTTCACCACAAAGTAAAGAAAGCCATCTTAAATTCCACTCAAAGAACAATTATCATTAATTTTTATCTGTTCATGATGAAAATTAACAAAATGACCTTTGTACAATGGAATTGCTAAGTGAATTAGGGACAAATACATAAATTGTTAGGGAGATTGACAGTTTATTAATTTCCAAAAAGTGTGTTAATAGGACTGAAGGAAGTTGAAGATTTCTTGCTCTTCA